ATATTACATATATATTATATATTAGTAGATTTATAACTGTTTGTATTTTTTTGAGTGCGTTACCACATCCAATCAAGGTAAAAACAATATAGCAAAATGTTTCTTCTCCTTTCTATATTGTTTAGAGAGAAAAACATTTATAGTTACCATCCTGTTTTTTGAAGCAGTAATACCTGTATATACTGTGCACTTGAAAAGTATATTATAGTGCATTGTTAAAAATAATGATAAATTGAAAAAAATAAAATGTTGAAGACAAACGTGCGCGCGCGCGTATATATGTATATAAGAGAGGATTAGAGTTTTGTTACTGAAAGATATTTTAGTGTTTGTAAATTTGATTACATTTGCAAACTAATACCGTTTGATGGTAAAATCAGGAGCGTAATGTAGCTTTATAATTTTTATACTCTTTTTGGTTTGATGTTAATTGCGAACTAAGATTCTAATTTGGGTTTCTGATTCGTCCTGTTTTGTAAGGCAATAATTTGATGACTCAGGTTTTGAACACTAGTCTAAAACATTTTGATAAGTCCTATTTTTATATTCAAGTCGAATCAGTGAGTCAAAGCTAAGAATTTGCACAACAGAATTGGTATTGAATAAATTTAATTTGTGCTTATTCGGATATATATGATGACTTTGATGATTAGAATAAAAGAGATAGAAGCTGTGATTTTTAATTTACCTGTATTATTGATTGAGCTTGGTATTTAAAAATTGCTTTAAAATATTTCTTTAAATCTTTTTATTAAGATATCTGTTTTCAACTTTCGTATCTTGAAGTAGAAACAAGCAGAAAAATTCGAGTTGATAGAGCCTTGTTGTTGATAAAGGCTAAATTAATTAGATTTGATTGTACTTAATATGACTTCAGAATTATAAATTGTAACAAAGAAAATATCAATATATGAATTGTTAAAATGTATTGAATTATAATGTTTGTAAAATATGTGTATATGTATATACATATATACATTCATGAATAAAGTTAACAAATAATATTTTTGTATTTTTGAGTTTACCTTAAAACTTTACATTTGTTCACTAACTTAATTATAAAAATTAGTACCTTAATTCGTTAACCTTTCTTTATCCCACCTTTTGTTCCTCTGTAATCGTTATTATGGGACATACAAATTGAACAAGTGCAAGAAACTGGCACAGCAATTTGTTTTTTGAAAGTTCGGTAGTTTTCACAAGTTAATTCAATATTCAGAGATTTATACTCTGTTGGTTGACAGCATTGACAATTAACTGCTTGACTCCAATTGTCTATAATTGAAAGAACCAAATGTATAAAATAAATAGTATTTTAAATCAATTGATTAAGTATGAACTATTTTGTTTAATGATTACTTATTCAGACATTACTGTATTTCTTTGATCTCACCTGTCTCAAAATAAGTGGTAGATTCACATTTACCACGACACTCCGTAACTCCATCAATGGGCTCTAAATTTTTACAAATACCATATATTTGATTTTTTATACTGAACATGCCAACAGTATTTTGTGGTTCTAATACATCAGCAGCACAAGCATCAACCTTATAGTCATATGTTAGATTACACATTTTGCAGCAATTTTGTACATAAATTGAGGTAACAGGGCAATTACTTATATCAGGACAGATTACAGAACTGCTACTGATAACTAATTGTTCTCCTTGATCCATACAAGTAAAAGAAGTGCAATTGTCAGTAGAATGCCAAGTTGCATTAGGCTCATACAATATATCCCCAACCACACAATAAGCTTGTCTACATTTTCCACAACATTCACCTTCCTTTTCCTCATATATCCAACCAAGAGCACAGTTTTTATTACAAATTTCCATTTCCTTTGACTTTGTTGTATTGATCTCTAGTACACAAACTTCTGTAACACATTTATCATCTAAGGATTTCCACTTATCTCCAGGTTTATATATAATATCATTATAGCGACAACCAGTTTTAATAAATTGTGGACAGCACTGGCCTGAAATGTATTGTTTTTCTATCTCAAATTCAATCTCTTCCCAAGAATCTATCTCTGGACACTTCTCTGTGAAGGTTTCTACATAAACACTTTCATTATTGAATCTGCAGGAATATTTAGTACAAAAATCAGAAGAGATCAATTCTTCTCCTACGTTTATTACTTGATTGTTGACTATACAAGCTACTGGAATGCATCGTCCACAGCAAGTGGTGCTCTTATTATTTGTAGATTGGTATTCAAAGCCAAAATCACAAGTAGTAGTACATTCTTGCACTTTCACTTGTTTCTGGATATTATTTTTATCTTTGATGCATTGTATTAAAATGCAACTATCTTCAAAATCTGGTTGCCAAATGTCACCAACATTATATATTTTATCTTCATCTTTACAAGCTGTTCTTTCAAAATTAGGACAGCATTTATCTTCTATGAATACTTCTTCTATAACATAGTCTGATATATCTGGGTGGTCCATAACTCCAAGACACTCTATTACAGAACACTTTGGTTTAGGTCCTTCTTCAGAAGATTCACAAATGCAAGAAGTACATTTTCCATCCATCCATTGTTCTCCAAGTTCCTTTGTCACTGTGTGTTCTGTCATTTCTATGTTTGTCTCTGATTCAATACTATAAAAACATAAGTCTTTTGATGGAATGCATTCATATGTGGCACAGCAAGCATTCCACTCTATATTAGATTTTAGCTCATAGTATTTTTTGCAAGATGGTCCTGGAGGACAAGTCTGAGGATCGCATATGATCATAGACCTTGGACAGCAACCAGAGGTGTTTGTTACCTGCACAAATCCAGGCTGTAGTTCATCAACTTCCAGTACAACTTCATTGACATTTGGACATTCTGATAATAGTACACATTCGCAGATGAACTTTTTGCATCCATCTGAATCTATGGATACCTTTGTAGTTTGTCCATAGCCACATTCAGGAATTTGAGGTTCTTCAGAGCAAAATTGTGTCACATTAGATACTGTTGTTGGAATACAAAGGTACTTAGGACAGCAATCTTCTTCTGTCCCATTAATAATCATAGGTGACATATTTTCTTCACAAATGGTATTTACTGCTGGACACTCTGTTTTTTCGCAACTAATGGTCCTTTTATTGCAAGTGCAATGTGTACAGACATCGGGGAACCATATATCACCTTCAATGTGTCCTTTTTCGTCGCATAACAAGCATTTTTCTTTTGAAACGCAAGTGCCATTGTGCATGATTAAATTTTGAGGACAGAAACAACCTTCTTCATAATTTTTTGTGCATGTAGCATCACTGACTTTGTTGATTGTATCGCAAGTTTCTTTACATATGGAACCACAAGGTTGATACACTAAATCTGGGAAAAGAGAACAATACTTTAGTTAATAAAATTTAAATTTATTATAAGAATTATAATAGATATATAAGAAAGAGATGCTTACATGGAGGACAAGTGTAAGGACATATTTCATTACTTCTCCAACTCAAACACACTCCCATTTGCTGGCACTTTCTTGAATATATTTCAAAACTATCACAATAAGTTCCTCCGGAGCATAAATTATCTTGACAGGCTATTAAATATGGCATTGGATCAACAAGATTATGACATATGCCAAAATCTGTTATATCTAATAATTTCCTGCATGGATCTTGATCTGCTGGTGGTACAATGCATTCACTCTGATTATTGGAAACACATGCAGTTATATCTATGTTGTCACCAACTGGAGACTTTATGACCAACCAATTTGTACCAAAATTTTGCATGTCATCTGTAATCTATTTATTAATACATTAATGTTATTAGTTATTTTTAATTTTCCTACTTATTGTATTAAGAAAATGATTATACTTCTCCATCTTGTTGTTTTAAGTCATCCTCTGGATCTTCATTACAGTTACCACACAGACCTTCCATAGAACCTCCAAAGATATGTGAAGGGACAGTTAAACTGAATGCAAAATTGGGTTGATAGCTGATGATCTCTAACTGAATAGAAGGTATCAATAATCGCAATTTTTTTGAAGATGCCTGTTCTAGGATCAACCAGGACGCATTGAAAGAAAGTTCATATATTTTTGAACCATCCAGTTCTACTTCAAATTCAAGAGTAGGTACACTCTCTTTAATTATAATTATATGATCTTGATAAAGTATTATGATTGCTTTTGTACATGTTCCAGTGTCACAGATTCTATTTGACACCAAAACTTGATAAGTATAACCTTCATTTTCTCTTCTATTTTCAATAATATCTCTCGATACAATATATGTACAATTTCCGTTGAATTTAACGTTTTTTCTATCAAAGCTGATAAATTCAGAGTTTCCTAACCATTCACAGATGCAATCTTTACAATGTGTAGGAGGTACACACTCATTCCCATTACGCACTGTACCATCAGGACAAAAGCAACCAGAGAAACATGCTCCCTGCATCACTGGACATGGGTCTATCTGTTGCAAGTTGTCACAACTAGTCTCACACTTATTCCTGCAATAAAATTAATTGTAGAAATAGATTAAACCATTGAATTGGTCAATCTTAATATACCTAAAGCAGTCTTTGTGAATGAGAGGCCTAATGCAAGTAGCTGGACAGTCGTGAATGCTTCTCCAAGTGGACAAGTCTAAATTTAAGTCACTAGCTTGACATTCGGTGACAAAATTGGTTAATAAACTACATCGACAGTCATCATATGTACGATTGCTGCGTAAACAGTTGCATGTACTTTCCAAGCAACTAGATACAAATTTTTCTAAATCTATATTGTTAGAACATTCTGCCAATGAAGTATCTTTCACTGTGGTACAGATATCCCAACTTTTTGCTTGTAAGTCATGTGGACATACCTTAAAAATTAAATAAATTTATTATTCTGTTATGATATAAATATTAGTATATATTGTCAAACCTTTGAATCACATTCTGGAACTTCTTCCATAGCCCAACTGTTCCCAAATTCTACAGTACTTCGAGCCTGACTACCATCAGGCAATTGTCTGTCATTCATAGGGTACCCATCAAAATACCCACATAAACCATCTACTTGACGAGCCAATTTAGATGAAACTCCTATTTTGACGTTTGAATTAGTATCCCATATTATCCAAAATCCATAATGATTGGATATCAAATAAATAACATCTCCAATAATTGATATTTTGAAAGGACGATATTTATTATTAATTCTAGCAATCTGATTTGGTGTAAAACTGTACTCATTGATATCCACATGCATGTCAGGGTATAGAACAATCACATCTGTGTTCAGAATCACAGCTAAAACTTTAATACATTGGCCAGTATGTGAGTCACATTGCTTTTCCACTGTAAAAACCATAATGTAAATCATAATTCTGGAACTAAAATTAATTTTATCTTTAAATTAAATTGTTATAATTTTGACATGTAAAAGACTCACATGTGATATACCATTTATTAGCAAACATATCTCTGGTTAAAATGTGATTGCAAATATCATATTTGTATTCTAATTTATCAAAAGTATTAAATGTTCTTCCTGTCACATTGCAAATAACATCTTTTGATTCTGGAGGTTTACAAGTATATTTAGGACACTTTTGAAGCTTGTACATGCTCATTTTTTCATAAATTACAGTATAACCATGTGGACAAGATACTTCTGGACAGGTCTGAGGTTTGTTTTGATTAGAAATCATTGGTGGCTTAATTGGTACACAAGTAAACTGTGCACATTCTGTCTCATTTTTCAATTCCTCGTTCTCAGTGTGCTTTAAACGATGTTGCATAGATTTTCTAATAGAAAATATATTATGTTAGTCATCATTAAAATAAAATATGTAAAAACATATTTTATAATAGTACCTATGCCCTTTTCTTTTTGATGAACTCCTGTGTAGAGATTTTACTCCCTCATTTGTATCGAATGTAGTATAGTATTGAAACTTTTGAGTTGGTTTTAAAACTGTCTTGTATCCTCGTGGACAGATTGGATCCTGACACACTATTGGAGTAACTAAAACAATATATTAATATTATAATGGTTGCATGGAAGCAAATTTATTAAATTAATTTGTCAGTACTTGGAATTAGTGTAACGGTTAAATTTTCCATTTTCATTGCAGTAGTTTTTTCAGGTTGGATTGTAGGCTCTGGACAATCTTTTTCATCATCTGGGCAATCCTGGACACCATTGCACCATAAATTCTCATCAATACAAATGTCACTGGTTGGACAGTGACGTGTACCACTTGGACATTGTTTGCATACACAGTTACACAATTCATTAACTATTGCTCTTGTTTCTGACTCTTGACAGGGTTCACACTTCTTTGGTTGACAAAAAGAGCTGCCACCCAAGGTGCATATGCATTCTTGACAGTCTTCATTTACATATATTGCACCCACATTATATCTAAAAGCTTTGAACATTAAAATATATGAAAAAATATTATTTATTTAAAAAATATGTTGCTTACGGTATATGTCCAACTATACAAGGACATTCCTGTTTGCTAACACAAGTATTTCCATTCCACCAAAGAGGCTTTGTACAGTTACAGTTAATTTGTTCCTCAGTTGACACTCCTTTGCATATGTTACATTTTTCAAAGGTCTGTATCGTTGTTGATATTGTTTCCGCTTTTTCAGTGGTTGTTTCAATGGAAGCTGTAATGAATTAAACCCACGTAATAATATTCCAATATATATATACAATATTTACACTTACGATAGGGCAAGAAGCAACCGAGAATTTCGAGTTTAAGCCCTATTTGTTCGTGCCATTTAAACGGTTGTATTTTCAAATATCTTGCACTCAGTGGTCTGTCAAAATAATTTTTTTTTACGGTATCGGAGTCAAAATTGCCTAAGAATTCTCTTTCAAAACCATTATTGTCCATGACTGGATTCCATTGATAATCATCGTTACTATAAAATATCTTATAGACCGTGGTCCAGGTACCTTCACCACCTTTAGTAACAATTCCTGTTAAATTACGAGGTTCCAAGAAATCGATCTTTACAAATTGATGTGGATTATTTAGTTTGGGATGCCAGATACTCGGAGAAGATAATTTTAAGTTCGGTAATAAGTCGGTAGAAGAAGAGGATACTGAGATTTGTTGCAGGACAATTATACCATCATCCAATCCCATTGGTTCGTCACAAACTGAAAAAAATTAATAAAATTTGCAAGGTTTATAATCTTGTATGGTTTGTTTTCATTTAAAATTAAATACCTGGGGTTATAATTTTCTCTGTAACCATTGTAGTTACTGGAATACTCTCTGTTATGGGAACAATGGTGCTCACCATTTCCTGACAACCAAGCAATTCTACTTTCATAACTATACCATTATGCCAGGATAGTGGATTAATTCGAACTACTCGAGCTTCAATAGGCTCATAAAACTTCTGTTCAACTGGTTTAAATTGATCTACAGGTCCTCTAAACACTTGTGGCTTTTTTTTATCATCCATAACATATGAAAATGAATGCCCATTTTCTGAAAACAGAACTTTATAACTGGTAACAAATTTATTTTCTATTCTACTGCCTTGAACAATGATTCCATAAATAGGTAATGAGCGCTGGAACTCTATATTTAACCTAAAAATGATTGAATAAAAAATTAATTATTTTGAAGAATAAGATTTAATTTTATATTTACCATTGATTAGAAGTGGTATACTCAGGCTCCCAGAATTCAATGTTTCCACTTGATAATGCATTTTCGGGTTGGGACATGTAACCTTTGATACTACTAGCAGTAAATGAAACCTGATCATTTAAATACTGAATTAATGGAATAAAATTTCCACTGTCACAGTAAGCTGGTGGACTAACAGTACTTGATATTATAATTGTGTGATCCTCAGTCCTTCAATTTGCAAAAATGATCTTATTGTTAACAAATTATAATTCTATAAAATTAATAAGTGTACTCACAAAGGAGGGATTGAAAGGGTAGTTGCTTCCATAGGTGATTGTGTAATTGATTTTTCAGTGGTTATGTTGTTAATTACACTAACACATGAAGATCTGTCACAGGTATAATAATTGTTTATGCATTGACAGATTTCACATTCTGATTCCTTCTGAACACTACCAGAAATGACTGGGTAACCATTATGAGACCCACAATTACAATCAGCTTCGTCCACACAAGTCATTTTATCTTTCCACAATTTGTTTGGTGGACATAATGGTTTCCCCAATGGTACGCATCCTAATTTTTCAAATAATTCAATATTAATATTGAAAAATTCTTTTTTTCTTAAGAAAAGTATTAAATTAATGTACCTGGTATGCAATCAGATGTACCATTACAATTTCCTTCTTCTAGTAAAATATATCTATAATAATCACAAACCTTGTTGCAATTAACGGCACAATCACTCCATGTTTCCTCTTCTTTACAAGCTTCTGCAAAAGTATAATTTTTTTATGATATCAAAAGTGTTAATAAAATACTAAAAAGGATAAGAAAATATCGAACTTGTTGTTAGAACATTTTTTTCCAAGGTAGTTGATGTAGTAGTCTTGTATTTAATTTTATTACTTGTCCATTCGGTTCTACTTAGTGTTGTTTGTTCTACTGAACAATCTGATCTTAACAACATGACATTATCTGGCCAATCACAGACTTGTGTCTGAGGATTGTAAAACATATTTTCTCCGCAAGATTTCTCTACAAATTTGTTGCCATTTAATCCAGGAGTGCATTGATAAAATAGGTGACAATTTGTAGGATGAGGTTCATTTGATTGCTCCACATTGCATTCTTCATATATTATTTTCGTTGTATTTGATATTTCTATAACATAAATAGATCTTATTATTAGAGTAAAGTAATGATATCAATTTTTCCATAATACAGACCTGGTTCTTCTGTGGTAGTTGTTGAACATTGACATAAAACACTGATTTCAAAATCAATGCAAGGTAGATTAGGCTGAGACTGACAGTAAAGACCTTGTTCTAAACTGCATTCTACATCTAAACCAGTTTCTTTTGGTGTCAGGTGACCATTTACTGATCTACATTTTATGTCAATCATCTGATTCTTGTTACATATAGCAGATCCTTTAATGTTCATCTTTAAAATACCATATAAAGGTATAAAAATGATAAAATAATATAATTAAATCAATTAATAATAGAATAAAGTATTACTAAGTTCAAAGTTGAAGGTAATGGTTCAATATCTTTAAATTTCTTGCCCTTAATTGCTGGATCCTGATTTATCCAAACAGTCCAACCATTCACACATTTTTGTGGCTCCTCTAATGGTATGGTACTAGATATAGTGGTACTTGTGCAAGGTTCTCCTTTGCACAATACTTTTCCACGACTACAATAACATGTCTGACAATTATTGTCTTTCACACTGTCACCCTCATAGTAGATCACCTATAATACAAATTATTATTATTGAGAAAAAATATTTTAATCGTTATGTCCACATACCCCATTGATTTCAGTACAAGGTGTTTTGCACATTTCTTTGGAAATACACTCTGTGTAGCTGTCATTGGTGTATACTTGATTCTGGGGACAAGATTTGATAGAACATCCTTCAATGCAAGTGTCCTGAGAACATAAATGGGACTTTTCTTTCAGAGTCATAAGATTGTCACAGGTTTCACGAGGACAAGTTGTAATGCAAGGCGAATATGAGCTACAATTTTCATCACACTGTATAGGACACAATTCCTGGCTGCGCCATTTTATGGGCACCCCCTTCGCATTGCATTCTTGAGCATATGCTGCTATGGCAGTACAAAGACATTCGCAATCTCCACCTAGTACCAAAAAAAGATAATAAAGATAAATATTTATATTTATTTTATAAATTAGTATAACATTACCTGTATCACAACTACAGGTATCGAAAATACAATTGTGCATGTAGCTTTCCACCTCAACTTCACAGTGACAAGGTTGGAAAACTGATGATTTTAGTATTCCACACTTTTGTATAGCCCATAAGTTTCTTTCTGGATGTTGTACACAAGGATCTTGGACATCTTTAGGTTCTGGACAAAAGTTGCTTTTCTTCCAGGAATCTCCAAATAGATTGGCAGACACTTCTGAGATACCACCTGATGGAGTTTTGAAATCATCTTCACTATTGTCATTGTAATCGCCACAAAGACCCTTTGTATGACCTTTCCACCTAGGCTCCAATTTTACATATACCCTAGTACCTACAAGTGACATTAAAATATGAAGAAAAGTTCTAAAATACATGTAACCATGAAAAAAGAAATGTAATAGCATATTTCTCAGATAAGTGCTCGTAAAACAGATTTTCATAATAAAATTAAGATTCTATGCAAAAGTTCTTTTTTATCAAATTTTGTGCTATAAAAAAGGTAATATTAATATTTTGCTATAGATTATAAAGAAAAAATAATGATGCACCTTTCCAAAACATAATTTGAAAAAATGTATCCAGTTATCTAAGAACCATTATATTAAGAAGGGTACCTTTGTCCCATTGTATACTCAGCCCTATATCTGGCACATCAATGAATACAAAGAGCCCAGCCATTCTCATAACGATTCTTTTAAAGTCATCTATTGGAAGTTCCTTTCCCCTGGTTAAAACAATTTTTTCTGAGCTCTGGCCACTTCCAATTGTGAGAGTAATCGATTTAGAACAGGATACCCCTGTTGTTCCACAAGGAACATTCTGAATAGATACATCGAAACAGTCTTGTATGCTCAGAGAACCTTTTACCAAGATGTAATCACAAATTCCTTGGAAATCATAAATTTTTCCATCAAATGTCTTATAGTGGGAATCTCCCCAGGCAGAACAGACTCCTAATAATACAGAAATTTTAATAACTAAGTAGAACTTCATAGGATAAACAATTATTTACAACGTTACCTGCACATATCCTATCAGTGCATGTCCATGTTCCATTCATACATTTACAAGTATTACACTCATTTTGTATAACAGATCCTTCTCCATAACTCTGACCTCCATGGTGACATGGACAAGATTTTTCTTCAATACAATTACCATTTGGTTCATCCAAAACATAACCAGATTTGCAAATACATCCAGATTTGCAGATTAATGGTTTCTGGATTGGTTTGTGCATGTTACGACAAGTTCGAGGCTCTGTTGGTACACAGTTTGTGACTTCTTGATGTTTACTTGTTACACATGAAGTTGAGAGGTCCTTCACTGATGGATATTCCACCATCTCATTTGGTGTGGCTTCACGACAGTTCCAAATTCCACCTGTGTCAAAATAATTTATTCCAATTAATATAAATTCAATTTAAGAGCCAAATGATTTTTAGACATATGAAAATCAAAACCTGCACAGGTGCAAAGTTCAGGAGTTTTAATTCCTGGTCTGACTTCTTTGTGCCCTGAATCAAACTCTAAGCCATCATAAGTACATGGACACTGGCCAATTGGAATACATTCCCCATGGATACCCAGTGTTTCACCTTCTGGACAATTACATCCCTCTACACATTCTTGCTTGCAGTCCTGATAAGAAGATATATCTCCACAGGACCTAAAAACATTGAAGAAAATGTTACAATTATCTTACAATTGTTAGTATTTGATTAGTTCTGAATTTTGATATACCTGGTGCAACTATTTCCACAAATTTGGTAAATTTGGTTTCCAGGACAGTGAATTCTACATTCCTCTATATTATGTCGCCAGAAAAGCTTTATTCCAGCAACTGCGCAATCTTTAGCATATGCAGCTAATATGGGACAAAGACAAGATTCAAATTCAACCTTACAAGAACACATATCAAATAAACAATCTTTGTAAAATGTATCCGGGTCCACATGCCAATGACAATCTAAAAAGAAGAATCATAAATAGTTGTACTAGAAGATCTGTTAGACTAAATTAAAATTAAACTACATAATTTACCAGCAAAGATATCACTAAACAAATAAGAACAATATTGTTTTGCAGTGGCTCGTTTTTGTGGATCAAGGTCGCAGGGATGATCTGATTCTTTTTCTGGGACATTAGGACAAAATTCATCACATTTCCACTTGTTGGCAAAGGAAATTGCTGTGTTTTCAATATCACCCTCTGGTGTAATAAAATCGTCCTTCTGGTTATCAGAGAATGTTCCACAAAGTCCTCTAGTATTACCTAATGATCAGTGTATAAAAAAAATTAAAAATAACGTTTTGAACTAATAAATTTAAGAAAAATGAAAATTTATTAACTATGAAATTCAGGAGAAGCATTGATGTAGACACGAGAGATCCCGTCCCACCATATCTCTAAGCCATTTGGCAATTGAGCAATCAAAAATATACTGCTTGCAACTCGTATCCTAATTCCATTAATAATCGTCGGAAATACTGTTAGATCATTTCCATTGATTAGTACTTGTCTATGCTGTTTTAGCTTCATGGAAACAGATTTGTAATTGATTGTGACAGTTTTTGTGCATGATGGTGCATCAGAAGGAACAAGTCCCATATTCTGCAAGTTAAAAAAATTATAATTTTTTAATGATAATACACATTTTTTAATTAGAAAATGCTAAAGACTGACAATATTATTAACAGACCTCTGATATTGCACCAGAACAAGGAATATTTTCACTTTCAATGCTATAATCATCTCCTTTCATCAAATAGTACTTGCATTTCCCCATGAAATCATAATGTCTCCCATCAAAGGTAATATAATGAGGATCTCCAATTACAGCGCATCTGGCACTACATCTTGCTTGGGTGCATATCCATTTTCCAGCGGAACATGTACAAGTATTACAATCCTTTTGTACATTTTTTCCAGGTTTAAATAGTTTTCCACGTAGTCTACAAGGGCATTCATCAGGATAAATACATCTTCCTTCATAAGCTACTGTTCCTTCTGGACAAAAACAACCTTCTTCGCAATATTCTTTATTTAACTTCTTGTCCATTTCTGCCCAGCAGGATGATTCTTCTTTTGGACCACATGGCATATATACTCGTCCACCACTACATGACATGGCTGTAATATCACGAAATAACTAGGAACACCTGTTTTCATCAATAGTTTATACGTTACATTAAGAAGGTTGTAACTTACGACAAGTGTCATTATTTCTCCAACCGGATAAAGATACAACATTTTTATGAGCACACTGTCTGACATATACATTCATGGTGTCACAAGCACATTTTCTTCTGTCTTTATCGGTACAAGAACAATAATCCCACAGACAAGCTACCTGCATTTCGGAGACGCTAACTGTATTAGCGCAAGCTTTAAATCTGCGGTCAGAGAGCAATGTTGTACAGAACTCTATAGCATCGTTGGAGACTAATGGATTAGATTCACAAGAGTGTTTAGTATTTGGATATTCATCGCACATTTCTGAAAAATTTAAACAAAAATTAAATATCGCTAATTGAGAAAGTTAATATTTCACTATAAATTAGTAAAGTAGTACCTCCGATATTTTCTGTCTGCCAAGAAGTTGCAAACGATGTAATACTTTTAGTTTGTTCTCCATTGTTTTTCATTAAATCGTCACTTTTATCACCATTCATGTTACCACATAAACCAGTTGTTTTATTCCACATATTTTCGACAGCTTCAATCTGTATCATGAGTGCTCCATCCCATTTTAACTGAACTCCTAAAGAGTTTAAAGTTACCACAATGAAATGTGCAGACATTTCAACTCTCAATGAAGAAAGTTGTGCTGGGATTGGAAGTAAATTCCTTCGAGTTCTAAATTCTGGAACATCTTCTTCGTTTCGCAATAGAATATACTCTTTATCCTGAACATAAATCTTTATAATCCTAAAACAGCTCTCAACTTTGCAAGTTGGACTGTTCTCTACAGTTATGGTGAATAGTCTATTTTGCGCTTCTTGTATTAAAATATATGAACATTTGCTGTCGAAGCTAAAGACAGTATTATCGAAGGTCTTATAATGTACTCCACCCCACGTGAAACAAGTTTCTGGAACTGGTCTCTTCTCTTCAATAAATAGAATATTTTCCTCCAAAGGACTAAATGCCAGCTAATATTAATCAAAGTATAATTTAGTAGTACAAATAATTTACGTTTATAATTCATATTTACATTTGCTTAAAGTTATTACCTTATTCGTGGACATATTGGATTCATGATTGTTGTAATGTTGTGTAACTTGATAATTGTCTTGAATCAGTGGAAATTGATTTGCATGGGAACTGAAAATATTCTGGTAGGTCCAGGTATGATTAGTCTCTTTAACATGGGAGTTATATGTAGTGCCCAAAGAAATTACATTCATATTTTGATTGTATTTACACAGGGGGATGGGCTGAGGCATAAAAACACCCGTTTCATAATTACAAACATATGTAGAAGCTGGTGGAAATTCGAATTCTATTCCATCAGGACAATTTATGCTGCATGAATAAGTATCATCAATGTTTGTGCAAAGAAATCCTCCATTGAAACCCATTTTTTCTCCATTGCAGGCGTTAGCGGCTACATTGGGATTAATTAATCAATTATTTAGATGAAGTAATTTTCATTAAAATAAATAAATTGTATTTACAATATTGACACTGGGATCCTCTATATGCTTGAGGACACTGACAAAGATTCGATGGGAGACAGTTACCACCATTCAGGCAAGGTGGGTCACATATAGCTATAACAAAAAAAAGAATATTGAATTTTTATGTGGTAATAAATTTAGTTTTAAATTCTAGATCGAGGAAACATACGTTTACAGTCGGGTATAGAGACCCAATCTTTCCGAGTTGGCTCCCAATTTCCATTCTTGCATATGAAATTAGAAACGGAAGTACCGTCCGGAAACGTAAAATTCTCCAAGCAAGATATAGTACACAATCTAATTAAAAAAGTATGAAAACAGTCAAATGTTTAAATCAGGTATTTTAAGTAAAATGGAGTTTAATAGATTTAAAGACATACTTCGAATTGCACGTTTTATGTGCATTAAGTACTGGTGCAGGATAATTGAGGCATGGTTTATTCTCAAATTGACACTGTGGTCCAGTAAAGTGTTCAGGACAATTACATTGATGAGGTGCAATACATACTCCATTATTTAAACATTCCGGCATGCAAACGGCTATAAATAAAAAAATATACTTATTCGATGCGTATTATATTTTTTATATTAAAATAATTGGTCATTTTCAGGTGAAACCCACGTTCGCAGTGAGGAGTAGAGACCCAATCTGTGCCAAAAATATGCCATTCTTGGTCCGTACATGTTATTGCTAATTGCCTCACTCCATTAGGAAATTTGTAATCACGCTTACAGGTTGCAATGCACCCGCTGCAAGTAAAATCTAATAAATATCTAGATATAAAGATTGAGAATACGATTTATCATTTAATAAACAGTTACCTGTCTATGGAACATCTTATTTCTCCATTTACAGGTGAATCTGGTTGTCTGCTGCAACCCCCTGGAAACAAAGTAAGCTTCCTTCTGGTTTTCGTGTTCTTCACACCCTCGTAATTATGTTCTTGAAGGTCACTTTGTGCAACAGTTGAACTAAGTAATTTACAAATCAATTAAAATCAGTCGTAAAATCATCAAGGAAGGTCAAAAAGTAAGATTAAGTTACTTACTCTATTACATTAGGAAATTCTGGAAAATTATCGGCGACACTGAATTGATCAGAAATCGTAATGATTATAACAACGATAAAAAACGCTTTCCATAGCACCATGCTGAAACGCTTATTTTTATACCATACTTATGAAAGAAAGATGCTAGTTTAAAGTACTATTGAGAAAACTCTTCTCGTCAAATATACGAATTAACATAATTCTTCTTTTATATAGCCACCTCTAAAAGGAAGCGGATAACCGATAACTGAAATCTAATTTGATAAGTAAATTTAACGAAAAATATAGGTCATTAATATTAGGTCATAAATTGCCAAGAATTTATAAATTGAAAAAGCTTTATTACTAAAAAAATTATATGTTTATTGTCATAGAATCAGTTCATTTACATGATAATTATTACATAAAAATATTCATTAAAAACATATATGTATATGTACGTCATCAGGTACTGTAATAGTTCATTTGCAATTAAAAATAATTCTTTATAATATTTGATATGCCAATATCTTCACTATTTTGGAATAGATCATTTAAATAGAGAAATACGAAGAGACATTTTTCGAATATTCGTGATATAAATTTAGAATTTGTATCAGTTGTGATTTTATTATCATACTTCTTACAAGCGTTAATGAGTTCTTAATTAGTCAGATAAGGCAACGATGGGGAACCAGTTATCAAACAATGCTACTTTACTGTTCCCACATTTGTCATATTAATATAATTTATTAATAAATTGTAAAACTTGATAATTATTTCAAAATTTTAACAATATTATTCTGTAAAAATCCTAATCTTAATAGTCATATTAATTATAACAATTAAAGTATGATACATAATAACGTTAATTATAAAATAGGTTTAGCAAATTTGTCGTATAAACGCTTATATACGAAAAATTATGAGAAAGTTCGTGCAATTTGCTTTTTTTTTATTTTTTCCTTTTCGAATTGTGTGTATTTATTTGCTCAGTTTTATGTTATAGTTGAATATAATACATTTCTGCCACTGTTTCTCTTAATCCTGGAAACATTTTTAAAATTCACTTTATGGTGTGACTTTCAGTTTGTTCAGCGATTTTTATTCTACGTCTTCGATCGTCTCGAAAAGATGTTATCTCATCGTCCTTTTTAATCTCGAAAATAGAAGGAAGTTGTATGAAATCATATCAAAACTGTTGGGGAACCATTCTTTTTTGAGCTATATCATTTTTCATTTAGAAATTCACGGACAATTACTTAGTACCTAGTGATTATAGTGGAGTCTCCATACATTATCCTTTTACAAATAAAATTTCTTTCTACGATTTGCTTCGTACAAATGAACAAAGAGAAGAAAGAGAACCTAGGTAGGTTACTGATATGTTCGAGAACTGCTTGGATCCTTAGAAACTTTATTTAATATTTCTTTAAAGATTTTCTTGGCATTCAATTTGTGTTGGGAATGAAACAGCTTTGGTACAAATTTCGCTGATAAGTATTAATTATTTCTCTAATTTTTTTATGTTTCCACCGGTCATTGATATACTTAGTTTCCCGCTTCTATCAGCATGCTCTACTGACCAACTGAACATGGACTTCTTCGAAGCGTCTATACACTTATGTATTGTTCGTCGTTTCGTATTTAGATTCGTCAAAATCTTGTTTTAACTTTTCAACATTAGAGTGCTTAATACCACTTTTTACATAAAACTGTAATAATTATCTGTTAAGGTTTATTTTTTGAAATATCTGAAAAATGCAATGTAGTAAGAACAAAAAAATTTTACGAATATCTTGGAAACTAAGCCTCAGCGGCAATTATATGTATAGGAAAAAATCTTTTAAAATGACGTGTTTTACAACATATTCAAAACTCATCAAAATCGGTGTGGAGTATTCTTTTATGCACAATTACCAAAACTATTTCAGACAAAAGTTGTAAGGTGTCGAGAAGAATACAAGGTGGTTCACCATATTGCGCCTTTTATATTACTGTTTCACATGAATTGTTTTGAGGAAAACATATTTTGGCGATACTAGTTTTCTTATATATGTACGTGTAGAGGGTATATGAAGGTCATTGACATTTTTTTTAAACGGAATCATATATTTTTTATTGCATCAGTCGATGTACCTTAATATTCTTTACAAAAAGGTATTAACTTATTTATGTTAAAAAATCATTAGTTTAGGAAATATTGTAATTTTATCGTTGTTAAAAAATATAGTTAAAATTAAAATATCTTCTAAGCTAATAATTTTTTTATATAAATAGGTTAATTTTTTGTAAAAAAATATCAAGGTGCATTAATTGATAAGATAAAAAATACATAATTCCGTTCAAAAAAACACATACAAGAAAACTAATACCATCAAAATGTCTCCCCTTCGAAATCATTCAAATTTAAGTGAAACATTTTTCGCTACGCGTAATAATGATGTAAATATAAAAGGCACATGTGATGAACTACCCGGTATATCACGATGACAATTGTTTGTCCTTGAGATAACTTTAGAATTCTGTAAAGGTCATACTCAAATTTTTAAATAGAACTCTATATCTTTTATTACACATTGTTATAACTCGTATTGAGATGTTTTCGAACCACTGCCATGACATTTCGCCCGGATAAATAAATGCCAGCAGTACATCAATTTTAATAATCAATAACTAAATAACGGCTTATGTAAAATACATCTGTAGATAATAATTTGAAAACATCTCAATATTTGGAACATGCTTAATAAAAAATATAGAGTTCCATTTAAAAATTTGAATGTGATCTTCACAGAATTCCTCAACATTAAACAATTATTATTATATATTCTTCTCAATACATTACGATTTTTGCCCGAAACATATTTTTGCATTTTTGTTACATAAATAATCATGTATAGATACTTAGCAGACATATAGTATATATGTACAAGAAAAAGTTGTTTAAAATATTGATTTCTAGATATTTTTTTTAACTAAATCTGGATAATTTTCAAAATTTTATTCTATTCCCCCATAAAGAAAAAGAAAATTTTCGTTGAATACAATGAAATGCAGTTTACTTACTTCACTGCAAAATCTAATTTATAAAACCGATCTAATTAAAATATAGCACAAATATCAGGGAAATGTACACCAACATCTTATTACAACAAAAATATAGCGGGTATTTTTTTTACGAGAAGTGAAACAATTGTACGAACTTTCTGATCACACCTTACATGTATACAATATATAAAAATTATATAAGGACGGATTATTTGGATTTACTTGAATCTTTGATTCAATAATTCTTGCTAATTAATTGTTCTGGTTCAGAATATTTTGAGTGCCATATTTCGTAATAAAATTCGCTTGAAATGTTATTTAAATGCGTAATATTAAACTCTTCTTTTAATGCAACTTTCCACACCTATAAATGATAAAGTTCGATTAATTCCAAGTTCGTTTTTTTATCAGAATATACTTATATCGAAGTAATAATCTTACATCCTCATCAGGTATGTCTGTTGCAGCTTTCTTACTTCCAAAAATAGCTTTTCTCTTTAAGACATGAAAATTGTATAATAAATAATTCATGGTGTACATTTTTTCAGATTCTCCTATATTGAATGTAACAGACAAAAACGAACAACATTCGTCGTTTGTTGGATACATAGCATGAGTCCAATAAGCACCAGTTTTAACAATACCCCATAGTAAAGACTGTAAAGGATATCCATGGAAAGTACCTCTTAGGTACTGATCTCTTGTATCAGAAGGATAAATTCCCATAGAGGCTAAATGCTTAGCTGGAAATAATTAAGAACAATGGCTTAATTATAATTTCATAGATAAGGCATATCAGAAGTGATAAAAGATTTACCAAGATAATAATCTTCCTGTTTCCAATATCTACCACTGGTTATACATTTCTCTGAATTATCAAACATTTTAATTAACTTTCTAAGAACTCCTATACTAATTACATATCCTGCATCAGCAATATTATAAGGTTGACCCCATAAAATGACTGCATGACCCAAATAGTGATCTTGAGTATGATTTAATGGGCTGAGCATATAACGTAGATTTTCAAGAATCACCAATGTGTCGTCTTGTACAAAGATAATCCACTCTAAAGCTTTGTTACTTCTCCAAATATAATTAATAGCTTCACATAAAAGTTGCCATGAAGATACTAATTTTATCTCAAAATTTATAATAGGGACTTTGAAGTCTTTTACTTGACCAAAAAAGTATATTCTATTACAATGTCTTCCCCAAGTATCCTGAATAGATCTAGCTAATTTAACTTTCTTCACAAACACTACGCATGTAATATGAATGTGTGATTTTAACCAATTAGCTTCCAACTCTTCCTTCTTTTCAGATCCATAAAGATAACTATCCATATCAATATTATTTAATTTCAGGTGTCTATTATTTAACCATTTTCTATATGTTATATTTGTTGATTTCTTCCAGCTTTGAAAGACAGTCTCTTTATTTGTCCATGTGTCAGTCACAAACAATTTAAAAACTGTACTTCCACTTACAGAATATAAATTTAATGTGGATTTTTGACATAAAGGAATATTATTAAATAGATTTTGAGTAGCAAACAGGAGTAATGCAAGAAAAAAACCAATCCCAAATCCAGTTAAAAATACAGATTGCAACTTAAAACGGTACAGATACATCTTATATCTTTGACATTGATGTGGTATAATGTGTCTTTATTACAGAACTTTTCCTTCTGAAATAGTCAGTTTATGATTTAATAATGTTAATTGGCTCTTGTTAAACTTGTTTGCTCAATTGCATTAGATCATTTCAATCATGATCTTCACATCTTAAATCAAAAAAATATTTAGAAAATATATAATAAGGATATTAAGATGTGTATTATTATAAAAATTAAAGGAAAAAGATCGCTCAAAAAATGTACTTACATTTATATCATTAATAAGATCAGTCACGTACGATAAGAATCTAAAGTATGACAGGAAATTTAATAACACATAAATTTTATTATTTTATTAAATTTTGCTATTTTATTACTTTTCATAAACTTTTGTTTGTGTAACACTAAGTAAAACCAAATAGTGCAACAAACTAGGTCAACAGGTAGTATTATGTATTTATTTTACTTGACATAACCAACATAACCAACTAATGGTTTTAGCATATAAAAAGTTTCTCCTTTAAATAGTTATAGATATTTTATCAATGTAGTTAATATATATGTTATTTATATATAGATATAAGTTTTATTTTATTTATAATTATAATATACAGTTGCTATAAAAATTCTTATTTTAACATTTAAGAATTTAAGAAAAACTTTTTATAATTTTATACGAAAATTTTTATTTATAAAATAATTTCTAATTATTTACATTTGTACAAAGATTTTAAAATCAGTTGTTTGGAAATAAAAGGAAACAAAGAAAACATTTTTGTATTTTAATCATTAAACAAGAATTATCTTTATTCATTACTACAGAGAAAGGTTAAGCTTTATTTTATTAAGTTTGTCTTTACAATACAGAATTAAAAAACATAGTTCTACATCTAGTAAGTATAGATGAATTATCTTAACATGATGCTTAATATCTATTTTTAGCTTTTTTTCAGACAGGTACTGAGTGAAAATATTTATATTATACACAATAGAATTTATATGATATGCTTAAAAGTATTCTAAAATGGAGTTTTTGAAAAGTAAATGGAGATCTATTTAAAAGTTTCTCTATGTAGATATAAATTACACATTATTTCTAATTTTGATATTTCATTACAAATACCATAAAATTTATAAATAGAAGCTTAAAATTCTAAAAATTGAAATATGAGTTTTAAATAAATTGAACAAAAATTTAAGTTTCTTGTAAATAAAATTAAAAACTAATTTTTCCACGAATTTTAAAGAAACCTAATCCATTTCTATTGTGTACCAAGGCACCTACACCAAAGTAGTTTTCTATGATAATAAGTCCACTTTTTACACTACAGTCAGATGGCAACAAATTTTTAATTGATGATTGCAGACCCTCAGCATTGAATTTTGCTTTCTCTGTTTCTGATCCTATAAATAGCATCAAAGTTTTAGAAGTTAATATTTTCTATAATTATATATGTAAAATAAATTTACCTTTGTACCAAAATAGTGGATGACTAGTATAAGTAAGCCATGGTATATCTTTTGCAAATGGATTCCATTTCTTAGTTAATGGTAATGGATTACCTCTGTTCCACATCAGTCTTATTCCAGACATATGTCTTTTTCTAGAAAATAAATTTTTACCTTATACAATGAAAACAAATGAGTTCCTATAATTTCTATTATTATACACCAATATTTAAAAATGAATGTATTTGAAAATAAACAATGGAATATAAATATTATACTATTTATCAAAGCAGCAGGCTGCAAACATAAATTTGAATATTAATCAAATTAAATAAATAGTTATATTGTGCATCTTCCATTTTATTAAAAGAGAAATTATTTAAAACTAGCTATAAGTATTTAACACATACTACACTACTAACAAAAAACAATGAAAAAAAATGCCAAGCAGTTCTTTTTAAAATAAGTGGGGTCTCTGCTGTACATAAGAACACAGTGTACCTAGGTTCAAACTGTGCAAGACCTGTACAAGAAGCAAGAGAAGACCACTCTTGATGAACTGTACAATGAATTATTGATGATACACCCTCTGCCAATCCATTTAATCGTCTAAAAATTGTTGATAAATTTATAAAAGATATATCTTAATCATGATTAATTTTTTCACCTAATGTAACTGTAATATTTTATAGTTAATTTTGTAGTAACACTTACGGTGCTAGAGATGTAGAAGGGTAAATTAGTTCACCCGAAATAAGTGTATCAATTTGCAACAAAGGTATCCGATTATACTCAAGTATTTTTAAAGAGATGAAATCATACTTTACTGAATAAATAGCTTTTTTTGTAAGTATTACTAATCTTTCTTTCTCAATATCCCACAAACTTATTCTACAAATATGTTTTAGTATTAATCATTATATAATATGATAATATTCAATAAGATTTGTATAAATTAGGTTTCATACTCTGTTAAAAGCCAGTTTCCAACGATATCCTTCTCTTCTTCATTTATTAAACTCTCCTGACAATCTTTTAATGCTCTATCAACGACCTCATTTCTATCGGAAAAAAATGAGTGAATATCTATATGTTTAAAAGGAATATTAGATACATCTCTTGATGATGGAACTTGATTTGAAATATAATCCTCCCTGTTCTCTCGGTTCTTCTTTGCAGTATCAACTCCTTTTAACAATTACAGAGAAACAAATTATTGTGTCTTAATATTGAGAAAAAGTAATTTTATGGAAACATGGACAAAATAGTTGCAGGAAATGTTCGAAACAAAACAAAGCGAATGTACTCCTATCTCCTTAATTTAATTTAATTTAAGATGTATAGAAATATTGTGTCTTGTCTGTAAAATACTCACCAGCAGAAATAGTGTTTTGAACGTTAACTTCGTTGCTATCGAGTTCTTTGGTAATTTCTAACGTAGTCGTTTCAAAGTTTCCTGTTGGTCCTTCATCGAAATACGTTTCATCCATTGCTTTAGGTTATGATTCTACTGCTTGATTAAGGAATCCAGTTCGCTTTTGTTATTAATAGTGTCAGATTCAAATAATTTTTAGAATTGTTTGAGACAATATTTTCCTTTGATTAACTATTTTTTGTAACGTTAGTAAGTCACACTTATTATATATGTTACTATGAATAGTTTGACACTTCAAGTAATCGTAAAAGACGCTATGCTTATCAAATCTACATTAGCTACTGATAATATTATCTACAGATAGTAAAATACTTACAATCCTTCATTTTAAATAAGGGTAATGTTGCTTATATTTGAAAAAATTAAAAGAAAATTCTTTAGTTTTCAAATATTTTTAAAAATTATCTAGTTTATATTGACAACGAAAGATAGTATTGTCGAACAAAAATAAGTCTTTATTAAATATTAATGACAACGTGAAAATTTCAAGATATAACAAATTTAGACAATCGTTGTATATAATTCATTTATACATTGTTAATACGTTATTTCTTACTTATATAATTACTCTATACATATATATATTCGAACTGTACAAAGCATCAGCCTTATAAAACTCATATCTGACTAGTGCTGATGATTTTACATTTTACATTTTACAATATTTGTACAATTTTCCATAAACTATGTTTTTTTATCTTTTTGTACACGCGCGATGTTAAAAGAATATACAGTTACTAATACTTAGTTAATGGTTCGCACTATCTATATACAACGAACGGCATAAAAAATATATAGTTTACAATAACAAACGAAAACTAATTTGCAAGATATTAAACTTCTTAATATAGAAATAAATACCATACACTATTATAAAAACTTTGGTTTTTGTCACCGTTATCCTGTTTATCTCTTATTTAGTTTTAAGTAGATTTAAGTAGATATAATTATATGTACATATACACAAGCACGCACGCGTGTGTACACACTCTTAAAAAATCTCATGTCCTTTTTTGAAGTTTTCCTGCTTGTCTCTTACAATTACGTTAAGATAGAAAATGTATATGTATGTGTATGTGCTACCTATGTGATAACCAAACATCTTTTTTTATATTATCTTTCAAAAAATATTGTCTGTAGTGCTTTTCATTTAAGTCTCGCAGAAACGGTGTTTCGTATCAGTCTTTTCATCAACTTAGATTTAAGCGTAATAAACCATTATTACGTGTGCCACAGAAAGAGAAATAAAAACAAACCAAGAAATAATAAGGAAACCAGCAAATTGACTAGCATACCAAATATAGATTATTGACCAAAAGTTTGTATCACTTGTTCTAGTATTAAACCTTTAATGATGGAAATATTTTTCGAATTAAAAATTGTCAATTTTTCTTTAAAAATATTTGTATTTTTTAAACGTACAGTGATTCCAAACTTTCGGTTAATTACAAGGTATAAACTATTCGTGTATGATCATCCGCAATTACTTATAGTACTGTACATCGTCTAACATATTATCCGATGAGGAAAGAGTCAAGTTACGTTCCTCGTGCATTCCTTTAGCATAATTAATTTGCTGTGAAACCTATAAAAGACTAAAAATAATTTAAATGTACAATGATAATGATTAAGTAACTTTCATAGTAACACTGACCCTTTTCGCCACTTCTTCATTATCACATCGAACTTTAGGTCTTCTTAAAAGTTCCGTGCCATCCACATTAATAGCTATCGTTGAATCTAATCTAGATATTAATTCGATATAGTATAATGTGTCGCCATTACTTTCCAACTTATGCGTTGGTTGACAATATAACAAGTCTGCCAAACTGACTTCAGTCACAACTCCTTTAGTACCACCAGAAATCACGCGGATTCTTTCGTTAGAAACGAGGACTCTTAGATTTTCTGTCCCGCTACGTAAACACTCATATGCTACAAATAATTCTGAATACTTATGCTCATTTATTATGTAAAGAAATTCCTGGCCTTCTGCTTGTTGACGATTATAGGGTGGTAACAGACCAGCAGAGCCGCTAGCCACACGAGGAGGTCTATCACGTTTTGGTATCGTACGATGAGCACTGAAAAGGACCACAGAAAATTGTAGATACTATTAATAGTTATTAAATATAATTTGAAAGCCATATACCTTCTACTGGTTTCTCTTACAGCAGTAGCAGTTTCTGTAGCAAGATCTAGAACTCCTACTACAGGTTTTGTAATAGTTCCAACCACTCCTTTACCAAACCCAGCAAAAAAGCCCTGAAATTATTTGGTTACATTTAATTAATTTATTACAATCAATTTCATTTTTAATTTTACTCGTACAGGAAATCCCTCATTAGCTGCTCCATCATAGGTTTGTTTAAAGATACTAGTCACTCCTCCAAGCAATCCAAAGCCAAAACCTTTTAATCCAGCTACTAGATGATCACTACTGCCTGCAGTATTAGCACGAATTTTCTGTCTAGCTTCCTCGTGCCTTTCATCCATTATAACTCTTCCTAATCCATCAGAAAGAGATTCTGTTACCTTAGCAGCAGAGTTTGATATGCCGTGCGTGACATTTTTCACTAAAGTCTTTACACTTCCTTCATAGATTAAACCAGATACTCCTTCTGTGACATCATTTACAAATCCAAGAGGGTTGCCTAGAAAGTCCACAGATCCTAATATTACTGCAGCTTGCCATTTTAATTCCTGAAATGAACAGAAAAATGTTTTAATATAAAATATAAAATAAACCAATAAATAAATTGAAACCATAAGTTTTAATGATCATACATCTTTATAGTGTTTTATAATGGAATGTACTAAGAACTGAGTGCTTTCAAAGGGATGCTTCTTAATGAATGGCTCCAGTTCAATAGTGGCATCTTCAAACTTGATTAACGTTAAGCCTAATTGTCTTTTTATGGCTTGAAGATGACGTGGCAGTTTTGTTGTAGTGAGTACGCTTAATTTTATCTGTAAAAACATATCATATAAAATACTTCTTGTTTCATTTAAAATTTTAGTTAGTGAGACAAACCTGATTAGGAACAATCTTTAGAGCACCAAAATAGTATCGTTTGGCATGTGCAGCAGATACTTCGGAGATAAATCTCTGAGCTTTAAAGTCATTTTCATCCACAGGCACATCCAGCTCTGATCTTCCTGCCCCGACAAAGGCAACCAATTTCAATATTAATTTTTCTTCTAAATGTATACAAAGTGGTTTAATGCTCACTACTACGTGTTTATATATTTCTGCATTTTGGTTTTTGGATTTCAGCTTCTCTGCAACTACATATATAGCTGGTCTGTGCTCATTTTCGGCTCTAGTCGATCGTGTCACGTAAAGAACAGAAGTACATTGTGCTTCGAACAGTTGATTATCAATTTGTATGTCTTCTACACTCAAATCTAAAGTAGTATTGATAGGAGTTTGAACTACTTCCAAAGAGATACCAGCTAAACGAGCAAATAGTAGTTCTTCAACTGGTCTCCGAGAAATAATTGACAGTCCTAAGCCAGCTGTCAAGTTAACTTTTAATTCCAATTCTCTGGAATTAATCTTTCCTGTATCACTATTTATTTGAGTTGGTCGGTGGGAAACTGCAATATGTGACCAATCACGTTCTTCTAACAAAGCAAATGTTTTTCTCTGCAAAAGAATATTAAAAATTGATACATTGATATTTTTAATATATTTAACCAATGTTCATACCCTTTCTTTAATGTCTAATACTTGAAGCACTCTTGTTGGACCATCAGTAATAACCGTAACAGATAGAAAGCCAGATCCCGGTCTTAACTTTTGTCTACCAACACGCTGTTCTATTGGTGCAGGATTAATGTGTGTTTGGGGGCCTAACACTGCTTCACTTCCTAAAAAGACACACTAGAGATGTACAATAAACATATCCACAGAGATCGAGAGGTTGTGTAAAAAATATAAAATTAAGATATTAATACATTCTGAATCTATACATATATATTTACCAATGAACGACACTTTATGAGTACTATATAATTCAGAAGATAGGGGGAGAATAAATAAAAATTTAGAAAATTAAATTTAAATCGACAGTGCTTGGATTTTTTTTTAATTTTAGCATCTCATAATTTAACATTTACTCATATTTGAGCAATAAGGATTGACACACATTTTAATAAAATTCATTGTGATTTTAGAGATGAACAATATATATTTTTTATATTCTCAACAGTATTCATTCTCTTAATATATTTTTGTAATTTTTACATTGTCTAAACACTTAGGAAGTAAATGTGCAATATTTTTTGACCTCAATAACGAAAGAATTAACACGTCTCATGCCGGATCGACTTTTAGATTCTTACCATTCAGGCCGTGTCGGGTATATACGCCCTACATTATTATGATTAATAATTTTGTTTCAGACATATTTATAATAGTGAAAAAAAATAGAATTATCAAAAAAAGAGTATACAGTTTAAGATGCATTAGACAACAAAGCAATAAGATATTAAGATGTCTATATATGACGTTAGAATAAAATAAAAAAAAATTCTTTGGTTTACAATGTGAATTCAGATGGTTTGAACGAAAAATTCAGCGTGGGATCTATACACTCATGTGGCATAGAACGTGTTAATAAAATATCTTCCAGTAAAGATCAATAAATGAATGTAATTTAAGCTATTATATGAAAAATTAGAAATAAGGAAAAGTACAGTAATAAAACTTTGGTTACTGTAGTAAAAATGTTACAATTAATAATAAATATTGCTTAGTTATAATTATTGTATGTCTTTTTATACTGTTGGAAAAATAATAGTTGAAAATAAAAAGAAACAAAAGTCAAACAGATGAAAAAAATACGTCTACCTAAAGGACTATATGATATCTTACAATTATAATATTTCAAACCTTCGTATAATCCCATGAATCCATCTTTTGATTGCACACACATATTCTTATGAGCACAACATAAACGTCCATCATCAGTGAATTGCCAGGTTTGTGTAGATCTTCTTCGAGGATCAGGTTTCCTTAAAGCAAGAGCACAGTATGTGAATGGTTGAGGTGCTGTACCAGCAATATCTAACACTAACACTGTCTCGGGAGTTTTTGAATGCTTGTCTCTGGGTGGACTAGATCCTGTATTCATAAAAAAATGATTTAAAAATGATTACAAAAAATATAAGACCAATAGAAGCATACTTTTTAGCATACCTTCATGCTGTAACTGACCATCTGCAGTCATCCTCCATAACTGAGATCTAGCTCCATATTGTTTTCTCCTTAGAGCAACCCAGCCACCAGGGCCAGCTTCTAAGACTAATCTCTGTGTTTCAACATCTAGAGGATCTAGCCCAGCTTCTCCTGTTCCCAGATCGCAATCAGTTTTAAAAGTACCTATTTTCAACAAATTATGAAGTATATAACAGAAGATTGTTTAAATATTCCACAGATAAATAAAAAGTACCTGTGAAGGCAATATAAATAAAGTTCTCATAAGTTAAAACTCTGCCTTCTCCAAGTATATTTAAGTCATATGTGGCTGTTACACCTCCTGGTGCAGTTACAACTAAACCAGCAGATTGTATGGGTTCATCTAATGCATATGGTACAGAGGAGTGTGGTCTGACTGTCCATTGCAAATTATCATGAACAGTAACCTACGAAAATATTTTTGGGAATAAATCCTAATTAATCCAATTAAATAATTTAGCGAAAAATAATAATAAATAATGATATAGCAAAAAATATTTATGGTAATGATGTTCAAAACATAATTTATATGAAATTCCTTAATTAGTCACCTGATTTACTACCAAAGGCACCTCTGAAAAGTTATCCACCCTTATAGGTGGAGGCATAGTGTCTGCATCAGTAAACACTATGAAATATGTACTCTCTTGCAGGACTACATCTATTCGAAGAAAATACATCTTTTCTGTTGTATCTCTGATGTTAATTGTCAATGAATAATTATCATCTAATCTAATACCACCTGACCACATGCAGTTTTTAACATTTATAATGCGAACACATAGTAGTAAATCTTTATCAAGACGTGGCCAATGAAATGGCATATGGCAATCAGGCATAATTTTGATATATGTTGCTTGAGCATCTGGATGACTCTGAATGAAAAATATTTTATCATAAATTAAATAATGTATTAAATATTATTATGAAATAGAATAAATTTATTTACAATTGTTGTAGTAAAACACTTTTGTGCTAGTTCCAGTGTGCAACTCGATTTATTGTGCAGCTGATATCTGGGAGATATTGTAACTACAGTTGTGGCTCTATATTTTCCTCTGGCTGTCCTAGTAGCGACACTAATTAGATAAACTATATCAGGTCTACCATCACGGAGAGATATTCTAAGGCGATGTACCTGAAAGCATAAAAAATGAATTCATATCTTTTTTCATATGTAATTATACTTATTTAATATTTACAAACCTGTATACCAGGCTGTAAATGAAAATGTTGGGACCATTGTGGAATTCCTTGAGGATGTACTAAAGTACCAACTCTCACTGAGAGTGTTCTGCTTGCTTCCTCATCGCTAAAAGAAAATAACAAAGGAGCTACCATCCTGGCTTTTTCATTTTCTTCAAATTGCCCAGCTGCTTCCATTCCAACCCCTTCTTGTCTAAATACCAATGGCAAACCAGTTTTATTTATGATCCAGTATGGTGCAGTAATATTAATTTGTATGGCAGAGCCTTTTTCTATGCTAACGGCTGCATGTAGATATAATATTCTTCCAGAAGAATCCATTAACCTTAGACGAGTAGTGAAAGAATTGATATTTGGTGGTAATAAGATCTACAAGAAGCATGTAAATTTTAAATACTAGTAAAATGTTGAAGAAATTAAAAAAGGAAACAGTTTATTTACTGTTCCTGATCCAGGATAACCATCCAGTTGCACAGTAATTTCTAATTGCTCTTCGACGTCTACGGAATGCAAATCCGCACTACCACCAGGTTGAATCCTACCATTCTCAGTATTAATTTCGAATAATAATTCATGTGGTAATAGATTAGTTAATGTAAGAGGAGCCATCACTGTTATGATATGTGCTGGCAGCATTTGACTTATGTCCAATGGATAATTATCTCTCATCACTGCTATGCACATTCTATATAATAAAATAATTTAGAAACGTCTACTAAACGTTTATATAATTTATTTATATAACTTAGAACATACCTAAATATATTGTTATGATTAGCTCTACATGTAACACGGTTCTCTATAACTTCTAATGGTTTCTTCACTGTTGTCCAATCTATCATCTCTGTACAGTATTGAAACAAACTGTTCAAATTAATAGGTTTCAGACACATTTGCACACCGGTATGCGTTAGGGGAACCGATATCGTAGATTGGGCAGGTACTTGAAGAATTCTGTCACTAACAGACAATGTTAAAGGCAGATCTAAAATAAAAGGATGTAAAAGTAGGAATTCAATCAATGATAATTAGGTTCATTTTATATAAACAACCGACATCCAAACTGATTTAGGGATTTCTCCATCTTGATCTCGACTGTATGCTTTAATTTATTGGATATCTGTAAAGCTGACCTAACGGTTACTAATTTTCTAGCTGACCCTTCTAATTCAACAGCGAATACTATTCTAGCCTTTGGCGCTATCATCTGAAATTGAAAGCGATTGTTCAGATGTAAAAATGAAATAAGTTAGCTATTACTAAGAAAAATACACTAAATAAACAAATAAAATAAAAGTAAGTTTTAACTACCAGTGTAGTATCTATTTGTACACCAGTGATATTTGTATTCGCATGACGAAAATATATTCCAACACGATCAACTGTGACAGGATCTACTGGTCTCCACCCATCCACTAGCACTGTAATTTGATGTCTCCTGACAGTGTGTGTAGCATGGTGTCTCAATTTACCTCTTCCTTCAAAAGTAAATGGAACAATATCACCTGGAGAAACTTCAAGCCATGTATCATCTTTCTCAAAGTCACTCTTGACTTTGAAATTCTGTCCCACATTCTTTGTATCATCCGTAGTAGCAATAATTGTTTTGAACCATAATTTACAACCAGTTTCATTTCTTAATGCGAAGGGAATGAAAGGCATTCTACGTCGATATGCCTGACAGTTGCTTCCTTTATTCACATTTATATCTTTACTGGAAGTTAAATAAAAATCTTGCATCCAATTGTTCTTAACTAATTCTATCAACTCTATCAGCGTTGAAGTTATATTGACATTGACAGAATCTTGAGAGTCAATAGACATTTGCAACCTCTTTGCATTGAGAGAATTAGTTAATGTCTGTTCCCATTTGACAGTTGCATGCCAGGGTTCGATAAAGGGTTCCCAGCCACTGAGGACTCTATTATAATAATCAATACTGAAAGTAGTAGATACTATACCAGGTCCCACATGTTCTTGTCTTAAATTAAGATCTAGTAAAGAAATTTCTAGCAATGGTACATCAGCATCTCTGCAATCGTCTATAATACATATTCTTATACAAGATGTTTGTAATTCAATAGTGTGGAAAACAGATTCATTATCCATACTGGTATCTGAATTAGGCACTGCATTTTGTGTTAACCATAAAGCTGCTTCATCCAGTTGATCATTACAGAAATTCAAAGCAGCTCTGCAATCAGCATCAGTAAATCCCAAAGCCGTTAACTTTTGTACCTGTTTTTCAATAGGTGTTAATGCTTCACTGGAACGTTGTTTAGCTATCAAAGTTTGTTTTGGTAAAGAGCTAAGCATTCTAGAAAACATAGTCACATCATGATAACTCAATCTCACACACAACGGTTGTAGCTGTATTTCAAGACATTTATCTAATGTTAAATCCAAACTGGCTCCAACAGGATCTATTATAGACAATGCAGTTTCCTCTTCTAATCCTAAGATACAGGAAAACAATTCACAATGGGACAGATTACAAGAAAGAGGCTTTTCACCTTCTTGAGGTGCAGACCTATAAGAAAGAACAGCTGTATTTTTCAGAATAACAGCATTCGTGTCATGAATTGATGTATCCTCTACAATAACTAATTCTGAATCAGTAATATTGATTTTTAACTCAAATGGTATTGAAGTTAAAGTGTTACTGCCATTTTCTTGGTTGTTGTCGGTAGTAGCTTGTGCAATACCAAGAATAGGTTCTGGTTCTACAGAATTTAACATCAAAAAGTCTCTCACAGCCTCCCACCAATCTAGAATAGCGGTTAAGCGCATACTATGTACCAGTATAGTTGTGGCTGCATTTCTTTTACGTCTTCTATGGTGCACTTCTGCCTGAACACGATTTTCATTATTGGAATTCCTTAGAGGTTGTAAAATACTTGTGAAAACGTTAGATTGTTTACTAACAGGTTCATTCTGAAACCTCATATCCATAATTAGTATTTCCTGGGATACTAAGTCAATATCCTGTGATCCATCACTCAATGAATCCAATGTTAATCTGGATTTTATGAAATTAATACAAGCCAGAGCTGCAATATTATGATTTGGATGTAACTTAACAGTAACATTTACCAATTCTAAAGTTATGCAAGATTTTTTCCAAATTTTCTCCCTGTTAGCCACATTTGCTATAGAATATTCAACAGTTTGATGTAAATCTTGCATAAATTGACGCAAATCATCCAGATTTTCTCCAATATTGTAAGAAAGCAAACCACGAATTAGCATATACTGAGCAGGATCTAAAGCGCAATCCATTGTAGACAGTGTTCCATGAATACTCAAATCAGGAATTTCTCTACTAATGTAAGTATCCAGGTTTCTTTCAATGCGTAATTTCAAATGGCACATTTCAGTAAGTAAAGATGACCCAAGTTTCTTAATATGAAAGCCACCAACAACCAACGTATCGATATTGTTATTCTTGTTGTCACACTTCACTCGTTTAGCTGCATAGACGTCCATATTAACTAATTCAAGAAACATTATATCTAGCATGCATTTATCTACCGTTTTTGAAGTTTCAAATCGATTATGAGCAGTAAGCTCCCCCAGATCAAGTAATATCATTTCATCTGATCTGGAGCTGACTGGTAACAGGATCACTGGAGCACCTGCTTCTAATTCTAAGGACAATCTCATGCTTCTTTTGTTAATATCGATTATAGCCCCAACTCCAGCTCTTAAATTAGCCATGATGGTCCAAAGTTGTGAGAAATGACCAAAAAATGCCCCAAGTTCTGCCACGAATCTCTGAGTATGTACATAGTGAACTGCAGACATTTCTAGTTTTAACTGTGCGTCATAAGGTCGTTTCTCGAAATCCAAGTAACTAGAATATTGAAAATTCAGAGCTTTTCTCCCAGATGAAAGAAATCTTTCTCTATAAAATCTTCCATGTGGTGTTAAGTCAAGTAAAGACATTGATCCTAAGGATCCTGTTACTTTTGTTTTTCCATTTGTTTTTAAAATATGCATGTTGGCATTGGATACATTGGCTTTAGCAATTTCCCGTTCAGATTGTATTAGTACCAATGTCAAAGATCTCACTTCTATTTCAGTTTCTGATCGTAAAGGCAGATTATCCACTTTGTCTAATTGATCTATGTCAATGGAAGTTTGGTGCATGGTAACTTTAGGATTAATTCCTGATGGACCACCAAACCCAAAGAAATCAAATACAACCATCCAGGATTCAACACTAATGACTAAATCTAAACAATTGAAGTCCACAGTAACGCTTTTTTGATGAGACTGTGTCACTGCTGGTTGATCACAATCTGGTTCTGTTATGGTAATACTCATCAACACTAAATTCTCTTCACTAGTAGATGCACCAGGTGATGGAGGTGGAGTATTTGGAGTGTTTGTCAAGGAAACTGGCTTTCTACGCCAATGAGGTGGAATTGTTCCATATAAAGTGTCAGTTTCCAGTCTGTCGGGTAAACTTCCCCGTCCAAACTCACTCCTAATTTGTTGTATAAACGCAAAATTAGGACAGGACTTAGAAACACCAGCTGGAAGCCTGGCACGAGTCGGTGCAGAAGATTGCATCATACATCTATGTCTCGAGCCAATAGGACACAAAAGATCTTCCATAAGAAGAGATCGTAAAGCAACTTGAATAGAGGATTCGTTTTTTTGTAACTTTTCATATTTTGCTACAAAATCTCTCATAGATAATTCAACTAGAGGTTGTTCTATGTGACCTTGTTTCAGTTCTATACCTAGGGTAGGTAGTTCAAATAATACTTTGATGGAGAGGTCAAGTTTATCAGAATAATTTGATAGTTTGCTCATTGCTTGAGATTTCTGAGCAACTGGTACAGATACTGGCATGGACAAAAGTCTGTTTATAGTGTCTAACAACTGTTCATATTGTCCTCGAGATAGAGATACTTTCAATGGTGTCATTACAACTCCATGGACTTGAACAATAGGGTTGCTAGAAAACTCATTATCAAGGAAAAAATTCGGGCTTTGTGCTAATATGTTTTCCTTTTCAACCACAACTTTTAACATAGTATCATGCAGAATTGGCTTGCCTGACTCTTTACAGCAGTAAATTTCTTCAGCTCTTAAAGGGAGATTACTGTGAATTTGTCCAACATTGGCTGATATTTCCAAAGAATACAAATTCATTTCTCTAACTTCCAAAGTTACTTTATGTTTTGCCATAGTACCTGAGTGGGGTTCATGTTGCAAGGACATAGTACCAAGATGTGCAACAAAAACTTGTCTACTATGAGACGAACGTGGAATTACCAAAACAGGGCTATCTAATAAAATATCCAGTTTTAAAGCTAGGCTTCCTGAATTTTCCAAGTCAACAGACAGACTTGGTAATCGTCTACGGGGTGGAATAGACCAGTCCTCTGCATTCACTAAGCCTCTAGCCATATCAGTAGCAGCTGCACTAATTTGTCGCGCAAGTTTGCTTAAATACTGTTTAAACTCATCAGCGCAAGAACGTAGTTCTGAAAATAAATGTGGAGCATGCGTATACCAAACACTCCCTATACGAATGGTTAAATCTATCAAGGTCTCTACTGCATCCTGCTGTTGAGTGCAAGGTTTGTTATATCGATTGGCTGAGAATCGTAAAGCTTCCAATTGATTGGACAAATCTGAAAAATGTTCTAATGGATTTTGAAGTGGATCAGCTATTGGATCTCTTCCCACACTGACGATTCTTTGGTGCGTTTTACCAGTTGGTGTTTGATCTAGAATTTGCAAACCTCCAAGCGAGCCAGAAATAAAAGTATCTATTGCCAAGGTGGCTTGTATTCGAGCGTCACACATCGTAGCTGTAGCGATCTTTTGACCCACTAAACGATTATCCTGCATCACTGCCCTTAGAAGAAGTACGTTCAGTCTATGAAAATCAAATGTTATTTCTGTCCTGGTGGACACTTTTGACTCTATCGTTTGATTTGATAAAGATTCCTGCCTCTCAATATACCCTGACTTTAACTTGCGAGACGGGAATATCCTTTTAAAGAAACCCATAAGTTCTACTATAGTTTCTTGATTGGCAATAATATCTAAATTGTTGAACTGAATATTAGCTACCCTTAGAGTCTCTAATGTATCATATACCAATGTCAATTCAACTACAATCAGAGCTTCAGAATCTAATTTTTCCAATTCAATTATAGAATTATTCCTAGGGGATTGGGAACTTTTTGCTTTACTTGCTAGATTGGACAAAGCATTAGTTAAAGCAGTTGGAGAAGTTAATCTTCTTGACATATTGGAATCAGGAGAACCAGGAGAGACTGGTGACAAGGGAGAATCTGGAAACACAGGCGATATTGGTTCTGAATCTCTCAAGCTTCCAGAAATACTATCCATTCCTACATGTTTGTGACTTGCTACTAATAATTCAAAGTCAGGACCAAATTCTTGAAGAGCATCTACAAGAAGTAGACCATGGACAGACAGAGAGATACTAACATCTGCAGTTCTTTTGCTAAAGGCAGCACGGACTCCAGACACCTGCAGCTCTGCCACACTGCGACCTCTAGACTGTAATTCAAAGGTCATCTGGTCGATGATAAATTGAACCATTATTACATGGCTCAAAAATTTGTCTGAATTCTCTTCTTTCTTAGGACTTACTGATTCTGTATTAATCAAATCAGTCTGTGAAATTCCAGTCGACTTTGAAAAACTAGACAATAAACTATACATCAGTCTAATTGCTTCCACCTTCTGTTCATTAACATGAACCACAAGTCTTGGTAAATTTCCAGATACAGTGACAGAAGGCAAATTTGGATCAGATGAGGCAAATACTCTTCGTTCAATTTGTAAAGATATGTTGAAGCGTTCTAAAACATGCAAGCTGGACATCCCCCTACTTCGTACATGTTTCCAGTTATCTTTCACCTTGCCTACAAGGATCTGTAGATCTACCAAATCAATAGAATAATGGTCATATAGCTTTTGATGTAATGCTGTCTCAGATATAGTCTGAAAGTCTTGCACAGAGCCATTTTCTTGACTCCCAGGTGGTGTGGAACAAGGTGTCTCAAATCTTTCATCTTCATCATCACTATTAAGTTCAGGAGAGTTCGATTTTATGATTATTTCATTATTTTGCACACCATTCGATAAATGGAGTTTCCCAAAGTCTACTACTACTACAGCAGCATTAGAATTAGTAAAATTCTCAACTAGTAAAATCTGTGGTGCAGATATATTAAACTGCAAATCCCAAGAGGAATGATATACCAGGTCTCCATCTAAAATCTGTTCCCAATTTTTAATGAGTTGTCTTCGAGTTCTATGTTTCATTGCTTCAAATTTTTGATTGGATGATCTATATGGCTTATACATAAAGTCTATTAACCAATGCATCACTTCAGGATTGTAAACTATATCCAAGGATTTGGAGTTTACTTGCAGCCAATGATCAGCATTTAAATGTAATGGTCTTTTTTCGTAAGTCATTTCAAAGAGATATTGGGGTAATTCATTGGTTGATTTTTCCGTAAAACTACGTTTCGGAAAGAACGTGGGAATTATTTGAGGCTGTACCAAAATAGGGAATTTGGAATTCTCTGTGAGATAATCATGCAAATACAAAGCTCCCAAGCTAATGAAAAACTTGTGAGACCTGTATCTAGGTCTTGAATCGTAACTCAAGTTTACTCGTTCAAATTGTAACTCTATTACTGGCTTGGTGTTCTCGCCATCATCCTTCGTTATGCAGAGAGAAAAAGTACCTTTTGATAAAGTAAAATTAAATTGCCCGAACACTGTATCTCGATGTAGTAAAGTATCATCATCTATAGTATCTGCTAAAACATCTAAAAGTTCTCCATCAAATGTAGATGATGTATTCTGAGTGTTTGTATTTGATGTCTTTGAATACCAACCCCACCATTGTGGAAACCACTGTTCCAACATTCCTCTAGGTTGAGGTACATTTATATTGGAATTCTGAACCATTTTTGGTGGCTTGACTTTATGCATTGCTATTTCTCTCAGTACTCTTAATTCATCAAAACTTCGCTCTTGTTCTATCTTCTCTTTTAACAATTTCATATCTGAAGATAAAACACTAGTTGGTGTTCCTATAAAGTGATACTGATTATTACCAAAGCGCAATAAAATAATAGACTCTTACAAATTTTCATTTAAATACCTAGTAATTTAGCATAATTCTCTACATATAAAATATTTTCTTTTCCTCTTTGAAGAACATCCTTCCAAGATGGTTTAGGTTTCAATGCATTTTTGCCAATATGACACCTGACTGCATATTTCCACCATTCTTTTGGTGCTGTGGATACATTAACCATTGGACGACAGCGTCTTTGTTGCTTACGACGTTCTATATCTTTCAAGCCTTTTATACATTTAACTATTTGATCATATTGTACCTGATGAAAAATTATTTATAATATATGAACTTTAAATATAAAATCTAGATATATAGGTTATAAACTTACATCTGTAAGACATAATGGAACATCATCTAATAAGAGATCAACAACCATTCTAGGTTTACTCGTCGATCTCAATGGTCGTTCAGATCTGTCTCTCTTAATGTGTGTTCTTGCATTAACAGGTAATAAAATATAGTTTTTAATTATATTTTTTGGTTCACCCATGGCAATCTAGAAAAAAAATAAATCTCAGAACTGTTAGCTCAAATTTTAATATTTACATCAATAATTGTATAGAAAAATAAATATATACAGCTAAATCGCCAAGATTGAGGGAACCAAGAAACTCATCTTTTCTCAGATGATTCCAATAAATGGAAAGTCTATTAAGTTCCATGAGTTTAAAAGATGTATCAGGAAGATTCCAAAAAACAGAACCAGGTATCCAACTAGAATCACAGCTTTGTGCAGTTAAGGCTCCTATAGTTACACCCAGTGCAATGCCAGTATCTATTGGTAAAAATTATTTTCAAATACTATAAGTTTTCTTTTTATTTCATTAAGTAAAGAAACTTATTTACCATCTTGTAATGTCACGCCATCTTCATATCTTATGTGAACATCTTTAATATTTAGCTGTAAATTTTCAATAATATTTGTGATCAATGAGGTACCATAATTCATCCAAGAACTGTAACTGGTAGCATAATAACCAAGATCTTGTTCTGTGAGTGTTCTCCATCTTGCTTCCAATGAATTTAATCGACTCAACTTATATTCTAAAATAGCTTGTTCCTCTGCTTCATTATCAAACTGTAAACACAGTTATCTGTAAATATATGAAACAGAAAACATTATAGAAGAACAATAATCTATGTACCTCATCTAAATTAATTGGTCCAGCTACTAAATAAAGCTGCTCTATCACTATGATCCATGAGGCTGTTCTTATTTGACGAACAGGTACTTGTAACCTTATTTTACCAATAAACCCTGCTTTTATTTCAATGGGTAAACCTATATGGTGCAAAGCTTCTTTCTTCAATGGCAGATTTTCCAGTTCTACTTCACCTGAGAAAGAATAATTTTTTTTAAATGAAAATTTGAAATTTCATTATATTCTTGAAAATATTTTAGTTGAACCTAAATTTTACAACTATTCAACAAGCAATGATATAAAATTCAATCAATTCTAAGTTTTTGGATATAATAAAAAAGATATTAATCATGAGCAAATAATGTCAATGAAATATTTCGCTCAAAATCTATTCTTAAATTTTATGAACATGACTGGGAAGGGAAACATAACCTTACCAGACAATAAAGCGATGCTTAATTGATCAGTATTTAAATTTTCTACATATTTTCCCAGATAATTATTTAGTACCCAGGCGACAAGTCCTTCTAACATCGTGAAGAATAAAGATGTTCCTTGACAACTAGAAGAACAAACTTACATACAGAAGCAAACATAAGTACGATTTGCATAGGTTCTGTTTCGCGAGTTTCGTTTAAATTTTTAAAACTCACAATATAATAACAGTTATAAATTGTACGATCGACGAGGTACCATTTTCTTCGAGCAAAACTAACATTTTTCACATGTAAATGTTATTTGTTTTCTTATAAAAGTCACGAGAACTCGAATTAATGGTACGAGTTATATTAAATGAACCTCATCGATCGTGAACACCATCGTGTCGGATAACGAGTGGTTTCAACATCATGAAAGGAACTTTGAAACTTGAGATTATTCATAATGAAACACAACTTTTTCTTTTTTTTCTATAACATAAACTTCCAATCAAATTACAAACTACGTTAGTACATTATTATACATTAATCCATTATTAAATTGCTTGATATTAAATTCCATCAAAATTTATTTAATGGACATTTCCCAGATTACTGAAAAATTTAACGGAAAAATCGTTGTTAGTACTACTAAGAATTGAACATATTTTTTATATGAAATTAAAAAAATAATTTTTATAAATTTTTCTTGCAACCCACATTCGAATATTGGGCATCTCAGATTATCCTATCTACCAATGAAAACACTATATTCAAACACTTCGTTTTATATATATATAAAGGCATACAAAATATACACATACACACACATATATATATGCCAATTATATGATGTGTACATATGTAAACAACAAATTTGTTAAACTTTCAGGTTCATAAAAATAACTAAAAAAAAAAAAAAACTCACGTACGTTGTTTTTCTTCATTTATTACAGGAAATACAAAAAACATTCTTTAAAACTACCTAATGGGTATTGGAAGTAGCTATCATATGAAAAATTAAGTATTTTACCATTTCGTTTCATTCGATTTTTGATATTTCATTAAATAAATATAAATCTATTGTTATATACTCAAATATACAACGTACATATACTTTGTTAATAAATCTGATTAAGCTTCTTCCTGTTCCCTTTAGTCTTATTAATGATATATTTATTCAGATTTCAGTTTTGTGTCTTCTTTATAATGTAGGAACACTAAAGAGAATAAAAACACCCCACCCATCATTGAGAATGCACTTATATAATAAGGAAATGCACTGGGTATAAAGCGTTCATACTGAGTGTGTTGTAGAGGACGCACAGATACTTGTGTAGTGCTATACAAATGTGTCAAACCAATGCGAGTATAGTCTACTTTAAACTGGTAGACCCCATAAACGTCAGGAATCTTAAACCTCGCTTCATATTGACCATTTCCTACAGGTTTCATAGTTATACGAACAAAAGGATCTATTCTAACGAATTCTAATTGTAAATCATTGGTATCATAAGGAATCCATTTGTCTCCTGTTAACTTTTGAACAGTGATAGAATAAACTACATCGTCCATGATGGTATAAGCTGCTGGAGGTTTTGATTCTCCCACTCTGTGGTGATGTACACTTGAAACACGAATAACACCATTCTCCTTAAACACCCAGCGAGCAATCATTGTTGCCACGACTTCATTTCCAGATTTCTCATTTTTCTGCCCACCTGTATATCATTTCTTAAATATTTAATATAACATTGAAAAGGAAAGCTATGATATATAAGTTAACTTTTTTACCTTGAGCTTTTTGGATAGGACTAGTGAATGCTTCATCACTAAAAAAATACAATGAACCAGAGAACACTACTCTGGCATTGTTTCTAGCTTGCAGAGCTGCAATTAGTAATGTATTTTTACCTACTGCATGGGGATATTCTTTTATAGGATTTTGTGGATTATAAGAGTATGCTGAACTAGATGCTGTTAACAAACGTAAAATTAATGGATTTTCTGTATCTGCAATCAAACCAGTTCCCTGATATAATAAAGGTTGCACATTTTTGCTTCCAACAATTGCTGGAGCATCTATCAGATTGATAGGATCTGCTACTATTTTGGTATGATAACCATTATCAGAAACATCATAATTTAAATGGTCAATAACTGCAGAACCTTCCTCATCAATTTCAAAACCACATTCTGAAGCTAGTTCGTGAAGAGCATCTCCTGACTGAGATGAGCCAGCAACCAAAACATTACCACCACCATCAATGAAATCTGTTATAGCTTCAATACTTAATGCTCCACCAAATTCTTCCACAAAGGGAGCAAATATTATTAAATGCTGATATAAAAATTCTCCATACTTGGAAAGCTGAAGATTAGCATCATCTGCTAATTTAAATGTTAATGTGTATCCGCTATCTACAAAAAAATTAAAAAGATCACTAACTACCTAACCTCAAACTTTTTTTAAGCTATATTATATATATACACAATTAAAAATTATATGATACAGCCAAACAAATTTAATGCTACTATAATCCGGAAAATGTGAAAAATTTAAAGCAACTAGTAACAGATTACTGTTTCACTGAAAATAGTTAAATGTTTACGAACCCTGTAAAGTCTTGAAAAATATGGAATGTGTTTCTTTTATTGCTAAATTGTCGAGCAAAACGAGTGTGGGTCCTCCAGCATTCGCTAGTCCGAATATCGTAACAAGACAGAGATATTTATTTATAAATTTCATTATGGATATATAAAACCTTCTGCCACGACACCGGTTTTACTATCTCAGGGTAGTAGTTTCATACGTAACACGTGACCAAATGGAATTCATCCGCTTTGCGGAAGTGACATGTTTTCAACCGTATGAATCAAACTTACTATATACTACTAGCGATATTTTATTAAAATTTTTAGTAAAAGAAAATGAAGATATAATAAGTTTTAACATATTAAAATCTTGACCAGATATTCATAAAAATAACTAATTCATTTAAATTGTATGCCATTATATGGTACAAAATCGTTTCCAAACTATGATCCTTCATGAAGTCGCCTTGAATGATTCCAAATAATTATACTAGGCTAATGACGTTAGCAAAAAGGCAACAAAAATTTTGTTTACGTATACAGAGTGTGGTTTATGTGCGAAAAATGCATGTAATGCCGTACGAATACAGTGATCATTGTCACGCATGCTCGAACGCGTTTTAAATGTCAAAACCGTGCGAATTTATCCACATTTATTCACATCGAGAATCGCCGAGATTTTCCCGACGATATATAGAGTTCGCGTAAGTTATGTCCTTATTGCGTGCCTCGCACGACTATCAAAGTGCTATGGCCAAACCGTGTTATAAGCTGAGAACTTCTCTTTTCGGACACACATCCGACGTAAGAGCTGTAGCAACATTCGCCGACGGAACTATAGTTTCTACTTCCCGGGATGAAACTGCACGTATTTGGAAATCATGCGGGTATTTAACCTGTTTAAGTATTTCGTTAACAGTAGAAAAGAATCTCTTTCTTACTCGTTCTAACTATTTCATATGCTCTATATGATTTTATACTGTGAAAATAATATTATATAAACATTTTACAGAAATGGTAAAGATTATGAACATACTGCAACTTTGAAAGGACACTCCAACTTTGTTACCTCTGTATGTGTTATAAATCCTTCTGAGCAATACCCTACAGGTTTCATTGTTACTGGTAGTCATGATAAGACTATACGCATCTATGTCTTAGAACAAACAGAGCCCATAAACATTATAAAAAGTCACCAGGATACAGTTTGTAAGTTAACAACTGGCACAAAGGAAGGGACATTCTTATCAAGTTCCTGGGACATGAGTGCTAAATTATGGAATCTGAGTGATTTAAGTAAACCACAGTTGAACCTGTTGGGTCATACAGCTGCTGTATGGTGTGTAGCAGATTTGTCAAGTGAATCCATTGTAACTGGATCAGCAGATAAGCTTGTTATAATATGGACAAGTGATGGTTCAGTACAGCACAAATTAACTGGGCATACAGATTGTGTTCGTGATATATCTACAATAAGTAGCAATGAATTCTTTACTTGTGCCAATGATGCCACTGTCCGTCATTGGAACGTGTCTCTTGGAACATGCTTAGGAGTCTATTGTGGACATGAAAATTATATCTATAGCATTTTAGCCTTAGAAAATGGTACAAGTATATTTACTTGTGGTGAAGATCGAACACTTAGGATATGGCATAATACTGAACTAAGTCAAACTATTACTTTACCCACTCAGTCTGTGTGGTGTCTAGCTTTACTTCCCAGTGGTGACATAGTTACTGGAAGTTCTGATGGTGTTGTTAGAATATTTTCATGTAATTCCAAACAATATGCAGATTCAGAGGCACTGCAGGAGTTTGAACAGCAAGTAGCCAGTGTTAAGCTTAATGCTCAACAAGAGCTAGGTGGGATCAAAATTAAGGAGTAAGTCAAATAACTAAAAAGTGAAGTGGATTATAAATAATAAATTAGAATCTTAATTTATGTATTAACAGTTTACCAGATGCAAAAGCCTTGTTGCAGCCTGGCCAGAGAGATGGTCAGACTAAAATTGTGAATGATGGTGATGCTATAAGAGCATACAGCTGGTCACAAAGTGAACAGAAGTGGATAAAAATTGGAAATGTTATGGGAGCATCAGGTGGTAGCATAGTTACATCTGGAAAACAACTATATAACGGCATAGAGTATGATTATGTGTTCTCTGTGGACATACAAGATGGTGTTCCTCCATTAAAATTACCCTATAATAATGATCAAGATCCTTGGCATGTTGCACAGAAGTTCCTTCACGATAATGGTCTTAGTCAATTGTTTCTAGATCAGGTACAAAACTTAAAAGATAAATGCTTCTTTTTCAATGAAAAATAATTTATATGGCAATTTATTTTTATTTATAGGTTGCAAATTTTATAATAAAAAATTCTCAATCTGCACCAGTTCTGAAAACTGATGCTCAATATGCTGATCCTTTCACAGGAGGCAGTAGATACATTCCTCAGTCAACAGCAAATACAACTCTGCAAGAATCTACAAGACCAGTTGCATCAAACTCCTCAGACACATTGACACCTTCCTATATTCCACATACAAAATACTTGAAATTGGAACAGGCAAATCTTTCTCAAATTTTAGGTATGTACTTTTTATTCCTTCTGGTCTCTAAAGCAAAAATAAAATTAATTAATTAGTTTATCATTTTTTATAGAAAAGATAAAGGAATTAAATGCTAAACAAAATGATAATCTCAAAGTATCAAGCGATAAATTAGAATCCTTGATGAAGCTTGCTGGAGATCAAGCTTCCGAAGAATTAAAAACTGATGCTCTAAGTACTTTGAAAATACTTTTAAATTGGCCAGATGATGTACTGTTTCCTGTACTTGATATTACCAGACTTGCAGTACTTTGCAGAGAAGTGAATGATGTACTATGTACAGAAGAGCTACTGCAGATTGTAAAAAAACACATCAAACCTGATGCACTTCCTTCTAATCAGATGCTCACTTTTCGCTTACTCGCAAACATGTTCAGTTATGAAAGAGGTGAAAAACTATGTTTTAGTTCCAAGGATGAGATATTAAAGCTTCTATCAGAACTAGAATCCTTTACAAACAAAAATAATCAGGTACGAATAACGTGGAAGAATCAAGATTTACATTAGTATATGATTAATTAATGAAATTAATGGGATATTTTCAGGTAGCAATTTCGACTTATATATTAAATTTAACTGTAGCTTTGAATAAGTACAATGACACACTAGGTAAAACACAATGTCTAAATGCAATATTCTCTGTGTTACCACGTTTAAATGAATCTGAAGCAGTATTTAGAACCCTTGTTGCATTGGGAACACTTTTGAGCACAACATCAAATTCAGACGATCGAAATAATTTAATAGAAGCGGTACGACAATCGGAAGTTGCTTTGAATATTCTTCAAACGATGTCAGAAACGACGATTCCAACGAACAAGCTGGCAAATTGTTCAAAACAGATAATCAGTTTAATAATTTAAATATATAAAATACAGGAAAGAAAATTGAGAAAAACAATTGCACGTGAAACTCCAAACTCAAACAATTAAATGTTGTAATTAACAAACATATTTTACCAACATTGCGTTAAATAGGTTTCTTATATTTTTTGCAATCTGATAATTTAAACATTATAATTGTCTCATTGCTAATAAAAGTACATTTTGCCATAATTGAAAGATAATCTTTTTTCATCCAAGAAAAAAAAAAAGCAAAATACGTATATATCCTTTTCTCTCTTTTTTTTTTGTAAGGAATAGTTTCTTTCATTTTAGTTTAGGTAAGATAAGTTGTGTATTTTGAAATGAAAATTAATTAATTAAAACATATGTACAACGATGAATATAAAATAATAATTTATGTAATATACATAATATTTGATTAAATCTTCCGAGCATTTCGCCCGACAAACATACAACAGACAACAGTGTAATAGTAGAATATTGTTATTACATTAACGTCAAATATGTGTGTGTGGGTGTATGTGTGTATGTACATACACACAGGCACACACACTTCTTTCTGCTTTCCTTAGTTGTATATCAATTCACTCTCGCGAGTAAGTCGAGTGTCAATTACCACAACTTCATAGTTAATTACGATGAAAAATAATAACATTCACTGTGTACACTCATTATTAACTTCAGTTATGCTCGATGAACAATACATACAGTACACGAAAGATAGTTTTTTTTAACCGTTGTTTCTTTTTTACAGTATCATCAGGTCATTTGTGGCTCGTGGGAATGTGAATATGCGATTTCCATTTTCTTTTTTCTTTCTTTGCATTTTTTCTTACAAAAATAATTTGAAATATATAATCTGAGATCTGTAAGACAATAGACAGTGCTGGATCATACAGTTGAGAATTTGTTAGTATTTCAAATTGTGTTTGTCGTCGTATGTGTTAGTCTAAGCTAATTAGTTTCTTTTTCTTTTATCCATCTTGTAATGATGCTGAAGATCAAGATCGTCACAAATAAAAATATTTCTGTAAAGAGATTCTTTGCTTACTTCGTGGTAAAATCAATTATCAATTTTTTTGTATTCCATAACCTAAACTTAAATTTTTCTTTTCTTTTATGCATTTACGACGACTGATTTTTCAACTCGGAAATAGAAGATTCGGAATGCATTACAGAAATGCACTGATCCGTAAAGATGTACTTCTTAATCAATTATTAACCAAGATCAATTACTTGAAAGAGAAATAGAGACAGATAGAGATAGATAGAGAATATGCACACAAGGTTGCAAATCTTTAAAAGTTAGAATTGCACCAAGAAATATGTACTTTTCTCAAGATAAGTCACTTTTGTGGATTTGAAAAATTATGTCAAAAATCACGTTCGAGTAGTATCGAATCATAACATTTTTATGTATATACCTTTTCTTTTTTTATTATTATAGCAATCTAAACTGCTAAATATGAGAGAGATTTCTCAACTTTTTTGTACCTCTGAACTTAAACTTAGTATATCTTTATATCAAGCAGTTTGTATTTATTACTTCTTTAATTCAACTACTTATGATTGCCCGTTTTATGATTTATATTTCATTTCATTTTGCCTTGAATAAGCATCCGTGATAAAATCAAACACAGCCTCATTAATTGAAGGGTTCAGGGAACAAGTATTAAAAATATAGACATCTCGTATGTATAAAATTGTATCCTAGAAATGGATTGAGAGTTGAACAAATTTAGACATTATTGAAAAAAAAATTTGAACTTTTAGCCAATATTACAATTACATTGGTTACCTGTAAGAAACTACAGAGTTGAATTTATAAAATACTTTCAGTGTTTAACACTATATCACGACAACTTATGTATACTGTCACAAAAGTTTGAAACCACGTGTTATACTAATGGCGAATTTTTCGCTAATTTGTCTATCACTTCAAAGTTAATTCTACAATTATTGATAGCAATTTAACTAGTATTGATGAAGTTTTTAAGCTATTCCCAAATTATCATTTTTTTTTTTTTAAAATCTCGATTTATAAAGATGTGTAGTGATTCCAAACTTTTAATCGTCAGAATATACTTAAAATTGCAATTTTTCGCTATCACCACATTTCTCGTCCTAGGATATCACTTTCTCTTAGCAAAAATGTAAACTTCCTTTCCCGCACCCTTCAATTAGGGCTTCCTTTTTTTACTACGGCAGCATACGAGGAGGGACCTAAAATTTGTATTGGGTCCCCCCTGGCCCGTCTCATTCGGCCGGCGTACTCGACGCCCATCTGTCAAATTCTATTCCTGAGTCTGGACTAAGACCCAGATCTATAGGACTGAGGAAGCTACGAGCTGGACAATTACAAGGTCTTCCAGGCCGGCATGCTCCAATACACCTTTGCTCATTTCCTTTATTACTTCTGTCACCTCTGTCCCTTAGTTCCTTCTCAAAGCTGTGCAATTGTTCCATAAAGTGGAAGTTTGGAGCGACATTAGATTTTCGACTGCGTACCAGGTTAAAAGCATCATTCAGACTGAGACTGCACTTGTGCATAAGATAGGCTACAGTGATTGTGACGGACCGAGACACTCCGGCCAGACAGTGAACCAGCACTCCCTTGTCTGAGCTTCGAGCCTCCTCTGAAAAGTGGAAAAATAAGAATTATGTCTTAAATTTATATGTAATTAGAGTCAACTTCTTTTCTTTTTTCTTTGTTTTTGCTTTTGTTGTAGGTTATATTCACCAATGAACTGAATTGCTTGTGGAAAGAAACTAGCTAGATTCTGGCTCCAATGATCACTTATTGGTATTTGCATGTATTTTATCGAACCAGCGCTTTCAAATACATTGGGTAAATCTGGGGTTACATTCAGAATGTATTGTATCCTATGACGTGCAAGGGCTTCCCTATCTTCACTATTTGCTGCATTTCCAAGGTACAAGTGGGGCAAAATTTCAACTGGAAAGTCTTTGTCCTCTTCAGGTCCTATAAAGACCACCAAAGCAACTTATTTTTTTCTGTTTTATAAAATAGAAGATTGCTAGAATTCATTTGAATATACTAACCAACAGAATCACATGTACTATCACTATCAGAATCTGAATAAGATCTCGTAGGTGGTGTGGAAATTCGAAGTGACCTGAGACCCATTAATTCACCTTCATTAGAATCTTGACCTGGTGGACCTTCACCACTGGTTTGACTACCTTCACACCATTCAGGGTATCTATCTCTGAATGCTCCAAAACCATCTGTAATATGAAATAAAATAAAAGATCTGTATAAGTAAAAACAATTAACAAACTTATTGACAAAAGTGAATAGATATATAAGTAAATGACTCAGAATAAAATTTATATTAAGTATTAAAGGATAAATAAGTAAAATAAAAATACATTCTAAAGATGCATCTCTTATCTCTATAAAGAGATAAAGAAAATTTGTTGCAATATATTATAGATTTGAGTATCTGACTGGATGTCAATATATTAAACACAAATTGATATTTTATTCTCAGACGTTCATAATGATTCAATTATAAATTTTATATTTTTGCTATAATAGTTATAATAAAAATATGCTCATAGAAATTTGTCCTTTTAGAATATAACATTAAAATATTTTCTTTTATTTTTAATGCACATATTTATTTTATCTGTATATAAATATTTATACTATTCCTTTTAAAATTAAAATATATATTACCCATTAAAATAGCAACACATCCTCCACTACTTCTAAGTCTTCGACTTAAAACTTGTATTGTTTCACCCTGATGTCCTGCAGGGTCTGTAGAGTCACCAATTAGTACAAATGTCCCTCTACTACTCTCATCGCCACACAGAAACACTTCCACTCTGTTTCTTAGATCTAAACACCTTATTGTTGATAGCAGATCAACTTTGCCTGCTGCCAATCGCCTCAACATGATGCTAGGTATAGCTAACGGTACTGAGCCTCTAATATGAGCTTCAGAAAAATCAGCATGTGCCCTACAATCTAAGATGAGAAGCTTGTTTGGACCATTCGGTAATCTAAGTTGCCTGAAAAGCCACTCAGGATCCACAAGATCTTCTTCCATAACATTTCCACCTGGCATTTTGCAAGTTTTAATTGAAATTCCTGATGTTTCTTTGGCCTTTGACTTTACTCTCCTTAAAGAATATCTGACTTCTTTATGGGCATTATCTCCTTATATTAATGGATTTATTGTTTCTTATTGCATTCCAAAAAAAAACAAGCACCTGAGATTTAACAATATTGAAAGAAATTTCCTCTCTGGTATGGCACTTTCAAGTAACGTTCTACCATTGGTTTATATAAAATGATCAATGTATACACATGACATCTGTCTAGAATCATAACCCACAGAACAATAATCTTGTCATTATATGTTTACTGGTAACTGTGGACAATGTGAAACAAGTGTATATGTACATTCATATAATTGGACATTCAGTAAGCGCGCGCATTCTATGTGCACGCAACCTGTACATCTATTCTTAAATATTTATGAAATACGAAATGGCACTTGGAGTTGTATAGTAGAACGTGTTCTTCAGAGATATCCAGACGCTTGACGTTGTTCCCCAGCTTTACATACGCGTACCTGTGTTGTAATTCAATGTTTTCTCACGTGTTCCCATCACTTCTTGCGGCACCTTGATGCCGTGTTTTCTACTCCTCCTTCTCCTCCTTCTCCGCTGCTGCCACCGCCAGCAGTTCGTCTCGATTATTGATCCTTTTGTAAATAAAGACGACAGGTCCAATTAACGCCACAGCCGCGGAATGTTTCAGTTCACCCAACAAATGCATGATCCCACGCGTTCTACCACCACACACTTCCTTCTGCCTCTTTAATACCTCAACAATCGCACCGACGGTCTAACCGACATCATGTCTCGTAAAGAGATTGCTGGCATTATCTTTTCTTTTTCCACAATGGAACAGACAATAATTATGTGTGTACTTTTTTCTCCTTCCGTTCGCTGGCCCTTTTTTTTACTATAAACTCTGCACAATCACAACAACTACACGTTCTCAGATCCACCTTCTTCTTCGACACTTCACCAACACAGGGATGCTGCGCTGTACACTGGAGCTGCCGTACGGTCGATTCGAATAGATCCAAGTGAACGAGGTACTTAGTTCGGGAGATCTGTCGCGTATCTCGGCGCTGCGCGACTCGAGACCGTCGCCCTCACCTCACGAATCCCTCCAACATCGCTTGACGCGTCTTCCCTCGGTTGCCGTACCGACTTCCTGTTCTTTTTTTCTTCTTCCACGACTTTCTTTCTCTGTCGACCCTCTACCGAGCCACGGAGAGAAGGGCTCGATTACAAGTCTTGTGTCTTGCCTTCTATCTTCCTCTCACTTTCTTCTAACTTTCTATCTTTCTCTAACGTTTGGAGCACATCGTAGACTGTTTCTGTCTCTCTTCTATAGCCTTCTAACCAGCCTGCTGCAGGCCACACCTTACCTCGAGCGTTCTTCCGTCCAGAATGGGCAAATGGCGCTCGGATCCTCGATTGTAGGGGAAGCTGATCTTCACATTGATTGGCGCCAGATCACGTGGTCTCCACTATCGGACCAATCCCGATCCGGACTGACGTCAGTTCATTGACAAAAGATGTTTTCATTAACAAGGCGTGGGTAGATGGGTCGGGGGGTCGGTACTGACCGAGCCGCGCTGTAAGCTAGAGGTGAGGAGACGACGGGGAACGCTCGTACACTACACGCTCACCCTCTCACGCGTGCGTGGGCGCATATTATTACGATCCACAAGAGAACACGGTACCGTCTACACGAGCCTACTTCGTATCGACGTGCACGCACACTCGCGTGCACGTGCTGTGGCCAGGATTGGCATGATACTCTCTGTCACCCAGTAGAAGTAATTTAGTAAATCTTTGTTTTTTACACGATTCATCGGATATCTATTATGAATTGTTTCATATCTTTCTAATGGTCTGAAAAAAATAGGAAAATTAATTGAATAACTTTCAGTCGGAATTATAGGATTTTAAAAAAAATTAAGTTGAGATTTACAATTTGAAATCGAAATAAAAGTTTTAGGGAGAGCTAAAATACAGATTCTTACTTAAACAAGTTTCTGCAGATTTTGAAACATTATATACATGACATAATAAGTATAATTATACTATCATTTGTGTCTTGAAATTGTCATCATATTTTGAAATTTTTTGCCTCATTGAAAAAGCTTCAGTCAAAGAATTTTTGAGAGCATAAATTGAAATAGTAAATATAATTTCAAAGTATCGTCCTTGTCCTTTTCAAATTTTTCATTTTGTTCAAAGCATTCTGGATGATATAAAACGTTATATACAATGTTCATAAAATTCTAGTAATTTTATCACTTTATATTCTATTACTATCTGAGTAATAACAAGATGCTCAAGTCGATATTTTTTAAAATGACGCCCCTTGAAAGATTACGTCCCTGAACTCTGTTGTACTGTACGTGAAGCCTCACCTCGGATCGGCTAACCTATCAGGCGGCTCTCGGGCGTGGGTTGGCATTCCATTCATTTGGGCTGCTGTCGTTGAAGATTTTCACGTTCGATCACACGGACGGCGCAGGGCCACTTTATCACGACCCCTAGAGAACCCTGGAGAAAGAACGAGTAGGCAGAGAGGGAGATAAAGAGAAAGAGAAGCAGTGAGGAGTAAAGGGCTTCTCTGATTAGTGTCGGTGGCCTTCGAGCCGCGAGACGAATTTCGATTTGATTGCGTGGGAGCGTGATAAGGTGAGCGTACTACGGCGTCCTTGGTACTCCACACTCGTTTCGATCAATGGCAGCTGAGGATTTACGTAAGAATCTGCCATAGATCACCATATATCGATTCCTTGTTACATTTGCAATTTATCAGTATCCGTGTGTAGAATATAAATTTCCTTCGACTGTATGGATGTCAAGTATAATAGATTAATAATCGGTCGAGTTTCAACGTGTCACGCGAAATGCTAATGAAATTATTGTAATAACGTAGCCAGCCTTTCTGGAAATAAAAAGTACTTTTATTATATAACTAGTATATCTGATATTAAAACGTGACTCTGTAGATCGTATTAAAAAGTCTATCAGTGTAATAATCAGAAAATAAACTCCATTATCAAGAATCAAATCTATTGATTTCATAAAATAACTATAATAAGAATACCTTTATTAGATTTAATAGTTAACATTAGAACAGGGCCATGGTTGCATTAAATAGTCTACTATAGTAATCGTGGATCGTGGGTTGTTCCCTATATTTAGCGAGAAATTGAAATAGACAAAGGGTACGAAGGTTTACTATGGGATCTCTCTGTTCTAGAGAGAGATCCTTTTCCTATACTGAACCGAATTTGATAATATCATAAATTAATACGTCAAGTGACATTACTAATTTATACGCAGAACCAAACACCTTATTTTTTACATGTATATAATATTTCTATAAATTCATTTAATTTTTATGTAGTTTTGAAGAAATGCTTCTACGTTATATATAAAACAAATTTGAAAAATGAGCACATTACGAACAACAAATAAAATTAGTATTACTATATTCTTGTAGTTTTGGAAAGTTTCATCCTCCTACAATTTATCAAATCTTTTCTTCTTATCTTTTGTATATTTATATTGGCCGTGTACCTTTGAATCGTGGAAGAAGCTATTGACCGGTATGAATCTACATTTTTTGGCTTGGTGCATCGCTAAATAAGTCCCCATTAAAGCTATTATCGATCGCTGGACGACGGGAAGAGAGTAGGGAAGGTGCATGCGGTATCACTATGGCAGTCACAGCAGTAATGTGTACGCTAAGATGACGTAAGTGATACCTGTTGATGACCTTAACAGGTGTGCATACTTAATGGCACTGGCATTACGTATTTCGTGATGCAGTCGGAAGTCGCAGCGCATTACTCAATCACGATTCTATAGTACGCCTCGTTAACTCTGGCACGATGCTCTTTTCTCACGACTACAATTGATGCGGACACCCTTTGCGTTCTTAAACCTCCATTAATATTCTTCCCTACTTTTTTCTAAGAAATTCGAAACTGAAAACGTGTCATTGGTGGAAGTTGCGCTTCCATCTTTCTATAAATTTTTGGGTACTTAAAGAATTAATATCTCCATCTAACGAAATATGTCAATTGTCGAAACCCTGTCTTGGATTTACAAATTCAAAGGAAACATCAATTTCCACGAATTTGCCACGCGGTGTGACTTGTGTAGCGCGGCGTTTATTTGCGTCTGGTTCCTGCGGGCTACCGGAGGAGGAAACCGATTATCGGGTTCACAGTGCCTCACCAGATGTAACGTCGAACGCGTATTCACGTGCATGAATGCACCAACACCGAGGTGAACGCGGGTATACGCACCGGAAGCAATACTCCCTGGCACTTGGCCGAGCATTAGTGCACGCACTCGCTAACATGTATATGTGAACAAATGTAAGTTTGTATATGTTACTGCGTGGGCGTGTGCGTGTGATTACTACGAAAAGCGGCCCCAGGTTGACAGGAAATGGTTCGAGATAAGATAATGACGTCCCTCGCCTCTCCTGCATCCGGCTGCTTTCTTCGCTGCTAGGACGTTAGAAAAGGTTCTCTTTTTGCAACTCGAGGAATTAAACAAATCTAAAAAAATTGTTCTATTTACGCTTCACGTTAAAATAGATAAAATTGGAGACGAATTAAGATAATATCTAAGACTCTGAAATCTCTTGATACAAGGCAATAAATAAAATCTATTTTTTATTTTAGAAAAAAATATTAGCTTAAGCTTTAAAATAAAATGAACAAATTGTAAATAAAGTATAGTCAAAATAATACCTCTAATGTCCAAAAATCTTGCGATATACAAAAATAACTTTAAATCTTTGCGAAGATTTTTCAAAATATACAAGCTGAATAGCAGCATAAACGAAGGAGACTTCCATTATGAATAATCACATTCTGTTTCAATCGATAAGCAAGAGAAAAAATTCAGAAATATTGGATAAACATTTGAGATCACTATCTTGTGATAATAATCAAAGTCCAACTTGTTTAATATTAGCTGTAATTAGTCATATAAACATTAATCAGTCATATAAAATTAATAATCTCACTTTATGAATTATCGATACTCGATACATCTTTATAGGTTAAAGATATCGATCATTTCCCGCGTTTTCTATTCTAAGGGAAATTCTAAGACGTACGGTCGATTCTCTGAATGACTCTCGAAACTGGTGCGCCCACATTCCATCGAGTTTCTGACACGTTGACTAGCCTGTAAAACAGCTTACAGGACCTTTGTCTCTCTTTTTATCCCTATGACATTTGGTTAACACAAGAGGCCATAAACAGGTTGATGTACGTATCTACAATTATAGATCGATAAACAATGAAAATAGATTGTATTTATCGAGTTAATTTGTACTTTTTCTGAACTTATTGCATGCTTAATCTTAATCTCTAACTATTGCTTCTTATTCGTGGATTTTCTTGAAGATTGTCGTTAAGATTTTGCAACGAAAGAACCAATTCATTGACATGTACACATTCTTTATGTTTGATTGTGTTACGTCGGAAATTAATCAGAGATGGCGCTAATCGTTACATATTAGCAATACTTTCCTCTTGCATCTCTTTGTTCTTCTTTTTTCTATTAATCATTTTTAATGACAATACCAATTATAGATTAATCTTCAGAATTTTTAAGAACATCTTTAGAAATTTGTTATGTATATCTTTGCCGAATTGTTAATTAATTAATACAATTATTAAGAAAAGAGGGCGCTGCTTGTATAAGATTATTAAGATTAAACAGAATCTGCTATATTCATTTTTATAGAACAGGTATGTCAATCTAGATTAAATACAAAACTAGGTTAAATATTTTATTCGTAGTAGTGATTTCCAAGAGATTTTCGCCAGATTTAAGACAGATTTCTCATCTTGCAAGAAAATTTGTAAAATTTATAATTAAGATTACGATATTAAATACAATTTCACGGTTTAGTCGATCAATTTTTAAGTGACCGTTAAATGTCTGATAATTCTCTATTTTTTCATGAATTATTAATATCTGAAGTGCATTGGTTTCTTCTATTTTCTTCTTTATAGTTTTTTTAAATGTTTTCTAATAAACATTTGAAGGATACATGCATCGATCCGAATTCAAATCAAGTTGAAGCCTTAGGATATTAGAAAGTAATAGATAAGTTTGGATTCACGAATCCAAATTTTTAAAATAGTATAAAATTTTAAGAACGATTTTTTAATTCAATAATTAAAATAATTTGATTTATTGTTAGTTTAAATTGATAGTCTACTAAGTTTACATTTTTATGCTTTGAATATTTAAAAATTTCATTGCATACCTAAAAATTCAAGAAACTTTACTTAAATAGCAGTATAAATAATATTTTAGGTTACTTCAATATTTTATTCAAGGTTATTACTCTGCGAGTAAACTCATCACATAATCGATAATTATACATTTTCCGTGACTTTTTTTAATTTCTGAATGAATTTTTTAACAAAGAATAACTTTAAAAAGGAATAAATCTCGTAACAAAGAATTAAAGGAATACGTTATAGGTTAACACATGAAGTCCTATACATGCTTCAAATGTATCGATATATCGAAATACGATTATCGAAATTCTCGTATATTGATTGGATTTACTAAGGGAGGAAGATTATCGATAATTTTCTACACATGTGTAATCAAGATAATGTTGATTGAAATAATTTTATAAAAATTAAAAATACAAATATACGGTAAGAAGGAAATATTTCTGTACAAAGGTGATTGAGTTTCTCTACAAAGTGGATGTTTAATTAGCGTCCCTCGTTAGAGGATCCAAGAATACTTGTTCTCGTATGGCGACTTGTGTAGATATAACGCGCTAATATAGAATGTGCCGGCACACGTTGGTAGGTGGCGAAGTAAAATAATCAATGAAGAGGCGAACGGGATCAGGAGGGAGAAAGCGAAAAGAGCTTTATACATTCGCGCCCACGCGGGCCCACGGGTTTTCGTTGTTATCCCGTGCCGTTTTTGTTCTTCCTGTCGTTGGAGAGACCTTGTCAGGAATTGGTACGTCGGTTCGTATATGGAATCGTTGATCCACACAAACGATAGTAATTTAACACCTACCTTTGTAACAATTATGCAGTTTGTTCGAATAAAATGTCCTTTTTAGAATAATTGAAGAAGAGAAAATATCCGAAGACCATTTTTGATGCGAAGGTTTGGGTTTAGAGTCAAAGAGCAACTTAATCTTCATTTTGTACTTATCCAATTTATTAAAGTTATATTATTTTGCATAATTGTCGGAACAAATGGAAAACGTTTAAGTACAATTTTTCAAGGTAGTTGTGCATATTTGAAATTACTAATGTCTTTCACTTTTCATCGATTATGCAATTTATTGGAATAAAATTATTTTGTTAAATATTATTTTGACAATAGGTACGGAGCTAATATCGAGTAAGCTGGCGTTCATAAGAATAAAAAGAATGAATGCTTATAGTATGGTTTTAGTCTCAATGAATCAAGGTCCAATGCACGCACGTCGAACGCGAGACAGAGTGGTTCATTGATTTTGAGGTGTAACGATGCTAGGTTAATGCTTATGATATAAGAACTTGATTTTGTTCTCCTGCGATCTTCGCTTAACAAGCCTATGCATTTTCCAGGAATTTTGTTTACTCGACTTATGACCACTAGTTAATTACTTTCATCGACGGAAGTCGGCATTTACGACGATTGCCCTGGTGCCAATTTATACTAATTCAGTAAACGAACCGGCAACTCTCGAAAGTTGAACAGGGTGCAAGGGATGCCTCTAGAATGTCATAAGAAGTAACAAAATAAAAAAATTTTAATTATTATAAATCATAAATTCAACAGTAAACTTATTTTGTTGAAATATTGACCACTAAAAGAATAATTCGTTTAAGAACAATTTTCTGTGGTCCACAAGACATGTGAGTTTGATTAAATCAGAAGATTGCCAGAAAACATTAAATTTTCTTGCTAATGTAAAGCAGAAGTTATAACATAACATAAATTTGGTATTCAAAAATAATTGTCACTTGTCTCCTTTATCTAAACGATCCTCAAAATCAATTGTGATACTATACAAAATCAATTGTGGTTACTATAAGGATTAAAAAAGAATGGAAAATAAACGACGAGAATAAGATAATGAGGTAATGTTTAAATAGCCCGCTCGATAAAATTACTCAAATCTAACTAATTATCAAATGCAAGCTGCCTATTTTCTTCGAAGAATGCATTTAGGATATGCATTAAGTCATTAATCGGCAGATATATTTGTCTATGAAATAACATCAAATTTAGCCGCTTATACGTTTCTATTATAGATAATAAATTTAAAGAATCGTTTCTAGATTGAAAATTTGATCTGAAAGACAGCACCTCATCGGTTTTTGAGATATCTCTGTTATGTGTAACAAATTATTCAATAACTAAGTAGATATAAATAATTCATGTTATAGAGATTTGACATTTTTAACTTTAGATCGAAATCGAAATTGAGACTTTAAGATGTAAGCTGTGTTCTCATAAGAAATATCTCGATTCATAAGCATTATAGATACGTAAATTCATTAAAATCAAATGACACATTGATGCTGATATGTCTTCTAGCGACTTACTTCATTTATTACTTACTAATGAAGAAGATGCAATTAAGTGCAATAAGATGTTTGCAAAATGAAAGTCTTCTATGAGATAAATTAATAACCATAGTGTTTTTTGAAAATCAGGTACTTTTTATCAAATTACAGTAAATAAAAAATTAGACTTACCGATCGAACTTTGTCGATATCGTCGGAGTTGTAGATGGAGCTTACGATCAAGTTTCCATAAAGGAACCGACCGGACTTCTTTGTCATATTAATTGATAATCTTCGATGAAAATACTCAAAATTTTAAAGTGGAGAAATCAGTTAATTAACAGTACAAGATAAGTTGATGTTTTTATTTGATAAAAACATTCCTCGATTGATTTGATTATAGCATTACAAAATACAGATTATTTTAAAGCGTCTCAAGATCGATATGTAAGGTGTATTGGCTCATTAGACTTTGAAACTTCGTTGTTTAAGTCTATTTTGCAAGTTTCTAAAGTCTATAGCTTTAAAAAGTCGCAATAATATAGACAAAATTCAAAATCTATGACCATGACATGGTATAAAATATGTTTGATGATGAAGCAAATAACTATATTTATTATTAATAGCTATTATTGTACTTATAACATTGCAAAGTTAGAAGAATACTCTGCTATTCATTAACGTTACTAAAATACACAGATATCGTATTAAGGAGCTGATGATTCAGTTATTGAGTTATTGCACTTTATGGCTTGTTTGGTGCACTCCTGAGTCTTTTAGGAGTGGTATATCGAATACATAGGAATACTAATATAATTAGAACACTGACAATAGTTATTCCTATTCCCAGCCACAATTCTCCTCTTACGTTGAACTTATCTAGTGCAATTTCATATAGTGCTAATGCACCATCAGGTGGCTCACAAGCAGCTTGAACTATGATATCCTGCCTTTGAATTTGTTTTGGCTTACAATTGGTCAGCTTATTCATGACTTCTGTTTGATGAAGAGGAGGTAATAATAAGGATAAAGACCACTGCATTGGGCTGATTTTTTGATACCAGCTTGGCAAATTCTCCAAATGCAAGGACACTCCACCAGCTAAAGTCATTTCTCCAATCACAATTCCAGCAAATAAAGAGGCCAAGTATGTCCACTTACAAGTGTGAGCAAATAGTATGCAGATTAAATGCTGCAGTATTAAATACAATAAACCGATTCCAAGATAATTCCACAAGGAAGTCAGATTCTCGTCTGGCACCAGGTGAAGTCCTGACATGGCATAGCCTGGTGCCAAGTAGATTAAGTATACTATGCACCAAGACAGTACTCCACAAAGGAGCTGAAGAGGAAAATCAAATTAATAAAATAGACAATTGAATTTTACTTTCATTGAAGATTTACCTCTATTAAAATATATACAAATCTCCTATATAAGCCATCTTTAATGTCTCTTTCCACGTTTGCTCTGCAATCAGCTACTTCACAGATGGCTAATAAGGTCAACGGCCAAAAGAAGATTCCTAAGCTGGCATAATGAAAACCAACTCGATCTCTGAGATGTAAATTTGAGTCTCCAGCTACATCCCAAAATATAGCACCAAGTAAAATACTCAGAGAAGCAGAGATAACGATTTTTCTAAGTAATCTAGTTAGCGTCCATGGTTGACTGTAGATTAGAGTCCTTAGAAGTAATGCATAAATCTGTGAGAATATATTGGGACTGGAAATGGAAGGGGGAAGTGCCCCAGGTGGTCCAGGATCACTTAGTGGTGGTAACCTGGTCCTTCCAAGTTCAGCTAGATGGTCTATTCTTTGAGAAGATTCCAGCATAGCTTCCGCAGACAGGTCATCCAATGTAACTAAATCAACTAAAAGAAAGAATTGCTATAAATTTTGGAACAATTTTGAGTATTATAAAATATCATCTATTCCTAATTCCAACGTTTTTTATTACGTGGAAAGATCTGAACACAGAATATAGTGACACAAAGAGTACAGTTATTTGTTATTGTACTGATAGTATTAATATTGAAAGTATAATATCAAAATCACGTACGATAGTAGTCAGAAGGATTTTTAAATGGAGGACAGGGGAACTCTGCAAGGGCAAAATATGGCAACATATCCCTCCTGGGACCGGAGTACATGATTCTTCCGCCGGAAGTAAGCGCCACTCTCGAAACCATTGTTAGTATTTCATAAGTAGGCGGATGTAAGGTCAATACTACTAATTTTTGACCTCTGTTAGCCCACTGTCTCAAGTATTCTACTAGAAAGAATGCATCAAAAATATCTAAACCATGCGTTGGCCTGTCTAGTGCGAGAATATGCGAATCTTGTAACAAACGGCAGGCTAGGGCCAATCTTCTTGCTTCAGAGGTTGTCAATGAATTCACAAGACAGTGTTTTGTTGCTTCTAAACCAAGTTCCTGAAGAATTGCTTCAGCCTCCAATTTGGAAGTATTTGGACCTCCTCTAAGAAGCATATAAAAGCTCAGTGTCTGTTGAGCAGTTAAACCTGGACTTAAACTATTCTCAGTAGACAAATAAGCAACTCGAGACCTAGAAAAAAGAATAAAATTAATTGATAATTTACGATAATTTTAAAACAAATGTAAAATATACCTTAAGGTTTTAAAAGATACGGATCTTCCATTGAGCAAAATATCTCCTTTCTTAATTCTTTTTCTTCCGGCAATGGTTTCCACGATCTGTTTTCCTTCTTTCTCTGTAGTAGCCATAATGGCTAATACCTCAGTAGCTCCTGCTTCTAGAGTAATCCCTCGTAAAAGAGGCAAGCCATCAGATCCTGAAGCCTCCACTCCTCGTAATTGAAGATGAGGGTGTTGGAGACAAGGTACAGTCCTCAGAGGTAATGTATAGCTTTCTGGGCCCAGAATTCCATGTCCTAAATATCAGTTTCTTCTTTAATTAAAACTGTAACTAAACGAACACCTGAATATATGGCAGAAATAAAAATATGAAAAAAATAACTACCTCTAGATTCATGGACTCCATATCCCGGATCTATAGGCGCAATACTGTGTCTCCTATTCATTCTAACGCCTCCATGGAGAAGATTCGCCTCGCTGGCGCTCCTCAACCTAGGATTCTCTCTCGAAACTGTTAATTGAGAGTGTGCATGTTCTCTGGGAACAGACATGTGAACATGTCTAAAATCGGGATCGCTTCTAGCAGACCTCATAGCAGAGGTTCCATGCGCAGAAGTTCCTGCATGGGACACTCTACGACCCTCCTCGCTGGAATCATAACCACTTGATCCATCCCTGTTCCTAGAACTAGGAGGAAGAACCCTTGGGAGACCAAATTTTAGATAAGTATACGAATTGTTAGCTAGAGGACTTTTCGGGCCGTATCTAGGGTGTCTAAGAATGCTCTGTACTGTGGAATCCCTCAATTGGAAGTTCCCGTAGGGAAGAGGAGATTTTTCTGCTGATCCAAGTGCCGAATCGGTGAAATCGGAGTTCAAGTTTTGCCTGAAAATATATCGATTACGTTGGTTTTTAGGAGTACAGATTGAAAGTGAAGTAGAACGGCACCTGTAGATGGACCAAGCATGAAGGTCTTCGCTAGCTGGAGGCTCTAAGCCTCTGGTGTCCAATGCCCCAGGCACCGAGTACCTCCGTTCCAGCTCCCACGCTTCCGAGCCCATGCTTTGTGGTATCTGAACAGTTCAAGCGAGACTGGATGAAGCGCACTGCGGATTGCGTCACGTTCACAGCTCCAGTAGAGCTGCTGAGAAATGTATAAACGACTTCAGTTGGTTTCAAGCTTAACCAAAATCCATATTTTTATGAACCAGGTGAACAAACTTCCAATTTATTGCCAATTTTTCATATGTTAGATAAAATAATGTTTAAAAATTAAATAACAAAATTTTACAGTGATCTGTTTTATTAGGTTTATTTTAATATTAATGGGTTGATCAGGTTTAGTTTCTGTAATGAATTGTATCACTACTGAAAATGTTTTAAAGAAAAGACACTTTGATGTTAATTTACTTTTTTACTTAAAAGATGAAAGAAATTTGTATTTTTTTATTTCACTTTAATCATATTTTTTATTTTATTAAACTACTAAAGAAATGTTATTATACTTACAATACTATATAGTATTTATTGTTTGGAAAACTAGGATTTATTTATGCGAAAGATAACAGAAAACATAAATAGATAATTAAAAGAAATATTTTAATTCAGCTGTGGATTGGAATGTTACAGTCAACAAAAAAAATTAATAAAGGAAATATAACATATGAATTGTTTCGTATGATTAGTGATAAACGCATTCGAACGGAGTTGAAAGCACTATGGCATTCCATAAGCATGCGTGCACACCGTGCGAATAATCGGCGCGCCTTTGAAATTGTTCACCACTGGAGACTCGAAATTGTTCACCTCTTGGCCCCTGGTAGTATACTGTGAAAGGAAAGAAACTGGTATCCGTTTCAAAACGGATGGAAAGAATTCCATCGATCACGATTATATTTATTATATTCCATTATTAAACATCTCTCGTTTAAATGCTTTTAGTCAAATTAAATTTCTACTTTTCATTCTTGGTTTATTAAATAATATTCATTAATTATTCTCTAGAAATATCTTTTTAAAATTAAAATTTATTTAATATCAATAAACGTTACAATAAAATTTTTTCAATTGTACGATAAGTTTTAATTTTTTCCTCTTTATTAGATTTCATTATTTGAAACTGTTTATCTCTCTTTATTATTATCTTATGTAATACTGTTGCATAAAAGTGCCAAAAAGTTTTATTATATAAATTTTATATAACGAATGTTTCATTATCTATGCAACTAGGTGAAATCTGTAGATTTGATATCCTATTATATCATCCAAATATTGGACAATATTTATTGGATTTTAGTTAGATGTGAAATCACGCAAAATCATTACATCCTAGAATGAGTTCTGACGCAGTTGCGCACATCTGACCGTTAATCGCCTTACTTTTTGCCATTTTAGACATTATTTCACACTCTTGTCGTTGAACCGTTATCAAATTGACAAAACGATATTTTAAACTCGCTCAAGTAACTCTATTTAATTAACAAGATTAAAAATTCTTCGTTAACAAATTTTTAAATTTATTTGTGACGTTACAAATATCGTACGACCCATAATTTCATCTCACTCCTCACTCTGAATTTTCTTTCCACAGCAGGTGCCGATCGTTCGGCACCATCAAGTAAGCTCATCAAATATCTATGGAACAACTGGTGTCGATTTTACGAGAATACATCGCTTCACATCCCGGTGAGTATACACGGAGTTCCATTTACTCATATACATTCGCATGATTATGCTCATTGCACGGGCACACGTGACCGAGAAAGCTTCATGGCATTTCTATTAACGGTGTAGCTCGTGATGAACTTGAAAAGGCACACAAGATCCTTGAACGTTGACAATTATATCAGAAATATAAATTTTATGTTGAAAATTTACTGTATGATTCATTTGTTTCTAAAATATTTATAGAATTTTAATTAGTGTTTTATAAAATTCCATTTTATGCCATTAATCATAATTTGGTAGCGTATATTATTGCTCTTCGTTTAGAATTATTGAGATAGGGGTATCGTTTTATACTGTAATTTGTATATCTGATAAAAATCTATACGAAAAAATTGAATGGGATATTATAGAACTATAATAATTTTAGAGATATACCGAAAAGTGAATAAGATTCGATAAATCTTAAAAGAGTAAGTAGAGTTAATAAGTGGAATAGTATGGTAGCCTGAGATAACGCCTTTTTTATATATCGGGTGGCCCATGCAAATAGTACTGGTCCACGTTAGATGCCATTATGGCGACATTTTTTCTCGGACGTCAAGCGATTTCCCGTTAGATGTTGACTCACTTGTCGTATGTTTGCGCCAAACTGAACACCTTTTAAGCAGCTTCCTCAAACAAAGGACATTTCTCTTGTCTTTTTACCGTGAACTAGCTCGTTTTGGTCAGTTTCGTCTTCTTTTTCCCTTGTAAATACTTACTGGTTGAATGGTTTCTTTGATGAATTTTGAGATTACATGAAAATTGTTCACAGTCGCTGAATAAAAGACTCGCTGATTCTTATTCGGTAATGGATCTTCTTTACTCATAAAATTCTTTTCTGTGTATCTACAGCATCAACTGAGATTTTTACTCGTCATTGAGTAACGGTATGGTCGCAACTAGCCAGTATTCTACGTTATTTTCGCGACTAATCGTCATTCCCGGTAGTCTCCCGATCATCCTGCTTCATCATCCAACTATGAAATCCTTTAAAGTAATTAAACTCTTTCTCATCTTTCTCCTTTTCTCGTTAAATTTCTCCAATAATCGCGTGAAATAATTTTCGTCTTCATTTTTGCTAAAACAGTATTACGTGTAATGCTAATCATTTGGATCTCCAAGTTCTAGAAGAAAGAGAAGAGAAGAAGGAGACGAAAAACATTTATACCCGTATGAATTAGCCAATTGACGCTTATCACTCCAATTATCATCTCCAAAGTATGTATATCCAAAAAATTTTAACGATTTCTTACTCATATAGATTTCTCCTTATTTAATATAGTGAAAATCGTGTTCATTGACCGTAATGTTTCCCCTTGATTTACGTAATGTCGTGTACAAGCTTTTTTTTAGAGCTAGATAACTATCATGAATTCGAGTTAACTGTTCATTTGCATATCCCGTTTCTGCAACAGTTGTATCAAACTGGTCGCTATATATTTTTTCTTTCCTTTCCTCAGCGTCTACAAAATTTCTGGTTATACTTTATGAAAAGCGTCAACATATCTAAGGTTCAGTGGACCGTGATCCAATCCCGTGGAAGGTGATATTTAATTAACACATGTTGAACGGTTCGCTGATTTTCATCGTCAACCACTGGACGACATGCAAATTCACTTTTCAATCCACTGGGCATCAGGCGTTCGTGATGAAAAGCGATAGTTGTGTGCCAGCAAGGCGGTCACGTTAAATGGATTAACTATCACGAATGTGCATGTAAGTTGATGAGCTGATACCATTCTTTCTTGCTGCTACTTTTTCTTCGTTTTCTATTTCTCCTTTTCCCTTCTTGAAATAAAACGAATTGCTGATTTCAGTTCTTGCCACTGCTCTAATCCCCATAAATTTAGAAAACTGCGGAAGACCGGAGCTAAGAAATAGCTTCTTATGGTGAAACACGAGGAAAGAGGTATTTTATAATGAAAGATTGTTTACTTTCCAAAAGATTGAAATAATCAAAACAATTCATTATGAAGATATTACATTGTTTTATTGTTATCCAATAGCACATAGAAATAGCAACGTTTTCCAATGCCTGGTTAAGTTGGATAGTTTAGGGAAACGATACTCTGGTTTCGAAATCTCTTCCGCTAACTGTGAGACTGTCCCACGCACCGATTTCATCTAGTGTACCTCTCGATCTCGTATACACGTGATGGAGAGCATGTCTTAATAAAGCATGGCCTAGATACCACGTACAACAAACTATGGAAAGTTGAATTATCGGACATATTCAGGCACCAATCAGGGAATGAACCTTGATACCAATGTCACCAAGAGTGATAATAGTACCAGCATGTTCTTTTCGCTGAAATTATATCCCGTTAACTAAATACATATTTTTAAAATACGAGACATTCGTTACGAAATTATAATGTTACTATAATTGAGGAGCTTTCTGCAAGAGCATTTCTCTAAATAAACCCTTTGTCAATTTTTATAGTCTACTCATCATTATAGTAGTATTTTATGTTAAAGATAAAGTTTATGCAATATCGATAGGCTTTTTTTATTAATATTGTGGTTTTACAAGCGAAAAATTCATCTGGATTGTGGAAGGTAGACCCTATTTCCAGAAAGCTTCCCAAATAAAAAATATCGTAAAAGATGGTACAAAAATTTATTTGTTAATGTAAAAGCGACATTTTAACGATTTTTAAGTCTACTTCTTTTTTGCAGGAAAACAACACCAAAGGCAATAAAATACAAAAGAAAAATAAATATATTTGAAAAGGTGTTAAAACTAAAAGATCAAAGAATTTGCTCATTTTCTCAAATGAATTTGCTCAAAAGAATTTTCCTTATCCATCTTATGTTTTTGCGGAATGAAACGTTTAAATTTCTGCACCATCTTCTTTAATATTTCATGTTTATTTCCGAAGATCTCGATTATTTGTATTCGTTCCGCCATTGAGCCATGCAATGGAGCACCGAACGCTTTATGGACTCGTGCACCGAGGTCAGTGCTGCCGCGTTTTTCAATATTCCATGAGGGTATGCTTGTTTGCCACGAGAAAGAGTTAATTAACATTGCAAATTGAGCAGAGTGCCATCCGTGGCACGTGGAAAGGTGTAGAAGTACATGCCTTGTGCGCTCATTGAAATCTCCAATTGGACAGTAGCGCGACTTCAAGCGATTCAAACGTACTTACCTTCTATGTTCACTAAAACTCACAATAAATCCTATCAATTCAAAAGCGCAATCTATTTATGCTATTAGATACTTTTTCATCCGTTAAAAATTATAAAAATTAAACAAATTCATCTAGAAGAGAAAATAATATAATTAATAATTTATTTTTAGGCAAATTCAAGATATGTCATTATTTAAACGATTATAGTACCATTATCGAGCCAGTGAAAGCATCAACAGGGAAATGAAAATCATCAACAGGAAAGTGCGGCCACGGAATATTAACCACGTTCGTTACATTCATTTTCTTCATCAGGGAAAGCCTTTCAGCATTTCATAAGAATCTGACTTATTGAAAAATTCACGGATAGATAAGACTTTTTTTGAGGAAAATAGTTCCTAATCTCTTGCTTTCACCGATACGAGGTGAACCTTCCTTATTATGCAAAATCAGGTTCCCAGTCGTTGAACCATGACTGGCCACAGAATTGTGTTCCAGCCATTCCCTTATATTTTCTCCTTTTTCCTGTGTCTAATAAGAATTCGATCGTGTAAGACTTTTCTACTGCCATAATGGCACCTCTGGGAAGCTCGTGTAAGAAATGTTGCAACTGTCCATGAATCACGATTTTCTACTACTCTTAATCAGGAGAGGAATAAAGAAATAAGAGTTGTCTAACTATTTTTCAGCAAAAAAAGTTTTCACGTGCAAGAAAGGAGTACGTGAATGTCAGGAATTGCGCGTGCCACGAAACCTAATATATTCCCGGAGAATCTTCATGACAATGACTCACCGCCGGTATTCAGGATGAGCTTTCAAGCCAGCTTGGTCGAGTCAAGGTGATGCTGTTCCCCCATTCCGCTGATTCCTTCTGGTTTCCTTCGTCTGGTTACTATCCTTCTCTTTTCTTTCTTTTTTTTCTCTTTTTGACAATGATTCTGGATAGAAACTATAAGGACAAACACTGTATTCAATAGTTCAGGAATCGCACAACGGGGACCGCGAACGATTCACCCTTTCCGCGATCGCGATACCGCAATGGCATCGGTATCTCCAACGCCGAGGAGTCTTTTCTAAACGCTGCCCTCTGACAGACGTGCCTTCTGAATCTCCAACGAATCCCCTTCTTTATGTCCCCTTCCTATCTCACTGGTCTTTCAAGTTCGCACCAACGTACCTACCGGAAATCTGGGCCCCGAGATCCAATGATGGTAATTTGTAATTAAAAATGCGTTATTCTTTTATTTTAATGAATTTTTTATTATGTTTTACTATTATTAATATTTAAGAAACATTAATTGATAATTTATTACGGTTGTTTAGAATATTTTTATTTACTTTACACTTTGATAAAATATTGCAAATAAAATTATAAATGTTTGTAACAGAGTAATATTTGAAAATGGGATTACTTTTGAGGATTTTTTCTTTTGTATATGATTTGAAGAGCTGAAAAGGGAACTGGGAATTGGAATTGTTAGTACAACCTTGAGTTACCACTAATGTTACTTTCCTCCCACTAGGCTTCTCTCAAAGAAGACATTCACCTCGCGAAGCCAACTCCCAGCCAGGTATCGTTACTGGTGACTGCATATTACATACGATGTTCATTTCCCTAACTGTAGTATTAGTTTATATACCATTTTGTTCGTCTTATGTGTTCCTTAAAGTATGTTTTTCGTGAGGAAATATTATTTCATTAGAAGAATCATTGTTTCTTCTTAATAGAAACATCTCTAAGGCCTGTTGTTCAACTGTATAAAACAAACACTGAGTTCAATTTCTCCAAAAGATCGTTATGAGATAATTCGAACACATTGAAAATGATCCCATCCGACTGTACACTTGATATCTCCAATGTGTTTCATTCTACTGCTGTAGTTATTGAAGGAAGTTGCCTAAGTAAATCAGAACCTACTGCAGTATTACGAGATGTGTCTGCACGAGTTCATGGTGGAGAGGTGTTAGCAATTTTAGGTTCAAAGGGATCTGGAAAAAGGGCTTTACTTGATGTCATTGGTAAAATAATGATACTGATGTAAGCTTAATTAATTAACCATAAGAAATTAATCTGGAGTTTCTTGTTTTTTAGCTGGGAGGGCAGAGGGAGAAACCAGGGGTAGAGTTACTTTAAACAACAACTTATTAACTCCAGAACTATTCAGACGTCATGGTGGATATGTTGCTCACAGATGTCATCTATTACCCAGTTTAACAGTCCGTCAGACATTGACCTATGCCACATGGCTTGCCAATTTAAACAATAGAGAAGCCAGAGTTCGACAAACTCTGGCTGATCTAGCTTTGTCTCAAGTTGCCAATAGGTCAGTAAATGATCTAACAAAACCAGAATACAGAAGACTGATGCTGGGAGTACAATTGGCTAAAGACCCTACGCTATTACTTCTGGATGAACCTACATGGGACACTGATCCCTTAAATACATATTTAATTGTTTCTATGCTTTGGTCTTATGCAACTAGAAGAGGATCTATTGTTGTTTTGACAATGGAAACTCCTAGATCAGATGTGCTACCTTTTGTGAGTCGAGTAACTCTTTTATGCCTGGGAGCAGTGGTTTATTCTGGACCGACCAGAAGTATGTTAGACTATTTCACTTATATTGGTTTCCCATGTCCTGAACTTGAAAATCCTCTAATGTATTATTGTAAGTATTTATCTAAAATAATAGAATAACTACGGAATTGTTTCATTAATTAGTAATAATGATAACTTTAGTATGTCTGTCAACTGTCGATCGACGCTCTAGAGACCGTTTCTTAGAATCAAACCAACAGATATCTGTTCTGGTTGAAAAATTTAAAGTAGAAGGTGTTATTTACATGAAAGAAGTACCCCAGGTAGCATCTAATGTCAAGGATACATCTCTGGGAATTATGCATAAGGGTCTAGGACGTGGAATCAAACCAGGATGTTTTTCCACCCTATTTGCTCTCTATTTGTACGTGTTTTTACAAATATGTTATCTCCAGAAATAATTAATGTTAATATAATTTTCACGGTTTAGGAGAGGTATGGCAGCAACATTTGCTTTAAATAAATCTGGTTTAGGGCATTTTGCTGCCAGACTTTTATTGCTACCATTTTCTGTAGCTTTAATGAGCATTCTATATTCGCACTCGACGCCTATGCAGTCTAGAATATTTTTACAAACAGGTGGTCTAGTGTTCAATGTAATGACTCTGTTCTATGTTGCTGGAATAGCATGTACAGCTCTTCTCTGTAAGTGATTGTAAACCAATCTTTTTTCACATAACTTAACAAACACGTTAATACTATATAACATTTGTTAATCACAAAGTTCCAGGGTATAGAGCTAGATATTATCAAGAAAAAAGAGAAGGTCTTTATGGTGGAGCCATGTTTTTAACTGCATATGCATTGCTAAGTTTGCCATTGAGTTTTGTGGCCACTATGATCACTATTGGTATTCTAACACCTATTTTGGAGTTAGATTTATCCACATGGGCTTATGCCTGTGGTGTTTTATGGGCAAGCTATGTAGCAGCAGAACAAATAACTGTTGCAGTACTTATGGTGGTTGGCAGACCTATTACAGGTGCAATAATAGTCTTGTACATGACCTTAGTATCTCTGGTAATTGCATCTGGTGCCATCAGAAGTCTGAAAGGTCTGCCTTACTGGCTTGCTGCAGTTTCTACTGCATTACCTGCCAGATATGCATCATTGGCTCTCAATCAGTTGGCTATTGATGTACCTACATTTTTAAATTTGCATTACAATGAAAGCTTTACATGCCCAGGGATACCAGAACTATGCAGATATCCAGATGGGAGATCTTATCTAATAGAACGCTTCACACGTGAAGGAGAAAATATTTCAGAGGTATTGAATGTCGATTTAAATTTGTTAATTTCATTAGCTTTTGCTGTTGGATTAAGTATATTAAATAGTGTTCTCTATTTATTACCACTTCCAGCAAAAGTAAAAGCTAAATTTAGAGAATAATTTCTTTATTTATAAGTTCTAAAACAATGAAAATATAAGCAATGTTTATTTTTACTTGGAATTTATTGTTTTTTTAAGCTTTAGAATATATGTTATAAAATTATGTTACCTTTAATCGAGATATGATATCACATAAAATAATATACTTAGATTATATTAGAAATGAACTTTATAATTCTTATAGATAAAAATAGACATAAAGATGTTACTGTATAATTTTATAATTAAAAAATAGTGCTTTTTACATAAACCACTACTTTCTAATGGTAAATTAACGTAAATTAACGTAAATAATAATTCCCATTAAGTTTAAATGAAACAAACATTTTAATTTTGTTTTCTGATAATTTAAGTAGTTTAGGACGTATTCTATTGGCAATCCTCTAAGTTTACTTGTTCCATTTCTTTAAGATCATCAGCCACCGAAAATTCACAACCTGTAGAGCCAACAATATCGCTGATATCAATATTAGGCGCAATTTCAATTAATTTCAACCCTTCACCTTTAAGCACTTCAAACACTGCCATATCCGTAATTATTAGATCAACGCATTGTTGACCTAAAATCAAGATATTAGTAATTATTTGTTCCCTACAAAATATCGTCATGTAAAAAAAAATTATATTAACATTACCTGTAAGGGGTAAAGTACAATTTTTCAATATTTTTGGACTTCCATCTGTAGCTTTATGTTCCATAGTGATTACCACTTTGGTATTTTCAGAAGAAACTAAATCCATTGCTCCTCCCATTCCTTTTACCACCTTTCCTGGAATCATCCAGTTAGCCAAATCACCATTTTCCGATACTTGCATACCACCAAGCATCGTCAAATTAACATGACCTCTAAAACGATTCAAATTTATCATCTATTATTAAAAAGACTTTTCAATATTCTTTTCATAAGTACCCTCGTATCATTGCAAAACTTTCATCACTACTAAAGAAAGAGGCTCCTGGAAGGACTGTGACTGTTTCTTTTCCAGCATTTATTAAATCTGGATCAACATCTGACTCATCTGGAAATGGACCCAAACCAAGGATACCATTTTCGGATTGCAATGTCACTTTTATATTCTTAGGAATGTAATTACATGCCAGCATAGGTATACCAATTCCTAAATTGGCTATATAAAATTTATTTGTTAGAATCTAAATGTTTTAATTGAAAATATATTTTAAATTCCTCACCAAACATTCCATCCTTAAATTCTAATGCAGCTCGTCTGATAATTCTTTCTCTTGCTTTACCTGCTGGTGTTACCTTTTTGGGCTTTTTCATATTTTGTTTTGTATATCTTTTCTAATTTAAATAAAAAATAGAAGGTTTCTATTACAATTCATTTTAATGAAAATACAATTAATTTCAATGAGAATATACAAACCTCTACTCGTTTTTCATATGTAGGACCTTTAATGATTCTATGCACAAAAATACCAGGTAAATGAATATGATCAGGATCGAGTTGACCAATATCTACAATTTCTTCTACTTCAGCAACAGTAATTTTTGCTGCTTTGCACATTACAGGATTAAAATTTCTGGCTGATTTCCTAAAGATTAAATTGCCAGCTTTATCTGCTTTCCAGGCTTTCACAAGTGCAAAATCTCCCGTAATAGCAGTTTCTAAGACATAGTTTCTGCCATTGAATTGTGCTACATTTCTTGGTTCTCCAGATATTTCTGCATTTCCATTTTCATCATATTTCACAATAACATTACCCTCTTGAATTATTGTTCCATATGCTGTGGGAGTATAAAAAGCTGCAATACCAGCTCCTCCTGCTCGAATACGTTCTGCCAATGTACCCTAAATATTAAAAGTATGAATATAAGATTTACTATATTTTCAAATTTAAAATTTCATTTTGTTATTGATATTCACCTGTGGAGTTAATTCAACTTCTAATTTACCAGCAAGATATTGTTTCTCAAATTCAGGATTTTCACCAACATACGAAGCAATCATTCTCTTAATCCTGTATTCCTTTAAAAGTATGCCTAATCCAAAGTCTTCAACCCCTGCATTATTTGAAATAACAGTTAAATCTTTGGAACCTCGTTTCAACACTGCTGCAATTAAATTTTCGGGAATGCCACAAAGTCCAAATCCACCAACCAGAAGTTTAGCACCATCTGGCATATCTGATATAGCTTCTTCTGCAGTTTTAAACACCTTTCCATTTCCTATAGGTGGTAATAACTTTGACACTTCTTCCTCCGGCTGAGGAATATCAGCTTTTATGGAAAAATTTACTGAGCATATCTGATGAAAAAAAATTTTATTCCATTTTTATTTATTTTAGAAAGACAAAGTATAGCAAATAAAATAAATATCTATATTTATGAATAATAAGATTAGACAATTAATATTATATTTGATTAACGTCATAAAACATTTAATAAAAGAAATATAGGTTATTTAACATTTTCTTATATTAATATTACTTACTTTAGAAAGGTCCAATTTTTTGCAATTATTTTTAGATGCTATGCTAGTCCGAAGAAATATACAACTGGGTCTAATCATTGCAAAAACCATTTTTGGCAAAAAATTTGTTCTTAAATTGTATAGGACAAATCTTGCAACACAAATTCCCTACAAGCTGCAACATACTGACTCGTACTAACTACACAGTATTAGGTTTTATATTAAGTTTTCTGATTATTATTAATTCTTATTGACTTCAGATAACAAAATATACTAGTATTAAAATTTATGTATAATAGAATATTTTGTGCTTCAACGAAGAATCGTGATTATTTACATAAATATTATTCAAAATAATTTTTCCAGCATTTTAAACTTTAATATTTTATTATTATTATTATTATATTTATTATATTTTATTGCAACATAAGTTACAAAATTCTTCGTTACGAAATTTGTTTATCTTTTCCGGTTCTCACTTTGCTATAACTATAGATATATTATTTGCTATACTTACTAAAAAATCATATAAATATAAATTACGAAATAATTTATGTTCAATGTGCAAATCATTATATTTATTATGTAATTTTTCAACAAGGAAAATATGGTAGGATTTATAGAATGTTTTCAAATAGATTTATTTCTTTATTTCGTATAATTTTAAATATGTATAAATTTATATCATATGTGTTGTACAAATTCTAAAAACTAACTTCTTGAAATAATTTACAATTCAATTATATGTATGTCATATTTCTATAAAACAGATTTTAAGCTTGTGGTAACAGAAAATGATTTCTCTTAGTTGTCTTTTTATTTTACCCTAGTAATTTATGAAGCTGTTAACATCATAGCACCATCTGGCATATCTGATATAGCTTCTTCTGCAGTTTTAAACACCTTTCCATTTCCTATAGGTGGTAATAACTTTGACACTTCTTCCTCCGGCTGAGGAATATCAGCTTTTATGGAAAAATTTACTGAGCATATCTGATGAAAAAAAATTTTATTCCATTTTTATTTATTTTAGAAAGACAAAGTATAGCAAATAAAATAAATATCTATATTTATGAATAATAAGATTAGACAATTAATATTATATTTGATTAACGTCATAAAACATTTAATAAAAGAAATATAGGTTATTTAACATTTTCTTATATTAATATTACTTACTTTAGAAAGGTCCAATTTTTTGCAATTATTTTTAGATGCTATGCTAGTCCGAAGAAATATACAACTGGGTCTAATCATTGCAAAAACCATTTTTGGCAAAAAATTTGTTCTTAAATTGTATAGGACAAATCTTGCAACACAAATTCCCTACAAGCTGCAACATACTGACTCGTACTAACTACACAGTATTAGGTTTTATATTAAGTTTTCTGATTATTATTAATTCTTATTGACTTCAGATAACAAAATATACTAGTATTAAAATTTATGTATAATAGAATATTTTGTGCTTCAACGAAGAATCGTGATTATTTACATAAATATTATTCAAAATAATTTTTCCAGCATTTTAAACTTTAATATTTTATTATTATTATTATTATATTTATTATATTTTATTGCAACATAAGTTACAAAATTCTTCGTTACGAAATTTGTTTATCTTTTCCGGTTCTCACTTTGCTATAACTATAGATATATTATTTGCTATACTTACTAAAAAATCATATAAATATAAATTACGAAATAATTTATGTTCAATGTGCAAATCATTATATTTATTATGTAATTTTTCAACAAGGAAAATATGGTAGGATTTATAGAATGTTTTCAAATAGATTTATTTCTTTATTTCGTATAATTTTAAATATGTATAAATTTATATCATATGTGTTGTACAAATTCTAAAAACTAACTTCTTGAAATAATTTACAATTCAATTATATGTATGTCATATTTCTATAAAACAGATTTTAAGCTTGTGGTAACAGAAAATGATTTCTCTTAGTTGTCTTTTTATTTTACCCTAGTAATTTATGAAGCTGTTAACATCATCGATGTCTTCCAGATCTGGCATCAGTCACAGCACCCCATAATTCAATCACAAAGTCATCAGTAAATCCAAAAGCTTCTAATTCTGAATTATCAATTGCCTCTGCAAATTCAGTACTATTGCATTTGTCCTCTGCCAGTTCCCAGATTTGAGTAGCTATTTAAAAAAAGAAATCTAATAAATATTATTTCAAACAAATATTTTTGAAACTGATTGATAATAAAGAATTCACAAATCTATTTTAAATTTCGAGAAAAAAAAAAAACGAGAAAAGTAGGATTAAAAAACATTTGTAGACTTTTGAATTGCCCTGCATACCTAATTCCGTATCGTAAATGCCCATGAAACTCTCCAGAATCACGTTGATCTTGTCTATTCCTATTGTAGCAGCATCATCTACCTATTAATAAAAATAAAAAAAACAAACGAATTTTTCATAAGTTTTTTTGTTACAATTAATTGCTTCTATTAAATAATTACTTTCTCTATAATCTGTGCACTTCCATCGGTTTTGAACCTAAGGGTCTCTTTTCCTGTTCCATAACCAGATTTCTTTCCTTTCTTCATATCTGCACGTGGACCAATATTGGCAAAACCATTTTTTAATGGTTCTATAAGTCTTAGCGTAAATGTGTCACCTTTAGGTATTTCTTTTAATATTTTGGCTACTTCGAAATGACGTTTACCAACTAGGCTAGCGGAGTTAATTTTTTCGATATGATCTCCAACTTCTATCACTTTTATCCTGTCAATCACCGAACCTTCCTTAATACGTTTTATGAAAACATAGCCTGCGCCATTGTCGGTTATGGTTAATCCAAGAGAATCATTTGTTTTCACTAATTCTATCTCTTTAGGTCTTCCTAATAGGATTTAATTATTAATACAATAGAAGTAAAAAAAAGTAATAATTGAAATAATATTTAACAAGATAATGAAAAGTAATGATTAAAAAATTACGCTTCAATTATTGCTAATAATACAAAGTTTACTGACAGTTTGAAATTTAGATTTTTACCTTTTTTATGTGCAAATATGAAATCACCCACTCCTATCTGACTGCCCAATAACTCGTTCATCTCAATTTTGTGAGTATTTAACGTGCAAAAAAGTATCTGAAATAATTAAAAAGTATTTTTTCCAGAATCTTTCTATATCACATTATACAGGGTGTCCAAACCAGAAACCATAGCACAATTTAAATTATTTTAAAGGTAGAATATTATAGGAGACAAAATTTTTATGGCAGATTTTTTTTTAATTTTACTAAACCATCGATACTTTTGCTTCAGAAAAATGTATATTTTTTTCTGTCGCATCTTATAACGGATAAAAAGGTATATTTGTGTATCTCTAAAGCATGACCTTCAAATGACTTTTAAATTAAAAACTAAGCATGTGATGAAATTATAAAAATAATGCTCACCAACATAACTCGTGAAACGAGTAATCACAGATTGTGATGCTTTTTCAATTGTTTTTGGTGCGATAGCAGCATAAGCTATAATTATGCGATTTATTATGTCCTTTGGCGACTATTGTTGTTATGTGTTAGACATACTCAAATATGTTTTTTTACCCGCTATAAAGTGCAATGTAAGAAAATGACCTAAAAATATCCTAAATAGAAGTAACCCGACAAATCTTTTTTTCTTCTACCATATTCCTCTTTTAGAACCACACAAACTGTGCTATGAATGGCTTCCATGGCATTAAAAACATAGAGGATATTTAGGTAGCTTACTTTAATTTAGACACCCTGTGTAACATTTTATTTTAAATGGAAGCTGTAGCTAGGATCAAAGACGCTAGATATTCAGAGCCACTGGCACAAGCTTCTTCTCGCCCCCCTCCCACTCTTATTAAGTTTCCCCTTTCACCGTGTCACTTCTCTTTGTTATACTTTACGACTTAAAAAGGGAAAGATGGTAATAGGAAAATTTAATTTTTTATTATTTTTCATGCTAAAGGTACGGACAATTAGCATTTTTAATATTAATATTCATTAAAAATCTGAACCTAACTATATTACCTTCTACACGATTTATTATCATATATTTTTCATTTTTACATCGTGTCTAAAAGTGTTGCAAATTAGATTGTTTTAAATATGATTAACTGCAAATTAATTTTTATCAGGGTTCTTAAACGTTGTTGTGAAACTTATTTTAATACTGATTTTAATTGGTCAGCCTGGTTAATGTTGCTACTGGCCTTCTACAATTTGTTATTATATGGAAAGCTACACTTAGCCATGGTATCTGTCAGGTTGGCTAGAGGTCACAGTCCGGAACCGATGTTTCCTGTATCCGGAATGTTCGTCCTATGAAGAGCGGCGAAAAGCCACTATTTGTATACCATAACAATGAATAAATTATAAGAAATATTTTTTTTGCTATAATATCAAATAAAATAAAAGAAATATTTGTGAGTTCTGTTTATATGTTGTGATTATAAAATAAATATGATGGAAATTTTATTTATGTATGTTAATTACTATTATAAATCGAATGTGTTAATTTTCGAATAATTTTCGCATAAAAGATTACGAAAAACCTGATTAAAAAATTAATTACCCAGATAATGTTAATTATTTCTGTTAAACAAATAGCGCGAAACACTAAATAGAAGACTCACTTCTTCCATTTGTAGATCATAGCATTCTGCTATTTTCTGATAAAGTTCTCGTACATTATTAAATCCTGATAGCAATTTTGTTGGACTCCCATGTGCCAGTTGACAGTGGAACGTTAGAGGACGTTTAGAGACCCTGGAAGATCGTCTTTGCTCTTGGTTACCATTCTGTTGTTGGTTCCAAGTTCCATCAGACCTTTCTTGATCATTTTCGTTGTCATTTGGTTGATTATGATGATTATGGTAATGAGCTCCACCGTTCGGAACTTTTTCCTTTTCTGATATAGGAGACTTAGGAGCGGTCCGCGCTTTGAACAACGGCATGCTTACCTGGGCGGAACAGGAAAATGATTTATTTTTTCACAAGTACAAAACATATTTTTTTTACATAGCAAAATTCATACATTATTTCTTTGTTTTTGGAATTTAATGAAAATTTATGTATACAAATCTTTTATTTCTTTTTATCTTATGTTTTAACATTTTTTTTTTACATTTATATTACATTCCTTTACTATTTCAATATTTCTCATGTATTTTTTTCTCATCATTCTATTTTTTATGTCCTTTATTTTTTTTTTTTTATATAGTAGATTTCATTATTATTAAATGCTTTTAACTACTAATATGTTTTCAGAAAATATTTCTAGTGGAAATTATTTTATAGATTGTACTATTAATATAGTGATAAGATAATGACTAATAAAAATGGATAAAAAAATTATAAAAAGATAATTATTTATTAAATAAAACAATGAAGAGTCAAAAAATAGAGACTCAATAAGGTCACTTACGAGTGACTAATATAAACGATAGCAAAAACAATGTTTTAAGAAATGTTTAAATAATCTAGAATTTCGTAAGTCAATGATATGATCATTTCACGTATGATTGTAACGTTTAACAAGTACTTCACTATCTAAAATTAAATCTATTAAAATAACCATTCTTTTAAACTCTCTAACTTTAAAATAACGAATAAAATACACTATATAAATTGCAATATCCTATTGGTGAAGCTGATCTGTAGGACAAGAGAACCACTGGAAGGTGGTGTTGGTTTAACGGATCGTTGACTTGTGTTATAATTCTCACAGTTATTAATTTCACTTGACTGTTATTCAGTCGATTAATTGTTCGTATAAGAATTAGCATCTTCAACTGTATCTCGAAATCCATGGTTCACGTAAGGGGAATTAAAAACGAACATAATTTTTTAAACAAACACAAGAGTTCTTACCTTTTTTCTGTATGCAGTAGAAAACAACGTTACCGTGCGAACAAACTGGAAATCAACATGAAAAAGAAACACAGAAAACTTTCATGTCTGATGAGTATTGTTTCCCGGTTGATTTTTCACTGGTTGACAATCTGCTCTTATCGCTTCTATTAACACCCGTCTGATCGTTATCAGGACGTTAATTCACTGGCCACGCGATCGTCGTGCTTCATTATGGATCGTAGATCCTATTCCCTCTCTACCGTTCTAAAGTTTCTGGTATATAGTTGATGTTTCACTGATAATTTTTAAGTAGATAAAATAATTACTCAATTATAGTTGATGGATTTGAGTTGAAGATTTAAAAGAAATTATATTGAAATTATTTAAAAACGCGATTTCATACGAGTGATCGTGACTTGCAGGAGCGTATCTACGTACTGCGGCTCCCTTATTCGAAACATTTTTGACGTAATGACCCCCTCTCTTCAAAGAGTCAGACTACTATAGCGTGTTATCGTAGTTGCATTTGGTGATGGAATGGCAGTGTGCATTAAATTCGCATGATTCTTTTTATTCCATGTAAGGAAAGTATCACAAAACATGTATTACGAAATGATAAAATAATTATAGTCAAATATATAAAATACTTCTGCATTAATGGCAAAATAGTTGTGTAAAATTTCTTTTAAATAAATTTTAATTATACATTTTTCACGTAATGCTATTAAAGATTTGTAAAAGTAATTTAAATAATGTTTTAATATGCAAAAAAATTTTAAAAATTTTATCTAAAGCTATGTCCAAAGAGTATTATCAAAATGTTCTTAGTTATTAATATAATAACATGGCTTTCTTTTTTTCTTTCTTTATGTTAAACAGTAACAATCACAGCGCACTTGTTAATGAATATAATCAGGATTGCACTATGGAACATAGTCAGTCTGTGTATATTGATAGAACTGTTCATACAATATTGTATACTATATTAATTATTCTTTGTATGTTAAAAGAAACATTGAAACATTATTGCTGTCCTACATGTAACTCCGGTTGAATAATAAATACTTTCCATACTTTGCCACAGTTTGACTTATGTTCCAAGGCTAGGTAGTTTCTCATTGGCACCAATAAATAATCATAGGGGTCTGTGTTCAGTTGATACTCTTGCATAGCTCTGTAAATTGCTTTAAAAGGAGGTTGTTTCTGAGAATGAAAAGTGCCTCTAGAACCATGTAAGACCAAAGCACCTTCTTTCTCTGCTTTTGAACACACAGGCATGTACATGCAATGATCAGGTCTATAATTATATCTGCAGGAATAGACGTACAGTTTCTCAGGATGATAATGGAATATAATATTTATTATATCTTGATCTCCCCATGTTATCTTCAATTTATATTCCTTGTGAATAGGTATCACGTACTCTATCCACCTAAATTCTCTCATCCTTGTCAAATTCATTAACATCACTCCAGAATTTACACCTAACTTCCCATAATAAGGGTGTTTGGCAAATCTATTATACCATCCTGTGTTAGGATCTTCATGTTCTGGACTTAGAGCTGCTAGCTGACTGGAATTCATCTTTTTGAATTCGTCCCAAATTTTCTCTGGTGGAGCTAAGAATAATGTGTCTGTGTCCACATAAAGAACAGCATCTGTATCATTCAATACTGACTGTAATAAACAAAGCATATGTTTAAATATTAACACACACAATAATTATTTCTTGAATTAATTTGATTTTTTGATATTTACTGGAAGAAATAATCGTTGAGCTGCACAGGGTTTAAACAACTTCTTCCACATAACTGCATCACTGCCCTCAGGGAATGTAATAGGCTTAACAACAAAATCAAAAGTCTTGTTTGATAGAATCTTCCATTCTGCCAACTTCTCATTAAAAGCAGGAATTAAATCGGTTTCTGCCAGAATAATAAATTGTAAAGGTCTGCATGTAAAAACTAAGGCAGACTTGAGCATAGTTAGTGCTTCATCTACTCTATCCCCACAAACTACCACACAGATTGTTACTTCTCCTGTTACAGAAAGTGGTTGAAGCTTTTTAACAGTTGTAGAAAGAACAACCGCATCTTTGATGGGTGCATCATATATTTTGTTAGAGAAATTTGTTAAATTAAGCAATATGATCAATGCAATGAAGATAAGACACAGGAAAAATAATTTGTACACAGATTTCATCGTTGTATTTTCCAAAATTTCACGTAGTCCGCCAAATTTTTGTTGATTCACGGTTGGTAAGAATTACCGTGAAAGAATTTATCGTTTTCATGGTCTTTCGTCTCTATTATCATTCAAATAACTATTCATGGATGATCATAATATTTATAACCTCACCGTGGGAGAAACACCATAAGTAATAGATATACACTGTATATTTTAAATATAGGAAAATACCATTTGTAGAAAATTGTTGAAAAGATATTGATTATGTTTAAAGTATACTAATTGCAGTTTTATAAAATCTAAAAGTGGATTTTAATAGTCTAAGCCTCCGCGTTTCCTCGCTTTCGAAAATATCAATTAGCGTGATCCATCTTGACAACAGAACCAGTTTTTGACTCCCACATACATTTTCGAAATGGTAGGCAAGCACTGTAGGCAATTTAACTACATGAAATTGGAATGTCTGTAAACTGTATTTAACGCAAATAATTTTATACATATTAATTAGCACATATTTTTTTAATCGGAAAAATATATAAAAATTATAAATTAATATCAAGATTTTGAGAGATATTAACTAAAAAAAGAACACTTATATAAATATATAATAAAATTATATATACACATACACACATATATATAATTGACACACTAAGTATGGGTGTGTGCGTGTATGTATATATATATATATATGCTTTTTATATTTCATAGTCAAGTCTTTTAAATCTTGTATTTTGCAGCTGAACATTTCTTAACATATAACGTGTAGGAAAGGCATATGTTTAATTGATAAAATTAAAAATACACAAATTAGTGTGGATATTTTACATACACATATATATATACACATATCTATATATATGTATATATATATGAGGGTTTACATGCACATGTATGAGTGTATATGTTTATCGATATATTATTTTAATAATATATTACAAATATACAACGGTTCAAATAAAAAGGTTTTTATAAAAATTTTTTAAAATTAACTCGAATATATACATAAAATGTCTCTCTCTCTCTCTTTTTCTTTTTCCATGCGCGCGCATGTGCATGTGTGTGTGTATGTGTGTATGCATGCGTGTATAAATAAAGTTCTTATGATTTCATAAAAGCACATATAAATTGTATGCTATTTTCCATGAAAATGAATCACTGGTCCTTTCGAGAATAAAATTATAGAATGTTAATAAAGTTCAATCTCAGGAATTGAGCTTATTCCACAACTCAAAGATATATAATTATCAGTCTGTAACTCGTTCACTGTTTCGATAACCGTTTCCATTATTTCTTCTCTGCTCCTTTTATTTATTTCCCCAGACTAAGAATTTCATTTATATATCAATATTTAATCTATCACCCAACAATTACATATATCACGATGGTGGTTTTTCTAAAGGTATATTATGATCTAGATGGTCGCAGTGAATAGGACACTGATGGTAAGATACTGCACTTGCATGACCTGATCTTCCAGAAGTCATTGGTACTCCTTGTTCCCACACATCTCTTGCAGGATCATAAATTTCAACTATATTTAAAAAGTGTTCACCATCATATCCTCCTGAAAATATCAAATAAGGAATTCATTGATAAAACCATTATGATAAATGATAACCAATTCACATCAATATTTTTCACTTCTTACCCATAGCATACAACTTCCCATCCAGTACTGTTACACTAAGAGCACTACGACCAATAGTGACACTACTAACATATTCCCATATATCTTTTTCAGTATCGTATCTTTCAACAAATTTTAATTGTCTAGTTCCATCGTATCCTCCAACCACATATATGTATTGCCCGAGATTGGCTACTCCAGCTCCTGACCGACTACATTTCATAGGTGAAACCATTGTCCACTCATCATTTTCAGGGTGGTAACACTCTACAGAATTCAATCGATTTGTGCCATCAAATCCACCAATAGCATAAAGTAATCTGTTATAATTATAATTCAATATAGATAACAATTTAATATGAAACTTTCAAATCTTTAATTTTTATTTTACCTATTAACTACAGCTACACCAACTCCTAGTCTTTTAATATGCATTGGTTTTACGTTAGTCCAAGAATCATGTTCTGGATCATAACATTCAACACTATTGTGATATTCGACACCAGCACTACCTCCAACAGCATACAATAGTCCATCCATCACAGCCACTCCTACTCGATTTCTTGGAACAGACATTGGACTGCAAGCTCTCCACTGATCTGTGACTGGATTGTATCTATCAACCCAATTACTGTCATATCTAAAAATTCATAGAAATTCTTTAATTTCGGATTTAATCTCTTTTTCTTCACACTTTTGAAAAACTTACCTACTATTTGGAGAATTATTCCTTCCACCAACAGCATAAAACATACCCTTTAAAAATGCTCCACCTAAACCAGACCTTGGAACAATCAACTTAGCATGCTGAGTCCAAGATTTTTCATCTACATTATATCCTTCTAACACATCTAAAGAATGTTTTAGAAAACCACCAACTATATATATCACTCTTCGAGTATTGGGTGTTCGTTCTTTTACTACTGGTTTTTTATGAAGAGTTAAATCTTTGAAGATCTGTGCAAGATATTTTCTGCATGCAGGTACTTTTTTCAAAACATCACAGTTTTTCATTTGTTCTCTGAGAAAATTAGGAGTGAGGTATTGACATCTCACTGCATGTAGTATATGCTCCATTTTGGGTCCTCTAGCTTCTTCATTGTACTTGACCCATTTTAACACTGCATTGTAGACTTCTCTTTCTTCTTGTACATTTAGCTCATCTTTTCTCACTAGTGCTATTAATTGTATTGCGGATAACTGCAGAAACTCTTCTTCCTGACATATCTGATTAAAATGTTGAACAATAAACTGATTTGCTTTTTGACATAAATTTTGACAGCCATGTTGCTCAGCAAAATTAGCAATTCCAATAGCATTTGTGGGATCTAACTGTCTTTCCAAGAATACACAACACGCATCTATGACATTACTAACCTATAGAATAAATGAAAGTAAATATAATACTATGACACATTTTCTTTCTTATTAAACTAATGCTTATCTTTACATACCTGAAACATGGTGGCTGCTGATAAAAGGGAACATACTGTAATCTCATTAACTCTTATTTCACCTGTATACATAAAGTACATTAAACGTGCCATAGTTGTTGGACTGACACCTTGTAGTTTTACCCTAGACATTTCAGATTCTTTCAAGCCTCCCGTAAACATTGCCTAGAATATTATAAACAATCCAATGCAGCTTTTAATTTAACTAATTTTTTTGTACTTTTTCAAGTAAATTACCTTGAAATATGGACTAGCAGCAGCTAAAATGACTTTATGAGCATGAAACAATTCTGATCCCACTTCTAATATAACATCGGTAAGCATATGATGACTGCGCATAATGAACATCATCTTCATAGCATCTTTGATATAATTGGCCATATAAAAGTTCATATCTCCAAGATCTCCATGTTTTTCTGTGGCATCTAAACCTTCACCTTCAGTCATGAATGAAGAACTAGATCCAAAGTTCTTAGAGTGGAAGCTACTTTGAGCTTCTTTTTTCATGCAACAATCTTCCTCATCCATTAAAATAACCTATGAAAAAATTAAATTCATTAATAAAGTTATAAACTATGTTCCATTTATAAATTATATTTTAAGAAAAAAACTATCGTTATACTTACTGAAATGATTACAATACTCGTTGATAGATTAAAGAAATGTAAATAAATTACGAAAATAATTCGTAATTCCAATAAATTTCTTGTTGTAGAATAAATTAAAAGGGTGAAAGAAGAGGTGATTGAACGATCATAATTTGAACTCTACTCGTCAATTAATTTATTGACAGCATTTAATAATGTAGGTATTAGATGAATAAGAAGTACTAATAAACACAATGTTGATGCTGCTTTATGTCAAACGCGGAATTACCATTCACACGTGCTTCTACGGAATCCTGTACATTGACAACTTTGCCTTTGTCCAAAATGGACATCAATGTACAATTTGTTTGTATTTGTTATTCCTAATACGTTCTGTGTAACGTATATTCTAACACTTAAGAACTGATAAGAACAACTCGTTCTCTATTACTCCCGTTCGGCTTTTGAATGAAAAATGTGTGTTCCATCCATGCTCGTAATATGTACGTGAGTTTTTTACATGTGTTCTTGCGGTAAAATTTGGGCGGTAAAGAGTAAAGAAACGATGTAAAGAAATAATCGTTTGAACAACAATTAACAACGAACACATTTATACATATTTACATGCCACTATAATCGCAAGGAGCTCGGTCATGCCGAGATAATAAGAGAGCTGTATCTAGGTATACAGTTACCACACGGGGGGCTACGCACGAAACAAACACAAGCGAAAGTTCGACCGTGAAACAGCACTCGTGATCGTAGATGACGTGAATGACTTGCATTTATTTCGCCTTGATGATTGAGCACGTAGGTATTCACTTCGGTTTCTACCTTTGAAACCGCTTATGTACCTTTGAACTGACGCATCCAGTAATTTTTTTGATTCACATTTTATCATTTAGGGATAATTCGGTATGTTTTAGATTTTACTAGATTATATGTATGAATTCACATTTTACTTCATTTCATTTAATAGCTAAATTGAAGATGTCATTAGAGAGAATATGAAAAACTGACAACCACAGTTATGCTCTATATTTATGAGTTACTTTTAAATTGTGTAAAAGTTATGAGGTTATATCTCGAAGTTTGAAAGCTTAATAAGTTTAAAGAAGCGAAGAACAACTTTTATTTTGAGACAATATATTTATTTCTTAATAATATGGAGTTTTCAACAATAACAGTATAATAGTAGGCGTAACAAGAGAGACGAGGTAGGTTACGAGGAACCTAACCTAATACCGTACGCCAACAAGTTACCACCGTAACAAGATTTTCGTCATTTATTACAGCTATATAATTCTTGTGCAATCTTTTACATCATTATAATTTTATAGTTGTTACTCGGTTTCCTTAAAGTTGCATACATTATATTTAAGTGACAGTTTATGCAATTTTAATGTAATGCAATTAACAACTGATCTGTAAATTTCGGTTTTTACAAAATTAAAAAGCTTTTTAAGGTATTCTTTAGTTCTTTGTAAAATTTGATGAATTTGATCTTATTAGATGTCACTCACATTAGTAATATGAAAGAAACCATTTAAAATATATCGAGCCTTAAATGTTTCTTAACATTGTATTCTATGCATTAAGAAGTTTAATGTTAAATCTCCACAATATACAAGGTTCCATTATAGTGGTTATTGAAAAAATAAATTTCAAAGATAATAGGAACCTTGTTCTGTGAATTATGACATTTTTTTATGCATAGAATTCAATGAACAAGTTTCTGATTTTTTATTCCTTATTTGTTAATATTTTATACCTTATATTAGAAATGTTCTCACAATTAAAACAATTCTAAATATTTTGTTGTAAACTTAAACAAGAAATGCACTTTTTCTTATTTAAAGACTTAAGATTTTTAACAGAGTCCTTTGAATGTATCTCAATACATTACAATCTTTAATATAATAATAACATTATTTGGCAAGACTTTCCAAATTAACTTTAATATTAATAATAATTTAAATTATGGCAGTATTGTATAATATAGAATAATCTTATTGCCAGTAAAAGTGGAAATAACATACTGAAGCTACTATAATAACATTCTAATTAGTAGTTACCTCTAATAACTGAATTGTAGAAGTTCATTAGATCTTCTTTAAATCTATTATCAAGTAATAAATATTTCTTTTGTTCATGTTTAAATGTTTGAATTATTTATCTACTGCTTCTATTTTATAAGCTTTATTAACCAATGAGAACACTTCATAATATCAATTTGGGGAATGGAAAGAAAAGAGCACTGAAAAATTTATAAGTTTTTACATAACTTAATTATGAAATAAAGTATTCTTTTTCCTTACATTAAATAGGCCGATTCAATCTTCTTAATTAGTATACATAATAATTTTTAAATTATTTAACTTTCAATTTCATAATAAAGATGGAATTGTATATAAATTTTGCTCTAGTCTTTCCATAAAATGCTTATACCATACTGGTTCTTGTTGGCGCACAATGAAGTAGGGGGCTCGACCTTTAATTCAGTGCAATAATGCCTCTTCAGGTATCTAGAGTAGAAGACACGTATGTACAAGGACTTTCAGAAGACAGGTTTCTTTCTTTTTTCTTCTTTTTTATACGTATTGGAGCAAATTGGAGAAAAGAATATATATGATCACTACTGAACCAAATTACTGGCAGAACCCACTTAGTAAAGAATATTGTAGCTATTAATTAATTTAATAAGTCTATCTTTGATTTAGTTAGGCTTGGGTGACTCTAAACTGGCCCCCAATATATTTGTATTTTGATTACTTCCTGAATCTGCCATTGTAAACAAGCCAGTCATTTTTTATTCATTTTCTAATCCAACTGGAAGAAATTTGTCGTTTGTAACACAATAGTATATTTTTTTTTATTATCACGTATAAGGTACTCTCAAAAATCTGTTTGCTAAAAAATGATGAAAAGTGAATAGTGTAACGAATGCAATTAGTTGGGACACTTTCATTAGTAGTAGTCACTTGTTATTATGCAGAAGAATGAAGACTTAAAAGTTAAATATAATCAATTTGCAAACAATTTATATTGACTTATAGAATCTGTGAAGCATAGTCCGAATTAATTGAAACGTATTTTTTGAATTTTTGGGAATTTAACATGCATTCGTGAGAGTCTCTACCTTATTAGACTTTCAGGAATATTAATTACGAGTGTCAGATACAGTGCCTAACGAGAAACTATGAAACTAAATTGCTATCTTCTATGTATAATTTCTAATTGTATAGCGAATTGCTCGATAATACGATTAAACGCTATATTCATAAGAGAAGAATTGGGCGGATCGACTACTCCTAAGGCCTCGCTCATTAATTATTTTCATTTAATTTAGTCCCACACATTCATTCTAACAGTCTAAGTTTAGATAGTAAGGATCAAATTGGAAGGATGATAATCCATTTTCAATTTGATCAAAAATAAAAAGAAATGGAAGAAAAGAACATTGATAACAGATGTGTATGTATGTATGTATTCAATTCCGATGATTTGTCGATTTGTGTGCAATTCCTGAATAAATTTTTCTTCGTCTATCAGTCTAATAGTTGGTGGATGGATACTGCACAGTAAACGTACAATTTCTTCCACTACCGGTGAATGAAATTACGAATAGAATGATTAATACGTGCATACGATCGTCATCATTAAATGTTTCCTGATAGAATTTAATTTCTGTGTGATGGTATACCAGCGATCGGTAAAAAAGTGACTTGACTGATTAAAATTTCGTTCGCTTTTTAATATATTTTATTACTGATTTATTTATTTATTTATTTTTTTTTTTTTTTTTTTTTTTTTTTCGAAATGAAAAAACTTTTAATAATATTAAAAGACATATGGCAGTATGCGAGTCAGCAAAATTCCGTAGACTACTCAATGTTAAGTTCTCCCATTTCAATATATGCCATTATCCTATACGAGTGTTTGAATCTCCATCTCGTTTCAAGTAGTGAACTGAAAGATGATAAGTCATCTACGAATGATTAAAAAGAAGTTAAGAAATACGGCAGTGTACGATATCTAATAATCGTATTATAATTTTAAGAGAGACTCGCTTCGATCGACAGCCTCTGTAGAGTTAAAATGCCAACAAGAAAATACTTTAGTTACTCGTTTAAGTCGCTACTCATTAAGATAATCTACTAAAGTTTTATAGCACTTTTTTTCTGTTTTTTTTTTTAATCAACATACTCTATCAGTATTATCAATATACGTAACAACATGAACAGATAAAGAGATTTCGCTTTCTTTATGAGAGAATCTCTTTTTTGTGTTACATTTTTTAATTACCTCCAGAATATATAATATATATATATATATATATATACATATATACATATATGTATATATATCTTTCCTTTTGTTTGACTGTTTGTCGGATTTTTTTTCGCTACAAATTGACCTATAAATCTGATATTGCTTAAATCAATCAAAGCCCCTCAGAGGCAACGATCTTCGAAGCTTTTACAGCTTACTTTTGCAAGAACTCTCTCTCTCTCTCTCTCTCTTTCTCTCTCTCTCTCTCTCTTTCTCTCTCTCTCTCTCTCTTTCTCTCTCTCTCTCTCTCTCCCCTTTCTCTCTCTTTCTCTCTCTCTCTCTCGCGCGCTCTTTCTTGCTCTTTATTAAGGTTACGTGAGATAGCTCGTTGTCTATCAAGGAGGATGCAGGTCGCGGTGATGGGCTCTGGCACTTAAAATCGCTTTCAATTCGGATTCTAACTGCTTTTTCGTTCGTTCGCTTACCGATCGGCCTCCCACTACCGGTTGAGCGGTAAATCTTGGCGATGGTAGGTCGACCATCAGCTTACTGGTGTCCCTGTTCTCGTGGCTTCTGGCTCTTCTTATAGGTTTCTTAATGGGTAAGGCGTCACCTTGGATTTTCTCTTGAGGCGGTCGCTCTAGGGACAGTGTCATTTCTTGATTCAACGTGTAAGTGGAACCACTAGCGACCGCTTCAGAAGACCTAGTGAGATCTATAGTTCCTGAGCCCCATTCACGGGACAATTTCCGTCCTATGGTGGAAGTTAGTTCGTTATTTGGCGATAATAATGGACTCTTGGACATTTGGTAGCCAGAAGAGTGCGGTGGCCTCAAAGTGGCGAACACTGGAAATGATTGCCCTCGTTTTGCTGGACTTCTGGCATATCTAGGTGTAGGCACACCTCCCCCTCCAGTAGATTCAGCCTTAACTGTTGGCGTTGTGCTGCCTGTAGAATCACTTTTCGTGGGAGCTAAAGGTCTTAGCGTTGCACTACCTCCGAAATGAGAACCTAAACGTGGAGGTGGTGATCCACCGTCTCCGTGACTTAAGCGACGTCCTACTGTTTCAAGGGGGCTCCTTGCTCTGAGGTTAGTGCTGCTTAGGGTGAATTCTCTGGGCTTCATAGGAGTATCCAGGCTTATTGGAGATAAACCTAATCTAGAACTTGATAAATTGGTTGAACTTCTGCTTTTTTCTGATCTTTTTGGACTCCGAGGCATTAGAGGACTCTTGCTTTTGCTTCGTTCTCTTCCTTTTACAGATTTTTCTTCTTTCTTGAACGTAGATACTTTTTCTTCTTCCTCCGGTACGGTTTCTATTTTTTCTTCTTGTTGGACTCTATGAGATTGGAGTGATTTACGTGAGATTTCTCGATTAGTCGTTCAAATGGAATTTCTGGATGCTTTAACTCACCTTCGAATTTCTTGGATCATCTCAAAAAACTGTGCCTTACTTTTACGCCTTCGACGCTGTTCGTGTTCCTTCTGGAACATGGCTACCTTGTAGATATATGAAAAAAGCTACAGTTCATGCAAACTCGTCACTTATGCAAAAGTGTCACTTACTCGTTTGACACTTTTTTGAAACAAAGAGGCAATCTGCCCTTGTCGAACTGTGTGGACCAATTCTCTAGCAGCATGATGTGGTGATACCAGTTCCACACAATTGATAAATCTGTACAATTTCTGTGAGAAGAACATCACGTTACGACTGCGCCATATGGAGTCTTCTGGTTTATGTCTCAATCTGGGCAACGTGTATTTGTAGAACAAATGTTCTCCAGCTAAAATAATTGTACCAAGCGCAACACCCATTCCTAGAAGACAAAACACGCCAGCTACGGAAGCTACACCCAAAGGCCTAGGTTGTCCTCCTTGTTCGTGTTCAAGACTAGTATCCATTCCTTCTCTTCCTCGAATACAGGGTAAACCACCATACCTGATTAGTTATTATTAGTTAAATTGATCATTTTGTTTAGATAATTCGTAATTAAATTGTATCCTTGCATAAATAGGTTACCATTTTTCTTGCAGAATGTCAAGTAGTCCAGTGCTCGTATAATTGGCTATAACTTTGGATATACTTTCTTTTAAAGGATGACCTTTAGCAAGCGCAACTGCATAGGTATCTTCGTTTATGGTGTCTCCAATTTTTTGCAATCGACAACCATCGTCTATTGCTCGATAATAATCTAAAATAGGAGTGTCTGCTATGAGTATATCTAAACTACCATTTCTTAATCTCTCTACACCTTCGGCGACATTCGATAAAGAATATCTAGCCATGTGAGACCACAATTGTGTGTTTGCTTTCTGCACATAGTATTCGGCTGCAGATGCTCTTGGTGCACCAACCTTTTGTAACAATAACTGTAACAGACATTCGCGTCCGAAATAATGGAAATTCGTTATAAGATGTACGATATAGGACTCTTTACTTACACTTTTATCGTGATAGTTGCTCACTGCAGGGTGGAAAAAGCGGCCCGCAATGAGTGCAGCTCTGTTGGCCGTATAGGAGGCTACGAAAATGACAGAAAAACCACCCCAAATGTTGATTAAAAACTTATTAGGCCAGGACTTTGGTGCCTTAAAGGCAACCAAATGTCCACAAAGGAGACCCCCCATCACCCATAAAGCAGAGGCAATTGAAAAGTTTTTGCTTCGTTGTCTACCCCATGGGTTCAGGCCAAACGGGCTGAACCATTCATACAGTGCCACTGCTATGGCAGTGAAGTTCAATGACGTAAAAACCGCGATCCATAGCTCTGTACTGAATGGGAATAGAAAAGCAAATAATGACATTTCTGACTTGAGTTTTGGCGCCGTGAGGAAGCTGACTCCGCTGAAGAAATATGGAGTTGTGAAGTCGACCACTTCTGCTCTACGAGCAGACACACTAAGCGGTGCAAAGGCCAGTTGTGCTCGGCCAACAACAAGCTCTCCAATAATTCCATTCCACGTGCTGCCATTCCGCTTGCCGAATAAACCATCTTTTACTAGATAGAGATCATATCGAAATCCTAGTTCACGAGATACTAGTGACATCAGATCCATGCTTAGACCATAACAACACATCAAAATATTCCCTTGGCGACATAGTAATCCTCTCAAGCAGAGACCCTCCTGTAAATTCGTAACCATTGTAAATGGTGGTGCCAGTGCTGTCACTATACGATACATTGGCATGCCAATCTTTTCGCCTCCTTGTTCAAGGTACGCTGGTACGATTCCACCTCCTGGCCAAATTATAGTGTCCAGATGGACCTCCTTTCCACCCTTCACTGTGCCAACTTTGGTCCATCTGAGCGGAAAAAGATATTATCTCGAACATTTATATTCAATGGAAAATGTGAATATTATTTAAACATACCTCAGTTGAGTTTTATTCCCTGGAAATCTTATGGCTTGCAAATTTAGCAACTGGAACTTGGCTTTGTCTTTTGAAAGTTGACTTACAGAATTCCATAACTTCTGCGTTAAGGTCTTCGAAACATCGTGCCTTAATTTGCTCATCAAAAATTTGAAATTACTTTTTGGAAAGCACTCTGGTACAAAGTTTTCCTCCAGTTGAGTCTCTCCCAAACGATTCAGTTTGGGTTTTACTTCTAAAAATGTCTCATCTAACGCTTGAGAAGTCTCCCTAATCATTCTGGATAATATAGTATCACTGCCCATTAGTTTTATGCCAGACGGTCTCAACGCTAGCATACCAACTGGCATAAAATCTTTAGAATTTAATTCTTTGTCTGTTATTCTAATTTCTTCGTCATCGTCGAAATTAAAGTTCTTATCTTCGTGTTTATATATAGATCTTTCACTTTGCCACCTGTATTCTTGTAATCGATGTATATCGTTGGCTAAACTGGACAAAGAATTTAAAGATAACTGATTTTCTGCTACGAGATTCGCGTTTCGGTTTATACTTTCTACTGGAGAAGAATTTTCATTCGTTGCTATCGATGATCTTGAGCTATGTATAATATGAGAGCTGATTATATTTGGTTCATTAGGTCTCAGTTCTGCCTTTAAATCCAGCCAGAGCCATAGGAACCTTCCTGCGAGCATTTCGTACTTGCCAGCTACAGCTAGTATTCTTCGTGTACTCTTCAAATCACAACCCATTACTATGACTCCTCCACTGCCTCCCTCCTCGGCGATTCTCCTCAATCTTATTTTTAAGGTCTTATCATTCGTTGGAAGATGTATAATTGTTCGAGGTGTTAAGGTTGACTGATTTGCATGCAGAAGATGAGTCATTGGGAGCAAAGTGGTGTCTATGAGAAGGGTGAATGCATGCCAGTTTGCCCTATGCATCAAAGCAGCTGCAGCTGCTCCCACTTCCCTTGTACTGGATCCTATACGATTTTCGAATTGTCCGAAGTTTTCCTGTAAATTATTTAATTGTTTTATGAAGTAGGTAAACTCTATTTCAACCAGTAAGAAAGCTATAACTGACCTGTCTAAGGAAATCTTCATGAGTAAATGGTAACCACAAAGCTGGGATATTTAACGAAGCTGCAGCTGTTACAAGAAATTTGGCTGCAGAGCCTCCTCCAATGATGAGACTTAACACCGTCTTTCCACCTTTAATTTCATTACAGAATTTGTTTAACAACGACAGAGGATAGGATAATGAATCTGTCTTGAGTGGTGCCTCTATGAAAGATACATTCATGTCTGCATGAGATGACTCGAGCCTTGCTTTCTCCCATGCCTTTTGCACATCTGTTTTCAGTGAGCCATGGGGTTGGGTTAGACACAGAACTATACGCCATGCAGCGTAAGATGTTCGAAATCGCCCCTTAATGGCTCTCACAGATCTGCTAGGGTCTGTAGAACAGAAACAAAAAGAAGTTCCCAGCAAAAAGAATAATACAACTCTCCAAATAAAACCGAACATCTTCGTTCTTCCGTGTTTCTCCTCTTCGTTATTCGTCGCTTAGCTCTTTTGACTTACATCATTCATATAAGGTTCCAATCTGTAATTATTGAAATCAGAAATAATAAATAATTCGTCATTGGTATATATGGTATATGGTATATGGTTTATGGGCATGTTACAAATTAGCCTCACATTGTTGACAATTTCAGATATGGATATTTCGGGCTTTCAACATGTTTATATAAACAGGACCATAATTAATCTCATTGTGACACAAAAAGTAACTTTATTCTCACACAAGATAGATTTTTATCTAATACTTTCTTCCCAAAACCTTTTCGTGTCACTTATGCTGTCTTATTTCGAAATTTCACTTCACTTAACGAATAATGGGATTTTTTATACTCCGTAAGAAAAGACCACGGAGTTGAACGAATTTAATGATTAAATGCGTTGATTTTTAACGTGTATAAAAGACAAATAGCGAAGACAGTTTACCTTTTCCCGAAGCGAATCATATGTCGCAAGTCCGGGGGTGGGTGAAGAGGAGCAAGAAGATTGCTTCTTAGTCGCCACATAATAGCTATCGATTAGGTAACAGTATCAATTGTCGTAAAATAATGTCAATTGGTCAGTGTGGAAGACAGGGATGAACCGTCACTTGCCCTCTTCTGGATGTTCTACCCCGTGCATAACAGCCATTTTCGAGCAGCCCCTCCCTTTAAATTTCACCCCAATGATACACATACTACTCCCTGGTAAAGATACGTGTTACGCTACACGTATATATCTCTCATGTGCGTCTCTTTGTAGACTATAAAGCATCGAACAATAAGATCAGATTCTTCTCTTTAATCTTTTAACTTGCTTTCAGGACATATAGAAGTTATATTATTTCATTTAGCATGGATAAAAGTCATCTTGTAAACATGTATTTTTTTCTTTAAATTACAAATTTCTAGATTATTAAAGTTTTATAAATTATAATATTTAAAATTATAAGAATTTTTCAGAGAAAAATATTTTGCAATAATGGATAGTATAAAGGAATATAAAAGGAACTATAGTTGGCCGGAAAATATCTTTATATATTTGGAATCTTCCATAATTTACATTTTGCCTTATATACATATATACGTTATGCCGCTTAATACAGTTTTTTTCTTAAGTGATCTTACAAGGCTTTTTTTATATGATAAAGAGATGCATGTACACAGGTAGCCATTCAAATGCAGCTTTCGAAAATTTGCATTCGCTATAATCTTTACTTATTTCTTTCCATTTTTACTACAGCTAAGATAAAATTAGCTGGAATGTAACACGGAGAATTATCTTACAATTAATAGTACAATTAATAATAATTAATAATATTCTCGGGTCTCTTTCCACTAGGAACTACCTTAACTCGTGGACATAACAAGTGTTTAACAGTTATAATAACAGAATAATTAACTAAATAAATTTTGTTGCGATACGTCGTTCTCAAATGTACTCCACGCATTATTCAGTTCCATGAAAATTAATTTTGCAATATTTTCGTTAGCCGTTCCCGCTTGCTGCAAAAAATAATATAAGAATATTACAGTCGAATGTTATTCACATTCATATTAATTTAGTACATGGAAATTTCATATTTTGAATGATACCTTATCTGGATGAACAGCTAAACAAGCTTTTCTATAAGCTTTCTTCACATCCGCAGTAGTAACTAACTGATGCATCTCGCATCGTTGCCACCTGTCAGCTTCCGGCCACAAAACTGTATGTAACGAGCAAAGAAGAGCCCTTAAATTACCCTTCTTTCCCTCCGTCCACTCAGCAATTTTGTATCTATCCGGATCCATATTCTTGGCAGCTTCCACTTTTCTCATTTGATTTATTGTCTTCGGGCTATCTTTTTCTGCTTTCCTCGAACTGAAGAAATTATAACCTTGACTACCTAATAGATCTTCGAAAGCATCTCCGCTTGATTTATTTGTTTTATTGCCTGATGTACTACTATCCGCAGTATTAGTCTCGTTAGTTGTGTTTTTGTGCGTATTAGGACTCGAGTGGATTGGCGTGCTAGCCGGTGCGGGACTAGCAGACTGTGGAGTATTAGAGTTTCTGGGTGTACCATTCCAGCTGGATGTTAGTCCAGCCCCCAGTGAGCTGGCAAGGTTTGCGAAGGGATCCTTATTTTGAGCGGCGAAATTTGGAACGCTTGAATTTCTTGGAAAATTTTCCTCAGTTGGAGGTTTCATAGTACTCGATTTAGAACTTTGCATATTTCCTAAGAGATTATTCGCAGTATTTCCACCAAATGGATCAAACAAATCGTCCAGATTTTGTTTGGTAGTGGATTGGTTCTGATTGAAGAATAAATCATTCAGATTATTATTACTATTATCGTTTGTAGTAGTAGGTTGATCGTGTCCGAAAAGTAAATCATTTTGGGCAGGATTGGTAATAGTAGGCACGGCGTTTTTCGCTTCTTGCTGAATAAAAACACCGAAACCTCCTAAGAGATCACTTTCTTTTTGACTAGAGTTAGAAAAAATATCTAATCCCGGGTTCACTGCAGCCTGTGGAGTATCATTTAAGGTACTGGTGTCTGGCATTCCTAAATTCAATAAATCTGCTTCTTGTAGTTTGTTTTCTTCTTTTACCTCCTCTTCTACATCCTCTACTGGTTGTTGAGGTATTTCTTGTTGTACATTAACACTAGTCTGTGTTTCAGTTGGCGAAGAGGAAGTCATTGCTTCCTTTTGAATCTAAAATTTTATGATCAAAATAATTAAAATATGATAATCATTTTTTAAGTTTATGTGATTTACCTCTTCTGGTTTAGCAATTTTGAAACTTTCTAAAGTTTCCTCCATTTCCAAAGTAGATCCGAACAGTGGATCTGGTTCTAGTTTCAAGGATAATTCTGCCTCCCAAGGAGCTGGAACTCTAGCCATTTTCGAGTTCTCCTCAGACACTATAATATTCAAAATAACACTGAAATTTCCACCAATTTCAGGTGCATCGTCCAGATCCTTCTTCTTAAATGTTAAAGCAGATTTGTTAAGCGGTATATATCCCGTATGAAAATGAACAGAGGCAATTTTGATCCCAATCATGCGGCCTAATTGCTGCCTGGCATGGAATATAATTAAAGTAACATCTCCCCTAACTGTAGCATTACCAAGTGCCAATGAAACCTTTCCTTTCATCATTCCAAACAGTTTTATATCTTCGTATTCTGGTCGTTTAGTAGAAAATACTAAAGCTCCGTTGCTATAAATGTCAACGTATGGTCTACAACCGTCTTTTGCCCTAGTAAATAATGGAACAGGTTTAATTACTAAGGAACGAAGTGCTAAGGGCTTCGTATGAGGTTGTACGCCGGTACTCAGAAAGCTCATATAACTAATACTGCGTAGTTCTGAGGGCTGAAGTTGGGGAGGCTGTCGCCTCGTTGTGAACATCGCTATAGCCTCTTCAGGAGTAGTGAACGCCCTAGCATAAACTAATAAAGTACATGCAATTGTGGCGCTAGCTCTGTACCCATCCTAAAGAAATAGAACTATATAATATATTGTTGTGTTTTCCAATTAAGGGAGTAAGGAACCCTATAACGCAGGAAATAAATTATAGAGATACTAGAGTATGATACAAAGAATATAAAAGTACAAATTTAGTATTTAAAGAGATCTCTCCATTCAGCATAAAAGTAAAAATCTTCACTTTAGATTTAGAAATTCATATACCCCAATTCATAGTAATGATAATTTTTTAATTTTTTAACTGCGTTTTATGGAAACATACTCCACTTTAAATATCCCACTTTAAAATATACTCACATTGCAATACAACACTACAATGTGGTTAAAATCGGCGTTCAAATATCGATATATATCTTGACATATTTGATACAGGGCCGATAATAATGGGGCATTAGAATCCGAGGAAGCATAAGCAAATGAACAATCAATATGTCTACCAGGAAGTCTAGACACGTTCAGTCGTCCCCGAGATAAATTATACAATTGTATACGAGCTGGTGGAGGATGTCGAGCTTGTAAAAATGCTCTTACGTCCTCTACATGGTTAGCCCTGTAGGCAGATTCTATTCCATCTGCCGGATAGGGCATGATTAATATACGTGACGTTAAGTAACTGATGTCTAATTCAGTTCTGGCCATGCTCTGTTGCATAGAGTACATCACTTTACTCGAAGTATCCTTTAAGTTCCGTAGAATACTTCCAGCACCGCCTTTCAACGAGCTAAGTAGGCCTGTCGTTTGAGCTACAGGAACCTTGGCAACAGCCGTCTGAACCGGTACAGGTCTTGGAGGAGGTACGTTAATTGGAGGAGATGGTCTCGGTGGTGGAGTGGGTGTATTGGGTGGTTGGGCGGGTCTGGGGGGTGGTGGAGTTTTTGATGAAACTTCTACTTTCGAGGGTTCTCTGGGATCAAAGTTGTTCGATTCAGCTATCGCCGCTAAACGTTCTAAAATCATAGATGTAGTCAATCTTCGCACTGGAGACACTTCCAAGCATCCTTTTACTATATCGTGTAGGCAGGCTAAACGAGGATTTGGTGGAAGTGGAGGATACTTGCCATTAACTATTGCAAGTTTATTACCTATGAATGAAATAAGTCTGAGTAAGAATTGATTGTACTATTAACAACATATAAACTATATACCTTCAGGAAATGGATGCTTAAGAGTTATCAAGGAGTATATAATACAACCAAGTGCCCAACAATCAACTGGAGGACCAATAGGTTCATTGTTCCATGTATCCATCATTTCTGGAGCTCGATACATGGGTGTAGTGTATTTTGCCATCTGATCCTCCAAAGTAGCACGTTTTTGAGCATTCCAGGATGGGTTTGGCAAGATCTGTTGGTTGGAAGTGCTACCAAAGTCACAGAGTTTGATCAGACCATCACTTCCAATTAAGAAATTTTCTAATTTTATATCCCTGTGTACTAAAGGTTCAGGTTGCTGGCTGTGCATATGATGTACAGCCCTTGTAGCCTGGTAGGCTATCTTACAAATTTGGGCAAGACTTAGAGTATTCGTTGATAAACTTCTGAGCATATCTGCTACTGTACCTCCAGGACATAATTCTGTAACTAATAAATATTCATGTCCTTTGCGATCTTCACGTTCCAAACGGTGAGCATAGAGATATTGAATTATGTTTGGGTGGTTGGATAGTCTTTTTAAAGTTTTTATTTCTTGTATGATATTTTCATTGGTATCATCATCAATTGCTATGAGTTTCTAGAAATACAATTTCATGTTAATATAATTGTTTTTTTATACTTAGGATAATGTAAATGTATAGATAACTTACTTTCAGTGCATATTCTTTTCCTGTATTTATATCTTCAACTGCAAACACTAAAGCCCAACCACCTGTTGGTATAAATATTTAAATATTGATTAAAATAAATAACATACAAAAATATTTTTGAAATACCATAAAGGTAATAATAAATGTTGTCTTTACTAGGTTACTGATATCTTTCAGATATTAATATTTCTGAATGAATCAATAATCCCTCACCATAAAAAAAAATTTTTAAAAACATTTATGATTTACACATTCATCTTTTTAATATATCAAATTATGTTATATTCAAATAATAAATTATATATCACATCTTCATTTATTAACACTTATCAATATTGCATAGACATTTGAATATGTATAACTAATCATTCTTTAACAGTGCCCAAAAAAAATAATTTGTTCACATTAACATCATACAACTGAATGTCAAAACACATTTGACACATGTCAAAAGAAGAATAGTTTACAGTATTGGCACAGTGTCAGCTACTGTTTCGTATGGTCACAAGGAATTGCGTTGAGAAATGAATATCTTTATTTAATAATTAAAAATAATCATAATATGAAAATGTTTTAAGTAAGATAAAATTGTGTCAGTGAAATATGAAAATTGACAGACTCACCCTCGGCGAGTAGCCTGGTCACGCGTAATTTCACATTGTTGATTTCCAGTACTTGTCCAACGTATTCATTACTATTTGTAGCTCCATTTAAGTATCCTAAGGCGGATCTTAAGTAATCCGACATATTTCCTTTGAAATATCCCGTCGAACCCCCAGAAAGCGTTTTCCTACGTTACAATGCAGACAGCCGATGCTGTCCGGCCATACTGTCTTTGTGACGTCACCTACAGTACCGTACTAACAATATTTTTGTATTTTAATAAGTGAAAGTAATTACTACTTTCACTAACGATTATTTAATTGTTTAAAGAAATTAATGCGATACCTCAGTGGTGATATTAACTAAAAAAATTTAGTATAATTTATTTCGTATTTAATGATAATGAATAGAATACAAAAATAAGGTATAAGAATTTTCAATAGCTGCTACTTTATTTTTCATTTCAGAATTAAAAAGACTTTTTATATTTATAACTTTTTATATTTATAACTATTCTTTATTTTGGTTAAATGTTAAAAATTAAATGAATAATATTATAATATTATAATATTATAATAACAATAATTATTATAACATAATTGTGTTATTGTTTTGTGCTGTCCTTGTTCTGTAAATAAAGGTACTTATAGAGAAAGTTTTATTGCTTTATTTTTTAAAATGGGTGCAATTCATTAACCTACGCGTACTACGCGCATGCGTATGAAAAATTTTGTAAATGCACAAACTAAAACAAAGAAAAATCATTTTTTTTCTTGAGTCTATAAATTGTTTCATTCTATATCGCCTATTCAGTTATTGTTGATAATTGCAAAGCTGCTTTATGAGTTTCTGAGATAAGCTCGCTTAGTAGTTGTGTTTTGGAATTCTTAACCATATTTGTGAGTGTTGACATTATTATCAACTCGTTGGTGTATTTTCATTGGATGGTTAAATCATTATCGAAGGCTTGAAAATGTCAAATTTCGTAACATTCACGAAACTAAGGTCTTCTACAAATTGCAGTTTTTGGGCAAAATTTGTAGAATTGAAGATTAACAAATTCAAACTTGATGAGAAACCTATCAATCTGTGGGGCAGTTATAGTCTTCAGTCATTAAATGAAGATATCTCTAATCCGTTAGTATTAGATTTCACATCTTTTAACGAGTAAGTTGATACTTGTGATATAAATGATTGTTTTGATCAATTTTTTTTAAGTAATATAAATATGTGTCAGAAATAACTTCATACAAATAATTTTTAGAGATTCAGAAACAGTAAATAATGATTCATCGGTTGTTTGTTTTGGACATATGATTAATACAAATACTCTTGAAGCATTCCGTCAAATTAATCCTGAACGATTTATTCATTCTATGGGAAAGGATATTATAAACAGTATTCAAGATGAAACAATATTACAAAATCCATGGAAATTATCATTTTTTTTAGTGTTGGCTTATTCAGACTTAAAAAAGTACAAATTCTATTATTGGGTTGCACATCCTACTCCTTTAAAGTTGCCTGAAATGTATTATCAAGAATCCCCAAAATCAATCAATGAAGAATTCACAATTAAACATGTAAAAGATTTATCTAAAGGGTTCTTACAATTGGATAGTAAAACAAGAAATTATTTTACTGTTTTAATATCAAAGGAAGATGAAATGAGTATTGTTGATGTGGCAACAGGAATAAAAATAATCAATACAAGTAGTGAAAAGATTTCACAAGTATTAAGAAATATAATTTAAATAAAAGCTTTGTATAATTTCTTTTGTATATATATTTATTTACTTTTCTAGGAGTATAGTGAAATTTACTTTGCATTTTATGACCCATCTACAAATTTGAATCCAGGCTGGCCTTTACGAAATTTTTTGTGCCTTTTATGTTGGCACTGCCCTACATATTACTTCTTAAAAATCATTAAACTTATATCTATAAGAGGAAATAAGGCACAGAAGAGTCTTGTCTTCAAACTTAAAATCAAAGAATATGAAAACAACAAAGATGTAAGAGACCTTCTGTTTCTGAGTCACTTGGTGGGTTGGGAGAGCAATATAAATGATAAACTAGGCCCCACTGTGGTAGATCTATCTGATACCATACATCCAGCCAAGTAAATATTCAAAATTAAATTAAATCCAAACATTAAAAATATATTAAATATTTTATTGGCATGTTCGTCTTCTATTAGATTATCAGACAAAGCTGTCAATCTAAACTTAAAGCTAATGAAATGGCGTCTTGTTCCTGATCTAGATTTAGAAAAGATCAGTAATCTCAAATGCCTTTTATTGGGAGCTGGTACCCTAGGTTGCTCTGTAGCAAGAGTCCTTCTAGGTTGGGGAGTGAATAATATAATTTTTGTAGATAGCTCAAATGTATCCTACAGTAACATAGTACGCCAAAGTTTATACAACTATCAGGATGCTATGAAGCATAAATATAAAGCTTATGCAGCTAAGGATGCTCTACTTAATATTCGACCAAACATGGTGAGTATCAAATTTTGTCCATTTTACTGATACTTCATTACATTAATTTTATTGATAATATAGAATACAGAAGGTGTAGTTTTACAAATTCCAATGCCTGGGCACATTGTTGGTGAAAGTTTGATAGATTCTACGAAGCAGGCCCTAAACCAATTGGAAGAACTTGTTGATAAGTGTGATGTTGTCTTTCTCTTATTGGATTCTCGTGAAGCTAGGTGGTTACCTACAGTTCTTTGTGCAGCTAAGAACAAAATTGCCATTAATGCAGCCTTGGGTTTTGATTCATATACAGTACAGAGGCATGGTACTAGAAATTTTAGTAACCCAACTTCCCCAAATTTAGAAACTACAAATCCCCATGGTGCGGACCTTGGTTGTTATTTTTGTAATGATGTAACACAGCCTGGAAATGTAAGTTTAAATACACATTTGTATGATTCTTATTCTTTAATGAAAGTTATTTTGTTTTATAGTCGCAAACTGACAGAACACTGGATCAACAATGTACAGTTAGTAGACCAGGTTTATCGCAGATAGGCGCAGGATTAGCAGTCGAATTATTGATAACTTTGTTGCAAAATCCTCATGGGTAAGATAAATAATGAAGATTTCGATATAAACGAAAGTTATTAAATTATGTAATAATAAAATTAATTGAATATATTCAATTACTTAATGAATAATGGTTATTTCATATTTAATAGTATTGAAGCAGAGGCGTTGATGAGTAATAACAGAGACAATATTAGCCCAAATGATACTGGAATGGTAGGCATATTGGGATGTGTACCACACACGATACGGGGGTCCCTATGGAATTATGATACTCAATTGACGATTACACATAGATTTACATGCTGTACGGCTTGTTCAATGCCTGTTATTACGGAGTATAAAAATCGAGGCTTTTCTTTTGTTCTGGATGCATGTAATATACCGAATTACTTAGAAAAATTGTCTGGGCTGGAGGACATACTAAAAAGGCCAGATTTAGACGAGGTATGTACGTTTAAAAAATTGTATTAATTTTGTTAGGTATTTAATATGTATTATATTTTTAATTACAGCTTTGTTTTGCACTGGATAACATAAGTGATGACGATGATGACAATAAAAAAAATGTAATACCTTAAATATGAACATTCTTTTGGACGAAAATGTTTTTGTCACGTGTAATAAAATACTCGAATTTAATATTATTACGCAAAAAAATATTGGATATGCATTATATCTGAAAAGTATATAAATTTAATATTCATTTTTGTCGATTGTAATTATTTTATTCCAATGCAAGTGCAATTAAATGCAAATCGTTTAGAATCAGTTTTATTACTGATACTATTTTTGTATATAAATTTGATATGATTATCGAAGCATCATTCAAGAAGTTGTGTTTGTAAATCTCGTTTTTAATGTTAAACGTTATTAAATAAAACATTTGAAGTATTTAAAAATGAAACAAAATCGAAATACAGGTATTCTGTATATCTCCTATTTACACAATTAAAAAAAACCGTCTATAACTAGTATAATTATTCTTTAACAATCTATTTACAAATTAAATTAATCTAAAGAAGAATTATTTTTCAAAAAATTCTATATACGATAAAATGTCTATAATATTAAAAATATGAAAATGTTGGAGGGAAAAGGGAGCGTTTAAATCGTATTTATACGAGCGGCGTGACGCGCGCCTGTGTCTTTAGCGAGTTTGCCGGTAGGGTGCGTTGTGACGAATGAATACCAGACATTCCAGTGTAATGTTTAAGTAGTGGGGAATCGAGGCTGACTATCGTGTGTCAAACAGCCTGTGTTTCGTGTGTGTCTCATCGCATACCATTAGATTTTTCATCGTTTTCAATGAAAATACGTACTGTGCATTGGTTCGATGTGCCAGCGGATATCGTGCCGGATGTTTGATCCTGTATTCGCTGGCTTGTCATCGCAAAATCATCGGTGAGTGAATCACGAAAACGAGGGGAGAACCACCTTAAGTTCGATTTACCTCAAGGAATGCGTGATTCGTTTCTTTTTTTTCTTCACGCTACGTCGCATTCCTCTATTGATTCTTGTCTTGGGGCATATAGTGCGAAAGAAGTTTCGTTTGCTTAGTCGGTAAAAAAGTTATTAAAATCCTTACCGATCGTCCACTTCCTATTAAGAATTGTTTTAAGATATTTTTTATCACATTACCCGAAAGAATTGTTTGCTATTGCTTTAAAATTTTGTAATTATGTGCGCGCGTTTGTATGCATACTTGTTGTTAGACTGGAACTCGCGTGTCCGGCTTTTCGTTGATTCATCGCTTTCGATGAATTCCATCTAACAAAAGACGATTATTTACAATTTCTTTGAGTTGATATCAATAATCAAATATTTGTTCTCTCTTTATATTTTTGTCGGTATTTCAATTCTAGGAATATGTTAATAATATATAACGGAAAAAAATATGAAATTATTGAGAAGTTATGTACATTTGAGAGAGAATCGAGGAAAAGCTCATGAGAGTATTGGGGTGGGGATAAAGGTATTCGATACAAATTACGAGATCAGTTGTTACCTTTTACTTAAGCTATAATTCAATATTTATTTTATTCTACTTACTTACTCAAAAAAGTAAATTTTGATTTTATTATTATTTAATATAAAAAATATGTTCTTTGAGCATTCAAGTTTTATTTTTTCCCGAGGAAAGGGGTTAAATTTATAGAGATGTAACAATTCGGTAAAAGAACTATTTAAAACGTTTTGTTTATGTTGTTAGGAATGAAATTGCAATGCCGGTTGCGTGGAAATTTGGAACGAGAACAGAGGGCAAGCTACGGAAGCAAGAAAAGGAAGTGTGACTAGTAATGGTCTCGAGTATGTTGTTAAAATTTGAAGTTCAAATTAATATACAAACATGCCAACAAATGTTATTAGTGGAACACTTCTTATTACCTTTTCAACATTCATTCCACTTAGAAAAACTTTTTATATCAGCAATATAAATTGTCAGATAACTTTCTTTTTTCTACCAATTATATAATATTAATTAATAATTCAGACCTCATTTAGATAATTCAAAAGCAATTCGAAGCCATTACTAGACGGTATGTTAACGGTGGGTGGAGTGGGATCAAGTGGATACGCGTGGGGACTCGCGGAACGATATAGGGTGGGCTGTAAGCGCGGCGGTGGAGGACGCGAGGGGCAGACCTCTGGTGAGGGGTCCGCATTCCACAGACAATGTCACGTTTTTTAATCCCCGTTTTACTTTATTTGTGCTTGCTTCGGCCGCGAGGAAGGCCCCCAAACAGTTAACTTCGACTTCTGTCCCCAGAGAACGGAGATCTTCGTGACGGTGTCGGGCTCGTCAGCGTTTCATCGCGGGAATTTCAACCCGCGTTGAACACCTGCTGCATCTCTAACACGAGGAATATTTCCTTCTGGAGTTTAATAAGTGAAGTTGTTTTAAATTAAAACTTAGAAGGTTGAAGTTTGTGGATCAAGGATACCTTTGTTTGAGTTTTGCAAGAAGAAGTTTGAGAAGAGGAGATGTCCGCCGTTGAGAGCGCCTTGGATGTCCTCTCCAGGGCAGCCACCATGGTGCAAGGTCAGTTTGCCTCGTGACTTATGCTTCTGATGGAGCTGGTGATTGTTCGTGATTGTTGGGTGATCAAATTTCTAGTGGATCGAAACCGAGCTGGAGATGCTATAGTAGTGTTTTCCAGCTCAACATAGATCACTGGTACCAGAATTAGTTGTCATTGCAGCCTGTATTTGTTTTAAACTATAGTTACTTTTTAATCCAGGGATAAAGTCATTTTACTGTACAGGGTGTTGCAGAAAGTGTAATAGCCGACAAATTGGTCAGAAGGTTAACAATGAAAATGATGTTTAAAATGTTAAACGATATTCTCGAGTGATCTGCTTTAAACTTTGAAAGCATCAAATTGCTTCCCAACAGAGTATAAACTCACATTAACGTATTACGTATTACTCACATATTCACGAAAACGAAATATAGGTTTACGAGAATGCAACTGGAATATAAGTGAATTGTTGATTATGTTTTTTTGTAATACCCTGTATACACGATATTTATATTAATTTTACATACCGAAACAAGAAGCTTTCAATTTTTTATACGTTATAAAATCACAGTCGTGGAAGAAGGTAAAAAATTTATAATCAACCCTTAAATCCCGTTTCCATGAAGCCTAAAAACCGATTCATTTTCAGATATCCAGTTTACCAAGATACATTCCAAAGTTCTCATCCAGAAGTACTACATTCTTTCTTGAGGAAATCCCCGAATCCACGAAGATGATTAGAAAATCGCTTTTCCGTAATTAATCCAGGGATTTAATTCACGATCCATCGAATCGATTGATGGAATCTGTTCAGTAGGGCCATTGGGAATTTATGTAAGAGAGAAGGCCAGTTTGAGCCCACATTCCTGCGAAATGCCAATTTTGCGTCGAATTAGATAACATTGTGCGCCGTTTATTTTAGATTCGTCGCGTTCGCGGCTTCTCCGTCGGGCTCCTTGGCAAGAGTGCCGAACAAGCCTCCTGTGACGTTTAATTTCGTGACGTTTAAAACAACTTCATTCTATCTCCTGAACACATTCGAATACATTCAAGTTTATCCTTTTGTTGAAAAGAATTAGTCTGATCTTCTATATTTTTAAAATTACTTCTCACAATGTCACAGAATGTTGTTAGACATAGCATGTCATTTTCGCAATACTCTAGCACGTAATCGAGCGTAAACAATGATCTTTCCGCATTGAAATTTTTTAGTCACGCTATAATATCGTTGCGAGGTTCAGTTTGATGATTTAATTAGCGCAAAATTGGTAGAATTCATCATACCTGAAACGTACTTTTTAAAGGTTTTAGTTCGTTAGAATTCTGAAGGCAAGGAGAGGAAATATAGGCGTGGAGCTAGATTTCTTATCGAAAACTGAGTCATTGGAATTTGATAAAACGTGAGACTGTGGTTAACTCTTTCAATCTCTGTTCAATTTTAAGCATTCAAAAATATTCGTTAATTAACTCTGTAGTTAAAATGCTCTACTATCGTGTTTTTGTAAAAACGGTTGCTCTATCTAAAGCCCTATGAAATCGAAACGTTTATATTGTTTAGAAAATATCTGTTTCCCTTTTGTTTTTCTCTTCCTTCTTATGTTGGGAGTATAAATTAAGAAAAGTTGATTTAAACGTCCGTGGAGAATATAAATGACGAGGAAAAAAGTGTAGCTGCAAAGTATGGCGCATTAGAGAAAAGGTTCCACTTTCGAGGGCAATCGGGAGCATGACGACGCGTCCGTGGCGATGATTTTCATAAATCATCAGGCTGCTATCGGTGCGGACAGCGGAGCGTAACGAGCCCTGGTTCTCAGGAGTGTGAGTAGTTCCTTCTGTGTGTGGTTTGTTGTGATGGAATGCCGTGCCTCGAACCTGTTCCGAATACCAGACGTAGTTGCGTCTGCTTGCGGATGATGGCGCATTCTGTGACTTTCTCGCCAAAAATATGTTCCCCGGTCGGTTTCACTAGTTATCAACATGGTCTTGATATTTTAATGCAACATGAGAGGATAATTTGTTGGACTACTTTAACTTTTGATCATTTAAAAAAAAAGAGGTAAACAAAATTGTAGACTTGAGATCTTTGATTTAAATATAAATGAATTTAAACAGCGTGATACGTAGAGAATGAGAGGTTTGATATTTTTTATTTAATTATTCCTCGATATTAATATTATTCGAGATTAATTATTTAAAAGAGAATAGATATTACTTAGGGGTACCAAATTGGAGATACCAAATTAATTAGATTTTATTTTTATAGCAAAATTATTCGAGATTAATTATTTAAAGGAGAATAGATATTATTTAGGGGTACCAAATTAGAGGTTCCAAATTAACTAGATTTTATTTTTATAACAAAGAATAGAGAATATCATTTTAATCGCCACATAGAGGTATATATTTCAGTAATGTGTTTGATTCGCATGTTTCCTTTTAATTCAGCACATTCCACCAGTGTGTGAATTACGCTTGTCTTGCAAGAATATCAACTATATATTTCAATTAAAGCCGGATTTTGAAGAAATATAAGAGGCATGTTCAAAATATGCTGAAATATTCGACAAATTCACATTCACCAAGTCACTATATATTGGTATATGAACGTCTGATAACCATACACAATTACCTGGTTGCGTTGCTATTAAAATGCCTGACATTCCTGTCCGATGCCTCATGATTCCTCGAGGATAACTTACCACCTTGATCTTGCTTAGGAATTACACGACTGGCAATAATATAAGGTTCCATAGCTTGCCCAAATTGATAGTCTTCAAGGTCATTGGCCTATCGTCGTTTTATTCGTTATTCTCTGTTCTTTGCTTCGAGGACGAGGAATATTTTTGAAAATAATGGGTACATTTGTAACGCTATAATTTCATTGGAATTCTGTGATAGAATTATGATTCGTTTTATTTCTTCGTGATTTATTTATTTTTTTCCATAAAAAGTATTATTTCTTCATTAAATATACGATTTCGAGTAATTAGTTCATTTCACACGAAGTATATCACACGGACAGCAACAAGTGTAATAGAACACATAGTAATTTTCGAAATTCTGTGAATTATTATTATATCATCACTGATCCTTGAAAATTTTATTCATGGTGCCAGCAAGTATTTTACCATGCAAGTGTTATTATACATCAAACAATGAACACAAATCGTAATTTCCAAAAATGAGTATATTTAAGATAATTTTCGACGAGATTCCATGGAACCCCGTTGAAGGAATTCCAGGGTCCTTATGAAATGAATTTTTTTCATGAAACATGACGACTTGAACGTAGTATACACGTGTACTAAACGCACATGTGCATCGATCGCCTACCTGCCACGGAAAAAAGGGAAAAGAAGAGGAAAGAAGCGAGTTAGTTGGCCAGAGGTGCTTGCATCTCCTATGTACTTACACTATTGCAGCTACATAGCGATGGCTTTGGATTGTGCCATCGGATTAATCCCGAAACAAACATTGTATGGTATTTAAATCTACAAATGTTAAACCTTGAATTAATTTATGTTTCAAAATCAATATTAATATCGCAATCCTACAACCCTTAGAAAATCTCAGGAACTGCCAGTCTACGTACAAAGCAAATTTGTGCAAGAGTCATTGATAAAACCAAGCCATCGCTACATCCAAGCGTGTAGATCGTGTGCATGTGTAAAAGGCAAGCTTTACCAGCTGTACGTGGAGGGGGCAGACGACGGGACGAAGCGGATGAATGAATGAATCTTAAGACAGTCGTGTAAGAGGGGCATTCACGAATCCACATATCTCTGACTCTGTCTATCTTTCCAGAAACCTTGTATCCAATGTCCCTAGCCGTTTCGTACCATCTGATATATTATTTCTAACAACAACCCGGTGATACTTCAGTCTGGATCATGCTTCTAAAAGTTTTAGAAGCTCGATGATCCTGCTTTCTGATCGACGATCAATCGAATTGGCCAATTGATCGCGTCACGCTGCTTTTTTTGAGCTCTGCTCGAGACCATCAGGACATCATTGAAGCTGCTTTCTTTGGCGAGATGAAGATCCTCGTATGGAAAGGATATATTGTTCCCTGAGATCGATTTTATAAGAAGAAGCAAAGGTTGTACGTCGAAAAGTGGATTAATGTGCGGAATTTATACAATTTCATGGGAACCAGTTCATGGTTCACAGTGTTCCCTTGTCGTACAAGCTATTTGGACCGTTTATGGGGGAATAGAAGAGGAAGAATCTTCAATTTATGATTACTTTTGTTGGTATTCATGGTGGTTACAAGTTGAGTTTATGATACCTGAAGATTTCGGGGAGTATGGAGGTCTCGCCGAGGAGAAGGTGCCTTTGGCAGCCGTGGTTAAGCACGGAGAGCTTTCAAACGGTGTACAAACCCGGAGGTATGTGAGGAACTGTTCTAGACAGTTTACGGGAAACATTCTTTCTTAATTTCTCATGTAGGTTCATTGGAAGATGTATACTTGTGAATATTATGGCTCGAGAAGGATCTAAGGATTCAGAAGAATGTGGTGTTTAATTCCAAGCATAAAAAGAGTGGGGGAAGTGTGATCCGGGGAATGTAACAGTATCTCTAATAGATAGATATACACTCAAAAAAGTTGTATTTCGTATGCATCGATAACGAATTTAGAAATTTTATTACATTAAATGAATTTCACATTGTTTTCTGCTGAGGTTTCAGAGCCCCGGCTTCTGGTACTGTCTATAAATTACCGAATTCAATGAAAGTATGACAGAAGATAACACCTAGAGAATTAATTGAACGGAACGATCTCGGCTTCGATTCACGCGATCGGTTCATTCATTTTTTCCCTGGCTGCTGGCTCATCCTTTGCCTTTAAACCTGTTTGACCGTCTTCCTGACGATCCTCTCACGGCTATTAGGCACTTCCTGCCCCATCCTGGGAACCAGACTCGTTTCTCTACTCACCCTTCGCGCCCTCCTTCTCTTACACCTCTCTCTTTTATTCTTGTCGCACTCCTCCTCCACGAGTTTCTCGGTCGTTCGAGGGGTTGCTAGATCGATTTCCAATTTTAGACATCGCATGGTGAATGGAAATAGGCGATGATGTTTTATAAATAAATTAAACGTGATATTGAAAGCTCAAGGGCAAATTTACGCATTGCCTTCAATTTGTTACACCTCTTTCCATGGTTTCTTATTGTCATAAGCTTATGCTGGTTTGGAAGGTTGCAGAAACAGTATGGCGAAATTTGGTACACGTAGGAAGGAAACTTGGAGGTAGTTTGAAACCCGGACCTTTCGTTTCTTCTCCGAGCTCTCACTCATTTTTCAGTTATACATGCGAGAAAATATCAAGACAAAATTTTCGGTTGCAATCACTTAGACAAGATATCTACGAATTTCGACTATAGGAAGAGGAAATGAAAATCGTTTAAAATATCAAAGAACTTCGTTATTGCGTTTATTTGTAAATCTTTCAAAATATCAAAATACTGTTCTCCCCTTAACGCCACCAAATTAGTCTTGCTGATATAGCACGTGCAAGATTTTACTTTTCATATCATATCCAATTTTCAAAGTTCTTCCTACACCTTCCACAGTTATCAGAAAATTTTTAAATAACTTTTAAGTTCCTCTCCACAGGATATTGTATAATTAATTAATTCCCAAAATAAAAAGATAAGGATTAAACTACAACATTATGAAACGTATACGTATAAACAATTGAAAGAATAGGAGACCAGGATAAAGTTTCATCTTCAACTACGTATTGAAAACACAAACTGTCAAAAAATTTCATGCATGACTTGTTTTATTACACAGAAGAGAGGCCGAAGACGACGAATCTCCATCGAAAACCGAGCAGCGCGTGGCGCAAGGAACGTAGGAGGGATCCAATTCAAAGTGAGGCCCTGGATATGTCCGCGGCCCGGGTCCATCATCATCATCACCATCATAGCAGGCCCAGTGTAATAGTACCTACCACTCCACAACCCGGTAAGCTTCTGGTTGCTGGTTCCTGGTGTTCCATGCGAATTCGTTAAGCGAGTAGATGACTGCCGTCATTCTTGGTCTCGCGGGGAGAAGGGGGGGGGGCAAGAAGGGCTATTGTTTGACACATGGGGTGACTGTGTGCTTTGACAATGTGGCGTGATGTACGTCGTGCAGATGCTTAACTATTGAATAGAGGAAAACTCAGAGGTTGTGAGTTGAAATTCTCCTGTACAAAGCTGTTAGAGAAACGCTGGAGAAAAACGAGTTAATATTCAACAATTTTTGAAGTCAGACTGAATTTAAAATTAAATATTAACGTTACAATAGATTTAGAAATTAGCTCAGGTAGATTTGAAAGTAGGTATAGTTTACAGTTCAAAATTGAGCGCATTAATTTAATTTTATTAGTTGTAATCGATAGAATTAATAGAATACCTTAGTGTACTATATAATTTATATTTCACTAACGCTGATATTAAAAATTTTGTTACTATATTAGAAATTTATCAAAATTCATAATTCCAACTTTGAATTTCCTTTTTCTTTTTTCCGAAACATTTTGTACTGTATTTTATGTTAAATTAAATTGTAATAAATTGCTGTTTACCAGGAACAACTATTGAGGACACAGCAGTAACGCCTACCCCATCTCTGACGCCGTCAGCGGCAGCAGGAGGCCAAAGAACTGGGGTCAGAACCGTGGGTGGTGTGAGTGATCCTGCAATAGATGAGCATTTCAAAAGATCTTTAGGCTTAGAGGAGTATGCTGCAGTTTTTAACGCTACTACTACTGACAAAGAGCCAGGCCTCAGTGGTACATTACTAAATTGTCTTTTAAAGAAGAAAAACAAAAAAAAAAAAAAAAGAAAGAAAATTTATATCTTTAATATACTAATTTTTAGTGGATGATCATTTTGCAAAAGCACTTGGAGAAACCTGGACAAGGCTGCAAGCGACCAGCAGAAGCAAGGACTCGACTTAACTGCCGGACAGTTAATCGAGAATCCTCACCATCTTTGCGTCGTTGTTGTTGCCTCCGTTTCCTTCATCGTGACATCTAATGTGCTTTCATTATCTGTCTACTTCTTAATCTACAAATTAATGTGAAATTATTAATATTCGTGAGAAGAACTATGGAAGCAACCAACGAACTCTGTATTATTATTATTATTATTTTTATTATTATTATGGTTATTATTATTAATATTATTGATATTAATATTAATATTGTGGTTCGCGTGGAAAATAGAATGAAAGAGTACCTAAGTGTCCTTGAAATGTCACAGATACTCTTGGATGTAATTTAGGGGGTATCGTGATTCATACACGCGATTTTTCTAACTTTTTGTGACAATTGTACTTGAGATATTGTATATATAGACGTGTATTCTTTTAATCATGCCATCATCGCGGCCTCAGAGGTCTCAAGTTATTTATTATATGATGTTCTATACTGCCTCGCTAAGTGCTAGACCTGTTCAGTCTCTTTAACTCCTTTTTGCTGCAGTAAGAAAACACAGGAAAAAATGTTTAAAAACCGTAAATATTTCCGGAAATTAACCTTTGTCGGTTTTATTCGTATCCATTGTTTTTATATCTTGCTATACAATACAGTAAAAAATATTTATTTTTAATAATAACTTTAATGAAAGTTTGGAATCTGTTGATTAAGATGTGTTTTATGTTTAGTAAAATTGAGTGGAACTAAAAGAAAATAGAACGAGCAATTTAATTCATTATAGGGTTAAAGTTACTGCAGCTATTGGAAGAAAGAGTATAATGAATGGTGCGACTTGTACGTAATTAATTATACGTTTAGATGTATGTGTGCGCGCGCGTGTGTGTATATATATACACACATACATACGCATGTATGCGCGCACGCGCGCTTGTATGTGTGTGTATGCATATGTAATTCGTACATTGTAATTATAAAAAATCGAGTCTTTATAAAGAATATATAGTATAAGCGCGAATCCGTATAAATCGAACCGATTGTTGCACAAACTTGCAACACGTGGTTCACCTCGTGTAACGATGTGTGCGTGCGGGCGTGTGTGGGGAGGGTTGCGCGTGCACTTGTGTGTGTGTGTGTGTGTGTGTGTGTGTGTGTGTGTGTGTGTGTGTGTGTGTGTGTGTGAGCGCGCGCGCATACGCACACACACACACACATATATATATATAAATAAATATACATATTGTATCAAAAAGAAAAGAAGGAAAAGAATGAAAGAAGATACATAGGAAGGCGATTGAAGATATTTTTAATACCAGTTTTGCCGTTGGAAAAACGCATCCCTGCAGCTCCTGTAGTTTCCTAGTGGTTAACGGTGAAGATTGCTAAGAAGAGTAACACTGATTTCAAATGGTGCTAGGAGGTTTAGCACAAACCCCAGCACGCACAGAAGTCAGTACCTCTGTCTTCTTATTGTCTCCATATCCTCCTCACTGATTTTCAGTATCTTCGTTGAAAACTGAAAATGTTATTATAATTCACGACTTTTATATTGCAGCTTCAAAGCGTAAAATTTTGTTGAATGTTAGAATACAAGTCAAAATTTGGAGAAAACTATCTTCAAATCAATTTGCTGCAAAATCGCGCACTTCTTTCAAATTTAGGTATCTGTACAGAGTTACATCCTCCATTGCCGGTAGAAGAGTAATTAGCAACGAGGAATACGTCACTGTTTCGAAAAAAGGTTCACTTAGAGATATTCCTACTGTAGTTTCACCCAATCTCCATTTAAGGAATTTATCCAAGTAAGAGATCACTTTTATCCAACAGTTAATATCATTGACCAACAATTCCACTCCACAACATATTTTTTTCAGCTTCAAAGTAAAAATGTTCCCGATCCATAGACTTAAAGCAAAAAATTGAGGAAGTCGGGGATTGGTGACACTTTTTTCCAATGAAACGATGAAGATGATGGGCCGGGAAGAAGAAGTGAGGCTTTACGTGTCGTAGGTGGGCCCAGACCTAACCCAGACTGTGCCAAGAGCGCTCGGATGGCTTCCTATATGCAGGCAGCTTGTTCACTTGCCGTAAAGCAAAATGGTAACTTAATATTAGACTTGAATATAAGTACGGTAATCCCACACCAGAGTCCAAAGTAAGCCTACACCTACCCGGCCGGCCATCCCTGGACCTCGGTTCCCCCTTACGAACGCCCTCGAGCGTAATAATACGACGGGATACTAGATATCGGTGCTCTCTGTGCTTCTAGGTGCAAATTGCGACCACCTATGCACGCACTGCCGTCCCTGTTTCTCCGATTCCAGCCTGTACCCGCGTCTCTCTTCCTGTCAGCAAGCTCCTTACAGCCTGTCGTCCAAGAAGATGACTCTGTTCTGGTTAAACTTACTGAAAAAGCGCTGATGATGGATCATGGAGAAATGGACAGATTTGTAAGATTTTTATCGATTTATTTACAATTCTTTTTTAGTAATATTGCATAAGGAAGTTTTTTGCAAAAAAAAGTCATAACTTTGGTACCTCTACATTTTACAGCGCATAAATAAAGGAGAGAAAAGAAAAATTGAAAGAATATGCATCTGTAGAATGTCCGGGGAAGAGGGAAAACTAAGATTTATCAACAGAAATAACATTTGTATTTTTGATTAACGACAAATGGCATCTCTGACGCAGGATTACAGAAACTCGATCCCGTTCTTCAATGTTTTTTTTTTTCCTTTTTATTTTTTTTTTGAGAGAGAGAAACTCCGCCGTGAGCGCTCCCCGAAGTGCGACGACCTTCGCGTTGCGAGGAACTAGGATAAACCAGTGGTCTGCGTGTCTCTTTGGACGTAGAGTAAGCTAATCCGACTGCGTATCATGTTTGCAGCCCCTTTAAACGATACTGATACGCCTTAGTCGCGAAAGTCGCATGTTCCGAGCTCCAGGCAGTTTTTACATCTCTTTACTTAGGAATTCTGATTGCACAAGTTCATCAATATATTTGATACTTTTAAAAAAATTCAGTATTAAGTGGAAAAGTGAAGTATTAACAGATTTTCTGTTGCTCTGATAGAGGCACAGTAATTTGTCCACAGGTAAGCCTACGTTTTACTATTAATATATACCATAACAGATGTACAAAGCAGTTTTTAATGGTAATCAGGTATTTTCCAGGGCTGCCGACTTTACGCTACGTGGTTTTGGATAATTCCAAATTAATCAGACTTTGAGGGTGAAACGCAGCTGGAAATAGGCCAGTAGACCGCGGACAGATGCTCACTGAAGCATCCCCATACACGCAGGTGTTTTTACGACTGCTGAGAACTACCCTCCCAATGAACATGGACGCATCCCCAAATGCCAACTTTGTCATTTCGTTCTTGCTAAATTCTATAATTTATTCGTATTCAAAGGAGATGGTTAGAAAATTAAAATTGAATTAACTATATTTGTCACATTTATCTTTCTATTCTGCCTTTCGATGAAATTAGATTAAAGATTGGAAGATAAATTATCTATAATTTAATTACTTGTAACTTCAAAAACTTGGTACTGTTACCAAAATAGATGATGAAGGAAATATGTCTTTTTTAATAAGATGTTTTATTGTAGAAAGGAAAAACACATTGGATTCATAGCAGGGATTCTTTGACGGAGGACCAATAGCCACCCCTGCAGATGGTCTCCCCAGTAAAAAAGACTACCGTCGCGTTCCAGCTGAGATATCGATCCAAGTTCCTATCTCACCCTTGATCAAATCGCGTTCCAAAAATTTCTTTCATGTCATTCTCTCATTCAGTTGCTATTGTTTAAGATTATTAATGATTATTGTAATCCAACTTCCTTTACAAGTAGAGATGTTATGTGACTCCATTTACTCTTAGAAACGATAGTAGATCGACTAGCTTTTCTATCGGTTCACGGCATATTACTGTTTGTTTATTTTAAGTCCCAGGCGTATCTTGTTTCGGAACCAGACCCAGCTGACCGCAGCCTGGCATCGTTTTCTCGTTTTATTCTCTTGCGTTACGCGTCGACCTGGTGTCGGTGGCGCGAATTAAGCGAGAAAAATCGACGCCATGAAGCGGATGCACGCAGTTTCCAGAACGATCGATTCGATTTTTCAGAATCAACTACATTTTAGAAACTTCAGAATTTTATAGCTCTACATACACACTTTTATACAAATTCACTTTTCAACTAGCTATGAACAAAATTTTGAATATATAAAATTTCTTCTAAACTAACTAAAATATATATTTCATTTAAAATGCCATAAGAAACTTATAGATTAAGTAGAAAAAGTTAACGGTAGAAAAAGCAACTTCGAATAATTGTCTTGAATGAAAGAGAAAATTTTTAAATAATTAAAATGAAAGAATTTTTATGGATTTAATAAGAGGTAGGGTTAAAAATAATTGTAATTGATAGAAAAGCCAATGGAAATAATGATCGATGATTTTGCAAGAATATAATGACAATTCAATTTTAGGCTCGTCTGAACGCCTCACGTTGCTCGCCTTGCATCGAAATCCCCGAGCCACCCCCAGTGTAAAGAAAAAGACGGATCAGTTGCATATTCCGTGTCATAAACGTTCTTTTCTGCGAAGTTTTGTAACTTTATATAAAAAAGAACCTAACTTCGTTTATGATAAATATTAAAACGGAATTACACGTAAAGTTCAAGTTAAAAAAAATTGCATCACTGAAAGTATTTGCTATTATAAAAAGCAATTTGACTTCTGAGTTATTGTGCAATTTGAAATCTTTCTTACTACAAATTTCAGAAGAAAAGGTAAGAATTTTCGATAAAAAAAGATATTAACGGAGTTGCAAAACATTGCATTGATAAAAAATAAAAAGAAATCACTGGTCCATCACCAGAAGATATCTAAAAAATCATAACACTTTTCCATAAAATCAATTTTGCAAATTCCAGAACCTTTTTACCTGTTATTGAAGTTAATGATATCCCACAGGATGTTCTTTCTGTCAGACGTCCTATTAGAGCGATACAACAGACACCCCATCGCTCCTCTATCATAGCCAGTCACCACAATAAACACCAGCACACGCACTGGAAGTTTAATCTTCCGAATATCGATACCATTCTCAAAATCGAATCACGGACGCGGGATCATCAGCGAGCGCGCACTAGAGGTAACCCTTAGGAGTCGACGCCGACGCATTCGACGGGATCCATCACTAACCCCCCGTAGTGGGACACCTATAGACCCCGGAAATATCGTAAGAAACAGCAACGAGCGAAAATATAACAGTGCAAATGAATTAAAACGAGAAGACACGCGAGAATGGCCACGAGGAGAGCCATGAAGGTTCGTAACGAGCATGGGCCTCTGGACACGACTGATCGAGTGACCGAGGGGGTAGCATTGTAAGAATACCCCTCCTCGTGCGCTTGTATAGAATTACGTGTGTTGATCGCGCATACAGCTCTCTCCGTCCCCTTGGTTCACGGCAAAAGGGAGCACGAAGGGAGAAGAGTGGTTCTCTGTTCTCGCTTCCCCTCTATTGCCTCTCCTACAGCCTTTCACCGTGCGTATACCCACCCCTGCGTACCCCTGTCCCCTGTCCCCCCCTTTGAGGCGTCCTCTCTCGCGTGCGTGAATCATGCATATCGATTTTCTTTCGTTAGTACGTCGTTCGGTAGTCGTTGCCTGGTCGTGTACGCCTCTGACGATGTATTTCCCCTCTTCTTTTGCTCGAGAGAGAGCCCGGGGGCCGACCGCTGCTGGAACCCCTTCTGAAAATGCGCTAGACGCGCCACCGCCGATTCTTTTCGCCACAATGGGTAGAGGAGGTTCGTTTTTAGCAGCCTGATGGTTATGATCTGGATAGAGGTTCAGAGTATGGAGCTTGAGAGGGATAGGATTATTGGGGGGTTAGGAGGTTCCTCTTGCCGTAACAGAAATTAGAGTAAGATATTTAAAAATACGCAAATGGTGAGTTAGACGTATTTAAAAAAATGTTTGTTGCGGGTAAATTTACTTAGGTATTTCGAAATATCGTTATTAAAAGGACCATTAAGAAATTTGAGGGAAGAAGTAAAGAATGAAAAGCCTGATGAATGAAAAGAAATTTGCAAAGACTAAAACGGTCTGGTCCGGCTCCCCATCTTTGGATGCTGAAAGCCCTCAGAGAACCCCCTTCTTTTTACCCAAGCAAAATGTCCCCGTATAACGCGAACAACGATGAGGCAGGCAATGCTCTCGTACCCCGTGCCTCCTTTTTTCTAATTCATTCCCCCTAATCTCACAGCAGCAGGCCTTCGGTAATAAAGTTTCTTTGTTTTTGCTCACTCTTTTCTCTCTTCTTATTGTGAGCTCCTTGGCTATTATTAATGGTCATGGTGAATCGATTTTGGATAATTAACTAGTTTCTTTGTTACAGTTCTTGAAATTTAAATTTGGTTAATATTTGTGATTTTTCAATGTTGCGAGAGAAATTAATAATACATTTTTAACTCTAGAAACTAGTTATCTTCCCGGTTTGTGGAAGAATTATCGTATTATAATTCTTTTTCTTTAATGTTTTTTTTCATGTGAAATATTTGCGATATCTTTTACAAAATATGTAATTTCAGCAGTTTTAATTTAATTTCAAGAACTATTTTTTAGAGAATAAGAAATGTATTTTTATAATCGAAAAAGAAACATTTAGATGTAAGAATGTTGCTAAATTTTATTTATTTAAAGACTACAAAGTTTTTCTAAAATTATAAAAGCCAAATATGGTTTGTCCGTCAAGAAAAAGTAAAGGTACAAGAAGAAAATAAGTAATATTGATTTATAAACAATTCCTTTAATAATAAGTAAACGATGACAGGCGCTTCAACACGATAGAAATAACATTTATGTATATATACAATTGTACGACATTTACAACAATTTTTCACTATCGTTAAGAAATATTATTCAGTAATGACAGAGGAATTAAAAGACTATACAAACTTAGTTTTCTTTTTTTGGATATAATCTCCATGGAGATTTGAAATAAATAAACTTGTTTTTAATTTTTTGTTTCACTACATGAGGGTTTTAAATGGCACAATACATTGAAAATTGTTTGGCGAATTAAGTACATATATACTCTCCTAACGGTTTGCACTATGCGAAGTTCAGGAGTTTACACCCGGAATGGCACAGGGATAAGAAATGTAGTGCGATCGCAACACCTATTCTCATCTTTGACGTTCCTAAAATCGTCAGAGTATATCAGTAACACTTCCTGACATAATTATAGAATTCCCATATCTATACAGAGGATATAAAAGGTCAATTGCGAATGTTTGATTCGCGAAAAAATTAAATATAAATATGAAAAAATAAAAGAACAGAAGAAAAATAAATAGAAACATTATCATTGGAAATGCAAATACGATACTGAAGGCAACTCACTTAATAGTAATATTCTATCTCTAATTAATAAGATAAAAATGAGTGAAAATAGTAAATATTTTTTTTACGGTGAACTAGAAGACTAAAATAGCGCGCATGAAAATATACTTATTATCACATATGATGATAAAAACGAAATTAAATACTTTTTTAAAAGACAATATTGAAATTGAATTAAATTAATTTTTATAGTGAGATATTTAAACATATTTTCATTAGAAAAATTTTACATAACTTTTAAATGAAGTTAATAATTTCCTGAAGTTAATAATTTCCTGAAGTTATGATTATGTTACTTTAATAATGAATATAATGTTTGCATATTATAAGTTTGATAGTTAGAAAATAATGTTTGTTACATATATTTAATTTTCGAAAACCTACCCCAGTGAATAGAAGTTAATCATACAATGTTATTTTATCCTATTCAGATCCTATTCTTTCCTTTTGTCATGTATCGTATTAGCAGATGTGGTCGTTTTTGTCAATAGGGAAACTATGTGTGTCATGAAATCACTGTTAAGAAAACTACAATTTAGAGGCCTTTCGTTTGAACCAATTAGTTCCTCATTTTTCTGGAATGTAAATTCCTGAGCTCTGTACAATGCGTTGAAGAATAACATTGTCGTGAAAAAGTTGGTCTTCTAGCTTACGTGTAAAAAGTGAGTCCATGTTTGTTTTTCTTTCATTTTAGCATAAAGTACATCGTTAAAATGCAGAATGGAATGCACAATGTCCTTAAATATATGTGTCTCTAAGAGATAATCAAGAGATTTGTGAAATATTTCATAACCTACGTAATACCGGCGAAATTCGATTAAAGTGCTCGAATTAATTCGTGTAAATCGTTTATTAGACTTATTTGGCCACTGGATTACTGCGCTTATTTTACTCGAATATACATATTAATAGAAATTGAGATTACGTTTTAGAAAGCCTTTTTTCATAGAACTTTCAATTTGTTCCCAGTTTGAAAATCGAATTTTCTACTTCCATTCTTCTTCCTATTGTTTATTGCAATAAAATTGGCTGCTCAAGATAATTATCTGCACGATTGCTTTACCTTTAACAAGTTCTTAGGTAATTTTTGATTTGAGCCTTAACTGAAATACGTCCTTCGCATTTTACAATTTTAAACATGAATATTGGTTCCCTTAACCACTTCTGTAGATATTTGCTCAATAAAACGATATTTGTGAGTCAGATATAGTTTGTAAGAAATCAATTGCTTGCTCAAACCTATTTAACAGTCATTTTTCATTTTAATATTTTTTAAGGTCTTTGATGCAGATAGTATTTAATGAAAAAACTCATAAATGTCCCTAATTCCAAACAACACCAAGTGAAACAATCAGATCTTAAGATTTCTGAATGTTTCTATATTGTACCCTTGGCGAAATCGAATACAGTTTCTGGAAAATATCCACTAAGTTGTTTTGAGGAAACAGGGTCTCTATAATTCCTTCCAGGAGCACATACAAAAGTCTTCTATTAAGCACAGGTCGCTGGAATAGCTCAAATACTCTCAGAAGACCCCTTCTGGTTGTTTCGCTACCTATGATATGTTTTAGTTCATCTGAAAAACAGGATAAAAGAGCGACTTTGGCTGCTACCCTCGTTCTGTTCTTCATTTCTGCATCCCTGAGTGGTTTTTTCTCAGCTTTGACTCCATTGGGCCAGAAACTGCTCCTGCAAGGTCATATAATTATTTAAACAATGTTAATTATATAATTAATTATGACAAAATTAGATTTACTCACTTGAATAATTTCAAATAGCCAGCTACTCTAGCTGGACTTGTTAGTAAGGAAACATACTCAACTATTCTTCGATTTACTATATCTCCAAACATCGTACGAATAATTTGTCTTAGTAATGTGATTATCCTTCGTCTCAGCCACTGGTTTCTTACTTTTAGGTCGAAGATCTCATCCATTAAAAGCAGCATTATTCGCAAAGGAATGTTATCATCGGTCTAAGATAAAAAGGAATTAAAATGTACTAATGAAGTTTGATTACCGATGATTTAAGTAAAAAATATTTAAGTACCTCTACATCCAAACTAGCACCAACTTTAGTGTTCTCGTAAAAGGCGTTGGACTTTTTTGGATTTCCAAAAAATTTACTTATATTATCCATAACTCCGTCTACAGTGTTTAACATGTTATCTGGCATAGTTTTCACGGCTTGAGTCATAGTTTTCATAGACGTTTTCAATGGATTCATTAGAGTATCTATCTGTATTAAGTTGAAGATTCAATATCTTCTACAATTATCTTACATGCATATACAAAGTGTACCAAGCAACTGACACTTTATACTCTGAAGAGAACATTGTACTTTTAATTACCTTTATAAACTAATTAAAAATTTATTTTAATTAAGAAAAGTGTAGTAACATTAAAGTATACACTTTATTTGCCTATTTTCTTTAGTTTCACATCGCATTGTTTCAGTTGTCCCAGTTGCCTAGAACATCCTATATAATGATTATAATTACCGTTTTAGATATTTGTCCACCGGTAACACCCTTGTCGTAATCCCCCTGTTCCAGGAAGTTTAATAACATATTCTGCAAACCCATGTGCCCTTCAACAACAGCTGGTTTCGTTAAGTGATACAACCAGGCATTCAGCATTAACATTCTTCTTTCCAAGACAGTTCTTTCCATATTATGAAAAGCTTTCTTTGCTGGAAAAGGAATTTTTGCTAGATCATAATATTTTTCTTTAATCTTCTGATAAAGGTTGTAGAAATCAGAGTATCTCCTATAAATGTGCCATTTCTCCTGATAACCTGAATCGTAACTCTTGGTTACTGCCACTGCATAGATCCCATAGGTTTTTCCACGGTCATTAACTATCCCAGTTTCAATAATCTTTGCGGTAATTTCGAATTTTCCCTGTTGTAACTTTTTAATGACATTCTGATCATAAGTATTATCGTCTAATTTAACAAATTGCTCTGCATTTGATTCTAGATAAAAAGTGACATCTTTGCCCTCGCTGACATGGTCTGTATCAATACTAACAGCCTTTCTTATACTCTTTACAATCCTCATATTAATTTCAGATTCAGGCTCTGCTTTATCCTCATTTGGACCCATGATACTGATCAAACTTGACGAGGAACTAGATTTTAATTTGCTATCCTTTAATTCAACTGGTTTAATGTCTTCAGGCTTGTATATCTCAGACATTTCATCTAGAGTTTCCAATTCATTATTTGTGCTTGATAAACTGATACTGTCCAAAGATTTTGTGTCTTCCTCAGATGTTGGGTCCTTTAGAAGGTCTAATTCAGCAAGCAGCTTGACATAAGCCATTGATTTTTTAAAACCGGGCAAGAATCGATCCTCGTTTTGCAATTTTTCATAACAACAAACTCTAAGATCATCGAACCATGTCTCCTTCACAGATTCAGTTTTTATTCTGTTCAACAATGTTTTTACTAAGGCATCATCTAATTGTAATTTGGGAGAGGCTTTATCGCTAAGGTACTGTTGGTAAATTTTGGTAGCTGCTTCCTTTAAATTATCTAGGTCTGTGTTTTTACGTTTGGTACTCATAAGACTGGGAGCTGTTTGGGCTGCATGCAACTTCTGTAATTCTATGTTCGATATCTGTTGCTCTGCTGACACTCTCCAGCCATAAATGTTCAAATAAAAGAACAGATATGACTCTGCATTTATAGAAGTCATATAGTCAATGAAGTAACTTAATGCAATATTATTTTTTAAAAGCTCATCTAGGGGTAAATTCACTAGTTTCTGTCCAGGCATCAATAGTCTGTTCCAATCAGGTTGAGTACCAATCCCATCAGTCTCTGACTCCAGCCCTTCCTGCATACCGATAATTCTAGTTTCCAAGATTTTTTTTACATATAGCAAGCTGTTCAACTGTTGCTTTACTGATAGATCATCTTCTCCTCCAGAATCCTTAGAACGAAGATGAGCTATTTCTTTACAGACTATGTTTTTTGTTGCCATTAGTTCATCTAAGCTATCTGTCACTCTGATCACTGTTAAGAACACATCGCTGGGTAAGCTACCTTCCTTAGCACACTAGAAAAACGAAATTGTAAGAAGGACAGTTTAATTCTTGTTCTTCATACTGATTTTATAATATACTTACCAGCCATATACATGCCTGATTAATATAATCAGGGTCAGAGAATAAATCCAACAATGGTCTAATAATCACGTTTACTAACAACTCTCTTAAAATAAATCTCACAGTCAGGCAATCAAAGTCTTCCTTTGGTAAAACAAGATACAATAAAATCTCAGATATTTCTCCAAGAAATTCGAGTTCCTGGGCGCTGTTAGTGCACATCAGGTCCCTACAGATCAAATTATTCTCCATCTGCACTTCCAAATCAAAGAATACCTTCTCCAGCGATTCCTCTTCTTTCTCTTCATTACTTTCAATGGGTTCAGTGAGGGATGATAAATTGGGAATATAAAACTTAGACTGGGAGTACCAGGATACATCTGTTTCGCTTTTATTTCGTCTATGTGTAGGTGTCTTCTTAGGAGTACCACTAGAAGTACTTGAACTAGCACTACCTTTCTGCAATTTTTTGGTTCGAAGTTGCTTTATTTTCGCTCTTGCTTGTCGATACAGCCTAACGTGAGAAGCTGCATCATCCACGAGACGTGTCGTTAAATATGGTATCCAATCTACACCTTTTACTCTAATTAAAAGATGACTTTTTAAAAAGAAAATAAAGGGAAATTAAGAAATCATTGAATTGTGTTTTATGTACCGATTTGCAATGTTGATAGCTATTTTCTGAGCAGTGTCCCGAACAGAACATATAAACTCCTCGTCGTCTGTAATAATGCTGTACCATGGTTCCACATAATCTCTGATAACGAAATCTAATATTTCCTACATGGGAGAAGTCGCAAATCGCTATGTTACTCTTACTATCTTACATTGGCTACATAAAAGTAGTATAAGTTCTTAAATCGATTATGTACTTGCAGGGACTCGTCAATAATACGACTACCAGTGATTCTTCTATCTAAAGTAAAGGTCATCTTTTGCTTGGATAGATCTAAAATGTACTGGAACAAAAGACAAACATTATTAAGTATTTTTTAAGATGGCTAATCCAATTGCATTTATCAATATTGATATACCTGCCGTAATTTTTCAGTTTTCTTGTTTATGTCTTCTCTTTCAGATCTAACTGTATTATCAAGGTTTGCGCCATACGTTCTATATATACATGTGATTATCCTGTTACAAAAAATAAATAAATATAAATTAATATTCTTGATACTACAACATTAAAAGTAGCAGTGTTATACCCTAAAATTAAGGCGATCAAACAAATGAATAACTTCACGATCATTCCAAGTCCAACAATATATATGAGTATAGCAGCTGCAACTCCAAGAAGTCCATATAGTGGAACATTCATCTGCAAAAAATCACACTGCCTCAATAGTAACTAACAAAAAAAGACATATTAGTATAATGTTACAGTATCGTAAGAAAGTTTAATAGTGACTCTTGATTTAGATAAACAAAAAAAAATATGAATTACTGGAAATTTCCTATTTGATGGTCCTTATCAGTGATCAGCATGAAGTGTAGTTCCCTTCTCGCATTATCGCGAGATTGAATTCTCATAAAACACTGGACGCTTCCAATTTCATTAAAACGTTTTTTTCTATTTTACGTTTCTAAAGCTATTCAATATTGATATCACATCACACTGTATCACTCAAATATTATCACATTGACGTTTACACTACGAATTGTAAACCTAAGTTGAGTACATAGAAGAATGAACAAGATGACAGAAAGGGGTAAAAGAAACTTCCGAAAACGAAACTTTAATAAAATAAATATCAAAAATATTGAAAGAGAATTATTCGATTAATTGGTGCGTACTCAGTGAGGAATTTGCGCACATTAAAGTAAAAATAAATGTTAGTAGAACAATATGTTCCGTCTGCTATGGTCAAGTCAATCGTTGCACGCGCGCGCACGCCATTCTTGTACACCCACCTTTGGATTCCCGGATAAACGGTCGTGTACATACAACTACGTACATATTGCAATTATCGTACGAATCATCGCACGAAACTAGTCAGCTAATCAACAATTTATTTACATCTTTGCAAACGAACATTAAACCAACAAATACGTTTGACGACATGTCTTGACGCGGTTAACTCCGCGTGCGGATGCTAGAGGCGCTTTTGCGCGCCAACTTTAGGCATTACACATACCACCTGATCTTTATGATTTAAATTAGATTCAGCTTCCCTTCGTCTTTAAATATTTATCTATGAAAATTAAATTTTAACCATTTTTTTAAAATATTATAACAATTAATATAAATTTGAAGCATTAGAATTAGCAAATAATTTTATAATATAATTTAGAATATATTCAATTTATCAAATCGATATTAGTTTTTTATATCGGCACATAAAGTATTTTTTAAAGTGACACTAACAAATTATATATTTAACATACATTTCATATTTTTGCAAAAAATTGTTAATAAGAAATTTTTTCTAGGGTAGAATTAAGAACACGGTTAAATTTTGTATACAATTTTTTTTAAACTAGTTTGAAAAATATTGATAAATAAATGTAGGACTCATAAAACATATCGTTTATAACTTTGGAACAATATTTTATTTTTTGAAAATAAAGTTTGTTTTATAATTAATTTAAGCTAATTTTGGAGATAATATAATATGTAGTATTAATATTAATATTTTGACTTCTAAATAGAATGTGTATCGCATATTAAACTCCTAAGAAAAGATAAAAGAAAGATAAAGCACTTTTATTTACAAAATCAGAGCATTAAGCCACAGCGATTAAGATACATCATAATTATATAGACTAATTATATTTATTCAAGCATAATGTTGAATGTTTGAATAGTCAGAATATAAACTAAAATGTTTATATCTAAAACCTACGTCATTGTGCCCATTTTATTAAAGATCTTCGAAATCTGACTCTTTAAACTTAATTCTTTAATTTATACTATAGCCGTTTGTATCTTTTCTTTTTTTTTTGTCTCAGTAGATTTCAGTAGATTTCAGTGCTGTTGTACACTTCCTCATGATAAAATAATATGGCTAAAAAAGAAATAAAAATTATACAATTAACTATTGTACACAATACGATATACAATTACTATTGTACACGAAATGCGTTACGCTATTATGAAAAGTACTTTTCATAATACAAGATGAATAATTCGGAATTTATGTACTTACAATTAACAAATCTTCTATTGCACAGTACTGTCACATTATTATGATATCAAAATCAAAAACAAAACACCCGCCAATTATGTAGCTACAGTAGGAAGGAATAAATGCGACAATAATACCAACTATCTAAACAATAATAAATTCATGAGAAATGGCTTCTATCACCCTCTTGTAATAACAATGTTTACTACAGTATTTATCAAAACATTATCTTTAATGCAGTTGTTCTGTTTTACTGTTTTACAAGTATGTAAGGTTTGATATATCCATTTGATTTTAGGTTGGCTGACCATATAACATACAGGATAGACATATTTGACTGCGAAATGAAGATTTAGAAAAGGACAGTGGATGTGGCAGATAAAAAGGGATTAAAACTAAATTAGGTGATGTTATCTTGTAACAACATGATATGGTGAAAGGTATGTTGTGATCCTGATTTGAATAAATATTGATATCAGTGATCAAAGTCACTGACCAATGCTAATGTGTCCAGATTCAGAAAGTTGGAGCTCAATTGTCTAAAGAAAAGGGAAAAGTTCAAGTGAAAGCAGTGAGAACAGGAAATACATATTATGTAGAATCAAAAAACAGGAAAGAGGTAGCTTATATATGAACAGGGAAAGATGTGTGACATCGATAATTGGGTCAAGCAAATATGAGGACCATTGAAGAGATGGAAAATGAACAATTGGTAATAGTTATAAAAATTAAAGATAAATTGAATATAGAGTATAAATGTTTCATTAAGACACAAATGTGTAGAAATATCTATAGGAACTTGGAAACTATAAGAGCAGAACTTGGAGACTATAAAAGAAGCAATGATAATGGTGTTGTGGCACATCATAGACTTCATTTGGCCAATAAAGCCAATGTCAAAAGGAGGTAAAAGGTATGATTATTCGAGAAAAGAACCACTTGGTTGACTGATTTATAACTGACTAAAGATTTAATATGAAATATTATTAACGATGGATTTTTTCCATTATAGGAGACTTACGAACACGAGTAATATTTATATGCAAGAGCCAGCCACTAAGGGTAAAGTAATAAGTATCATTTTATAATATTTCAATGGATTGTATATCTGTTTTTAAAAATTTGACCGATATACAATATTTACTTTCTAAATTTCTATATTAATGTATTAAATAATTTCTAATTTGAATTACAATAATAAATAATAAATTTTAATAAATTTTATTTTATAAGTATTTTACATTAATCAAACTAATATATTTGTCAAACTAGGTTGTAATGAAAACAACTGTTGGTGATATTGAGTTAGAATTATGGGCAAAAGAAACTGCAAAGGCATATAGAAATTTTATACAATTATGTTTGGAAGGTTATTGGGATGACACTATATTTCATAGAATTATGAAGGGATTCATAACACAAGATGGTGATCCCACAGGTACAGGAGAAGGTGGTAAAATATATGGAGAACCATTTAAAGTGAGACTATATTTAAAAATGAAATGAATTCTATTTTTATTAAATAATAATTATCGGATATATATGTTTTAGGAGGAATTTCATACGAGATTACGTTTTTGTCGACGAGATTTAATTGCTATGACTAATGCTGGAAAAGATGACAGTATTTCCCAATTCTTCTTTACTCTTAGTTCTACACCAGATTTGCAGAATAAACATACAATCTTTGGTAGAGTTATTGGTGAATCTATATATAGTATGCTTAAACTCGAAGAAGCACTTGTAGATGAGGTAAATTTAATGTTTGCAAGAATATATATCAAGAATACATATAAATATAATATTTCCTCTGTTTTGTAGAATGATAAACCACTTTATCCTCCAAGATTGATAAAACCTATAATATTGAACAATCCATTTTCTGATATTATACCAAGAATAATAGTACAGGAATGTGAAGAAGTAAAGGACAGTTTAAAAACTAAAACAGCAGCAGTATTATTCTTTGCAATGTAAGATTTTGTTACAGAGATTTCAATCTTTTATCATTTGGTGAAGAAGCAAAGGAAGATGAAAAAGAATATGTGATATTAAATAAAAAGTTCAGTGGTAAGGGCAAATCAACTCATGATCATTTAACTGATCCAAAATGAAGCTCACAACCAGCTGTTGAACCACCTGGACTTGCAAATAAAAAAAGGAAGGAAGGCCGCATTAGTAGCGATCGGGAAAATGACGACGAAGTAAGAACTCAAGTAGAATTAGAAGTTGTAAAGAAAGAGAAAGAGTTAGTTTATTATTTGCATTATAACTATGTTATAGAAAGTAGGAATTTTTATTGATTGTCTCGTATATTTATATTTTCAGAGCAATGAAGGAAAGGATAAAAAATACATTGAGAGATACAGAAAAGGAACCGAAGAAAGTACAAAATTATAAAATAGATGATGTTGAAGATGATGAGGATATAAAGGAAAATGAATAGGGAATAAAAAACTCTTTATTACGTTTTGCACAAGAGAAAGCCGAGGAAATGCACGACAAGAGATGTCAGGAATTATTAGGATAATTCATGTATTGGAATAGAATCATTTACCATATGTTTATAAATATTGTACATATATATATGGTCATTGTAATGATAATTATTACGTGATATTTATTACGAAATATTTTTTTCTCGCAACGATCCGTGATACGGACATCTACTCAGATTCTAATGTCTTTATGTCATTGTTTATTATGTCGTTAACAATTAACATGTATATGTAAAACTTTAAAAATGAATAAAAAGTAGTTTAACATGTAACCATCGCAGTTTCATTTTCTTTTTATCAAGAACAAAACCACGCATCTTCATCTGTAACTTCATGTTCAACGGGCTATTAAGAGAGTAAAAAAAACGAAGAAAAATGTGTTATACTTATTTATGTCCTTTTATTGTTTTGTTTCTCCCGCCCTACGGGTCACGTGGTTTTGCAATCGGTAGTTTCGATCAGCGCCATCTATGATCTGGGCTCAAAAAGCAAGAAAGTGATAGGAATATAGAATAGGCAAGGAGGTCGTCGTTGTTCTGGTCACGTGGTACACAAGGACAGAGTGGGGATAGAAAAGGATAGAATGGCCCCGGCAGTGAAAAATTATTAATTACTCAATTTCCGTAAACAATTTGTGAACTTTTATAATTTCCTTGCAAAGCTGGAACTTCAGGCTACATTCTTATAGAACTTTCGTAAAGAATTTAACTCTAAATTGTTAGTTATTAATTTTTGCTTTATGGCGTCTATGATTTCGTAACAACGACCATCGCAATCTTACGTGAAAATATTTAACACTAAACGAAACTAGAAGCAAAATGTGATCAAAAGTTATATGAGAAGATTCGCAAGAACATTGTCTTTCTAACGAGTGCATAAAGTTTCATAAATTAATTACGTAGAGGATAGTAATTACTGAAAAACCAATGGCGTCTTCGACAATCTTCGACAATAATTCAAACATTTCGTAGAGTAATTATTAATGATTTATTAATCAGGGA